AATTGTGCTAAACGTCAATTAACACTATGGCCTTTATTAAATCCATATGCTTGCTCCTTATCGGGATAAAAATTATGTGCGTAAGTTGAAATATTTTTTTATTTCTACCGTCCCACATATGGGACAGTATTCTGGGTTAAACCTGTATTTCACTAAGTTCAATAAACATACATTGTATTTACTTAGGCAAAAAGTGAAATACCTTTTAATTACCAATCGCCTGAGAAACTTGTCGCCACAACGTACAAAAAGGTTAAATATAAGTGGTAGTTACGCTACACACGTTGCATTCGACACAACCTGTTTTCCTTTCTTTTGTGTGACAGTGACAAATGATTTCAACACTCACAAAATAAAAACAGTGTAGTTTACAATTCAGGGCCAATGTAATAAATTATAAGTTTAAGTCGTTACATAAACATTAATATAATATAATAATATTATTTTAAAGTGCAACCTTTTGCTTCCAAAACTATTGTGAAATCATGTATCGATATGAATCGTTCAGTAAATTGCTTAAATATTAATAAAATGAAACTTATTGAATCTGATCAATAAGTCAATTGTTACTAATTACTGTCATATTCTATTTTGTACTAAATAATTTAACATAAATTTAACCTGTCACAAAAAAAGTATCAGGTGAAACAAGACTTTTTAAAACATACATCATAAGGTTACAGGAAATTGCACTATTTTGAGTACATTACCGACATTGGTGCTAATTCTGTTGTTCGAAAACTCTCTAAACTAAACTAAAAATCGCTAAAAATTTGTTTAGTTCTGTCAAACAACGTTTCCTATACTGAACACGTAATATTTGACAGGACAAAATTTATTTTTAGTGATTTTTTGTTTAGTTTAGAGAGTTTTCGAACAACAGAATTAGCAGCATTATCTATTAACTTATAACTATTACTTCGATAATTTTATTGTTGTAAAAATGTTCTTTGTAAAGTGCGTAACGAGAGTGCAGCAGTGTTTATTTACGCATTGTGCATTTTAAAAGAAAGAGGCCCAGCTCTGTCTGTACACTACTATATTCTACGTGTGTATTGTTTTGTAAGAATCCTTGGCATAAATTGATATCGCTCTAGATAGTCATATTTTAAAGTAGTTTGAGGACATATTGAATTGTTATTGTTATATTTAATATTAAAATATTATAAGTAAATAATACCACTGCATATAAATGGTTTTCACGAATATACGTTCAAAAAAAATATCCTCTCTCCAAAAATATAAAAAAAATGTAATGTAATGCAATTTCAAATAAATAGGTATCTAATGAAATTTCAGTGAGGGCTGGTGATACTGTTCCTGACAGAATATACCTTTTAAAATTTATTAGCTATAATTGCATTTCAGTTCGCTCTGCTGTGTTTTTGGTTTCTAAATTTATTATATTTCTGTGACAGAAACGTAATAAATCTCTTGATAAAAACTACAAAATATATATTATTTATTTTGTGTTGGATTATTATTGCAATGTATTGTTCAATGTTTAATTTAATTTAGATTAATTACAAGTACTTATATGTGTTCACGTTTATACACAACATATTATTTAACCTTCTAGTAGATAAAATATAAATCAATGACCAATAAAGTCGAATGTAAATCCCCTACTCAGAGCTATGAGACAGGAATATATGACGAGATGGTACAGCGTCCCAAAAAGCAATTGAATTAGTTTCAGTCAACAATTAATTATGTCCATAAAGTAATCATTACGAGTAATGGCTATTGGCCATAGTTATAGATGGATCTTCTCTCAATAAAATTTCGAACACCGTTTGCTGGGGATTGTTAGAGAATAGTCTTCGCCGATTTCTTAAATGCTTACTAACGAAATACTTAACAGCAGACTTCACATAACTTTGAAACCTTATAAGATTTAATAGACTATAATTTAATATTTCATTACTTGAAAGTAATACATGTCGATCGATAGATTATATTCTTATCTTAAAACGCAGTATAAAATTCTTGTTTTTGTGTTGCATATCCAAAAACAAAAGTATCAACACAACCTTTATTTTGAGGTTTACATCTTTTACTTACATTGCATAATAAGGCAATGTCTTCGAAAGTTACATAAACTTTAACAGTAATGTACTAAAATTACAAATGGACAATAAAGTTTGATGTCGGTGTGCTAATGCCTGTTAATATTTGGTAGTTTTAGGAAGTAGTAGTTTCAAAAGTCATAAATCTATAAGAGTATATGTCTAGCATTTTAGTCATCTTCAGGCATAAAACGTAATGCAGGTAGATAATCATTTCCCAACTGTCAATCGTACTTGTTAGTAATAATAATAATAACTTGACACACCTCATACACGTCCGTCTGATCACAGATTAGGCAGAGCCTACGATATGGTAACCAGAACCAGCTTTAGATGTAGACGCATAAAAAACGATCATGATGTCTATGAATTACAAACGATTATTTGCCCTGACTGGGAAATGAACCTATGACCTACGGTATAGCGGTCAGGATCACGTACCACTAAACCTGTTGGCCTGCTGGCCAGTCCCCAGCAAACAACATCAGTAACAGCATCTTCCTGTTTAATGAACTTTTGGTCAATTGAAAAGCATTAAATGGAATGTTCATTGAACTCTTACCCTTAAATATATTTTAAGTTTAGTTAAGTTTATCATATTTATGGAATAGCTTACTAGCTAAAAACTAGGTCCTTGGTATAGTCTGATATAGCTTAAACGATATTTCTATACATGTATACAAACAACAGAAGAATCAAACACATATATTACGTTTACCTCCGAAGTAAAGAATAAAGAACAATAGGTACAATCAAATCAGCCAGCTGATCAGATTGAATAATTCTTTGTGCAGTGCACATACGTATAATATCTAACTGGACAAAGATACAATTGACATGAGTCCATGAACGGCGCCTCGCCCACACTCTAAAAAATACTGTGTAATAAAAGGAGTTTCAATGGATGACATTCTCAGAAAATAAGGTAGTATATTGAGGAGTCAGACTTAAAATTGCATTAAATTGGTACTGGTCTACTTTAGTTATTTTCTAGTCTCAACATAGAATCCAAAAATGAGATTTTCGCCAATTGATGATAATATTTATGAAGGATAGCAAAAGCGTAATTCGACTTGTTTTATATGCCAGATGGTAGAATAGCATGCAATAAGTTCTACCACTTAGAAAATAAAAACTCAATAGCCATTTTTTCCCCGGTGAAAAACGATTTTCAATTTGACACGTAATTATTTTTAAAGCGGACCTCAAAGTTTTTGCTATTTACATGTATTTATTTATTCTAACAGCAAATACCTTCATGGGAAAACAAATAGATTTGCCTAATCTAATTGTTTCTTTGCTTTGGTAAAATTTAAAAAATGTAATCTGATACGACTTGGCGGACTTTAACTTACGATGCTAATAGGATGAACCAAAAAATGGTATTGAGAAACTTTAAGAATAATTCTTTACAATTAACAAATTTTGAGACAACGGCAAACAATCAAAACAATTAACAAAGACATGACGTTTACCGTTTGTCGTTTTTATATATTTGGAGGTCCAATCTGTTTATAACAGCTTTAAAAAAAATATTTCTCACGATAAAATAGTTCATTTATTATGTGTGTCAAATAACACGATGTAGATTATAAAATACTGTATAACATTTACATAACTGTGGTAAATGGTAATAGGTTCTTTTGTTTTTTAATTGTGAAAAATTTCTATTCAGTTTACGTACAATATACATTACAAAAAAAGAAACAATTTTGAGTCAAGTTTAAAATGACCTGTTTTTAGGTGTTGGACATTCTAGCTAATTCGAGGTACAAGTATGTTACTCTGACCTTCTTGAACTATTGCTTGCATTCACAATCCATTCAAACCAAAATGCAATTGCTGTAACTGCTTTTCTTTCGTATCTACCTTTACGTTTCCATCTATTCACCAAATGCACGGGGCAATAGGTTTACCCCTTATTACGTAAGCCCCTGCCGACCCCTTCCGACCCCAGATATAGGCCTGAGAATGTACAGATATATGTGTGTGCTCAGTCTTGATCAATATTTAGAGACCTCTAGCTACTTCTTAGTATTCGCAGTCCACGATTTTTTAATTTAAGTAACGTAAATGGCAAGGTTACTGCCAATCGTTCTTCTGACCCACTGGTTTGAATACCCATGCGCACCTACCACAAGCGCGTGCATGACCGTCCAGGTAAATGAAGCGCGAAATGAAGGCGCGTATATAGCAAATTGAGCTTAAAACGCTGGAAAAAACTCTCACGTCAACCATACTCAGTACTCTACAGATATTTTGACATTTGACTAAATTCCTCTTAATCATAAGTAGTCATTAAGTCTCATGCCTTTACTGTCGCTAGGTTTATTAATACTTAATTACATATTAACTAAAGATTACAAAATCAATATACTTTAAATGTGAAATTCTCTTTCCTTAATAGTTGAAACGTAAGTTTTAATCGACTGAAAGCGAATTTAAGGTTTTAAGCAGCAAGGCGAGGTCTAGTTTTTTTTTTAAAGAGTTCAACTTGATTATTTCTCTCTTCATATTTCTTATATAAAAGAAATATATCCGAGAATTCCATGAATTGTTTAGTTGTTGTTTTTCAATTTGGCTTCCAATTTGGTCTCATTTGGTCTCTTTGTGTGTTAGTCTGTGAGACCTACGGGTAAACTTTGCGTTATACGCGCTCTACAGTTAAACAAATAGAGATAAAATTTTCAACAACAACTATTTGTAGCAGAAATAAACAGAGATTTTCACGGGCCAGAGTTTAAATTAGAATAATATTTAATTTATGCTTTGCATATTTTTTATATTAAAACTTATATTATAATTTATTACTATCACTTTTAGCGCTTTTTTAACATGTTCATTAACTGCACCATCTAAGGGTAGCAGAAAAGAAACGCCGGTAACAATTCCGCCTTATAGTTTTTTTTTTTTATTTTTATTTAAACTCACCCGAAAACAATCATCAGACACGCTGTAGACACCAACATTCAGATCTGCAATCCCCACCATATAAGCCTGGTCTCTGTTCAAAGCTGTAATATTGAGACCCTCATGATCCAACACTCCTGGGTCCTCAAGCCATGATTTGATCACTTCCTCGTACCACTGCCAAGTGTTAGTCGAAACACCCACGGAATCATTCATGATTTATTTATAAATTAAATGTTTGAGAGTTCTCTCCGAAGACCCCGAACTGCAAGATTACACTCTCACAGATCGAAAACCATTTTATTTGAAACTTGTTTTTATTGTCTGTAGACGCGTCTGTCCGAACAACGGAATAGAATGTGACTGATTCACCAGTCGTCGGCTTTCTGATTGCCGTCCCAAAACCGATGCGGCGGCGTGTTGTCTGCACGCTAGCCCATACGCTTTTAAATAATAAGCTTTCTGCTGCCATATCTCGAAATCTTGGGAATAATAAATGAAAGCGATAAAAATTATATATCATTTGCATGTAATTCTTAATTTTCCTGTTATTTGTTTTTCTAATAAAGAATATCACACACATCTTCATGAAAATCTTTAGTTTTTATTACAATATTCTGCGTGCGTTTTTCAAGCGCCTGCATAAAAGGAACTTGAATAAATTCTCACCGCAACGGAAAACCGTTTTTTAAGGGTGGACGATCTTGGACTCTTCTTGCATAATAGGAGCCCGTGTATAAAACACACCACAAACAACAGATACGACTAATCCCGTAATGGGTACTAATATGGTAATTCTATTCTATATTAGTTTATTTCTAATCTGGTGATCGTGGGGTTTAGGTGTTTTAACTACCACCTGTTTTCGGTAAATATTTATGGTAAGTATTACGGTATGGTCGCATTAAAATCCCCAGTAAGTTTTTCCTGACGCTCAAAAAACATAATAATATGGCCAACCCGACGCATAGCTCACTCGTCCTCTGCCAAATGGAGGTATAGTAAGACATGGCCGACATATTTGGGCAAAATAGTGTCCGCTTTCATGCGGCTACAACGACTCGCCTCGCAAGTAATAATTGTACTAATACAATCTATGCAATTTGACTGCACGGATGGCGTAGTGGTTTAAGCGGTCGCCACGCCGCTTCAACCACCCTACATGGGACGACACTTTGTGTGATCCACAAATTATTGTCCTGAGTCTGGTGTTCTTTGTGTCCGTTTCATGTATGTTTGTAAAGTCCCCCGCGACACAGGATATATTCCTAATGCGGGAGATGTCTTTAAAAAAGAAAAAAAATATATATAGTCATAGTGTGTTTCTTATTAGACTTAATACAATTTCAACTTAAAATTGTACGTCAGTTTTTTTTAATTACGCCGTGTTGTTGTAAAACTGTAAATTAATGCAGGATGGATTTTACATAGACTACCTACTAATCAGCAAAGGTCACGCACGCAAAATAGTAATGTACGATATGGATTTTTCATAATACAAAAATACATAGATATATGTTCAACAATGTTATGAGATATCACGAAGATGGCAGAAAGAGACATCCAGATTATTCTGTTTTTATATCATGATAGGAGGTGGGCGAGTTGCAAAAGCGAAGATTGAGTACTTTCTAACAACAAAACTCAACAGTAATTTGCACCCTCACGATTGCATAGAAAATATAAGGCAAATGTTACAATACAGGAAAATATATCATAAAACATTTGATTTATCAGTGTTCTACCGTAAACCCTATTATAACATGGCTCGAGACTAAAAGAAATATGTTTTCTGAAAAGGTTTCTAAAATATCTGACTAGATTTTGTAATAGCGTTTTTTTTTAATTGTTTAAAGTCGTTTTAATTTCCTGATATAACATTTTCGTAAAAGAAAATGATTTTAATTCTAAATACAATATTATATAGGAGTACATTATCAACTATCATGTAACTGGTATGTTTCGAGAAAGCAAAAATACTTTGTGCTGTTCTGCAAAAGTGACTATATATATACAGTACAGCAACGTAACGTTTTCCGTGTGGTGACGGATTAAGAATACAAATTGTCACCACCCCAATTCATCCCGTGGGTGTCGTAAGAGTCGACTAAGGGAGCAAACTAAGCAGGACAACAGCACTGCAAAGAGAAGGAAAACTTGAAACAAACCCTATACCAACCCGTCTGGCCAGCGTGGTATAGTAGGCCAAAACCTCCTTTCTAAGGAGAGGCCTATGACCAGCAGTGGACTAGTATAGGCTGTTGATGATGATGATGATGATGACAGCAACGTACTGGGCCAACTACTATACTATATATAATTCAAATTATATATTTATATATATATATATATATATATATTTATTTACACTAACGTAATAGGAGCTGGCCCAGTACGTTGACAGAACCAGGGACTTAAGGAATTATGTGGGTACTATGCACAGAAATGACCAAATTAGTGTAAAACGCGTCGTGAAGTTTACGGAAATATTTTGATGCGTCGCAATTACAAAACCTTGTATTGGGCGCATTAAAAGGTAGTTACGATACTGGATAGGAAAAGCAGAAGAACATATATTGAAAGAAAGTGTAGATAAGAAGGAAAGGCAGTAAGGGATACCTACTGCTTAAATGGATGAATTGTACACAATAGCTTGAGCAGATCGTGATTCTATACCTATATCTCGAATTGACTGTTAATAAAATCCGAGCCCTCTCTGAATAGGCCATGTCCAGTGTTGAATATTATTTCTTATTCCGAAAAGACTTCAACATATAAAAATACACATTTTGATAACTTTAAAATTACAGCAATTTACCCTGCTCTTAAAAGTCAGACTTGGAAATAACGTAGGCTAAATATATTCCATATAATTGACTAGTTAATTATCATATAACACACAATTAGACAATTAAGTACACGATCCACGCACCGGACAAGAGTGATCTGTTTTTATGCACCACCAATCGACCTTTACTAACGAAATTCAATACTTCGGCCAAGTTATTTCTGTGAATAGTTGCTAACAGATCACACAGTCTGAAGTTTAGTTGAAATTATTGTAAATTTTAAGTACATTTGATAATGAAAGTACGTGTTTTTTACCTTATCTGGATGTGTGGGTTAAGCTATGAAGCAAAGGATACCGGCTATCCAGCAGGGCTTATGGCTGATTGTAAGTTGAAGTCTTATATTTCCGTAGGACACGATTGTTATGTTCTTTGTAATCGGTGAAGTAATTTGCTGGCTGTGCATCAATTATTCTAAATACATATAATCAGTCCAAAGTTATCATAAGTAGTAAAAATTGTGCATCGCATTGCCCCGCCTCAAGTCAAATTCTCTCCAGTTGGTGGCAAAGAATTGTAAAAAATGTGTAAAGATGGCCCCTTAGGCAGTTATATCCTTTACTGATTTATAAAAACGATATGCAAGTATGTAATTAAATAGTAAATAAGACATAATTTGTTACTGTTTATTTTCATGATCACAGGATTAAACATCGAGGCTCGGACTTAACCCGCTAATTTTCTGTCTTATTAGTTCATATAACTTTAATAGGAATTAATCATCTTCTTCTTGTAATCTTTCTTGAATAGTTTTCGCTGTCATAAATATGCTAATACAAAATACGTGGCAGATATACCTACTAAGTTCTAGCATCGGAAAGTTGTCATTAAAATTACTTTCAAACATAAGGTCCAGGTATGAACCACACTACTACACTGTCTGAAGAAACGAAACGCTCCGTCTCTGTAGTGCTAGTGATCCCGACTACGAACTTTCTACTGCCGTACCAGGACGTAAGGTGCAAGCTCGATGATGCTGCATGTGTAACCAAGTATTTCAAATTCCAAGGCAAAGTTACTCAGGTGAATTTTTGTTTTATCTCATATTTTATTTAGAAAACTTACAGCTGGATCCAGAAGTATACACCTATTACCCTTATATCTATAATGATATATTGAAGTTAATGTTGAAGTTAAATGACACAATGACAGTATTTCGTGACGTTATAGGATCCAATTCACATTCGATATAAAAGTGAGGCAAATAAATTATATTTAAAAAAAAACAAAAAACACGCTTCTGTAACTAGCCGAACTAAAAAGTAATAAATAATTTTCTATAAGTTCAAAAAGAAAAATTATTTTATCGTAAAATTTTGTAAAAATATTTTATTGACAAATATTGATACAAGTAAAGTTATAATAAGATATCTTGAAAACAACCCTACCCTTTTTAACTATAATTTTATAACTTATTACATATTTATAATTTATTTTCGCTTTTTTAGTCATTAAAGATGATTATTTTCTCTCATTAAGTCTAAAAATGTAACAAGTAAGTAAGTCACACATGCTTCTGCACACGCCTTTTAGGATGTAGCCACTACCGTATTTTTAGGTATGGAAAAAGCCGTTAATCCTGAAGATCCTGATCAGGATAATCTGCCAAATTTATCAAATTAGTGTATAGTCATCGGTCCTTGATAAGTGTGGGAAGTTTCAATTTAAATCAACGTTTTTAAGTAGGTTAAAATCAAGTTCAAATATTCCGGTACATACATGCAAACATAATGAATCATTTTTCAATACCTCGTTGTAAAGCAGTTAGCTAGCCAAATATCCGTTTATATGTTCAAAAATGAAAAAGTAAAACAAATGTTTCGTGTTGAATTGTAAATAAGTGGCTATAATATTTCGGCAAATGTTCTTATCGCCTCCTTATGTCATGAATGTGGAGTAAAAAACATAGTGAAAGGGATTTTTTTATGATCAACTTCAGTATACTCACATAATACGAGTAGGTGCATAGAGTTATGATTTGGAAATAGGACTAATGCCTGCCTTCATCATCCATCATAATCCTTAAGCAAAACTTAGGCTTGTTTAAGCGTGTGTAACTATGTACAAGGAAATTAATGTTATTGTAATATGCAGGTCTTGATAAGCGGCTATTTGGTTGCAACGTTCTCTCCTTTACTCCGCTCTGTCATCGCTCAGTACCTGAAGATGAAAAGAAACGTCCTAGTGTTGGATGTATTTCCTGTTCTGGTTCGATCTTACCCATTGTAAGTGTCTAGTAAATTAAAATTTAGAATATTTATTTATTATCTTTATATATATAATTCTTCTGTGAGTGTGTATGTCACTGAACTTCTCTCAAACGACTGGACCGATTTTGATGAAATTTTTTGTGTGTGTTCAAGGGGATCTGGGAATGGTTTAGATTCACAATTTTGAATGGTAAGGGTGACCCATCCCTAATTTTTTTTTTGTTGCAATACAACGTTTGCCGGATCAGCTAGTATATATATATAATTTGATATTAGGAACATTATAACTTGAGCTTAATATTTTATAGGTCTCAATAAGATCACCTTTCATCGTGCGATGTTTTAGTGTCGGTAATTTTAATACTCTTAAGCGTTCTTCATAGGTTTTATGTCGCAAGCCAAACAGTATCTTAGTTGCTCGCTTTGCATACTTTTCAGGAGGTCAATATCCTTTGCAAGGTAGGGATCCAAATTTGAAAAATATAGTCGACATAAGTTTTTGACGAAAACTGAAGGACGTTGGAATGCATATCGTATGGCATAAAGGAAAGAATTTGCCTTTTTAACTATGAAATTTATGTAGTCAGCCCATTTTAAGTATTTATCTATCCTGTTGTGTATTATATTATATTCAAAATTTCAGCATTTTTTTTTTAAGTCTTAAACGTCCAATATCTTGAAAATGATTACATTTGGGATATGGTATTCTAGTAGTTTAATCTATCAGTAATAATGGCGTCTACTACCCCTAAAGCAGGCATTCCCAAAGTGATCGATATCGATCCCTTGGAGTACATCTTTACTAATACGTAGACAGAGACAGAGAAGACACAATTGGAGTGCGGCTTATTTTACCAGCCATTGCGAAGGTCCTCAACAATATATTACACAAGCACATGATATTATAAAGAGACTTCCTTTTATCAGTAACACCGTTCGGAGATGAATAGACAAGATAGATTGTAACGTGGAAAACGTTTTTTACAATTTTTTACACACCAACGTATTCTCTCTCCAGTTGGACGAGTTTACATTACTTGGCAATGAAGCTCTGTTGTTAAGATATGGCCGATATATTAATTATGAAAAATGTGCCAAGAACTGCCTTTTACTACATATTTAGAGACTGATACTAAACTGGCCGTGGAACGTTTTTTTAATGACAAAGCTATTCCAAGGAAGAACATTGTTTCTGTTGCAACCGATTTTGAACCATCTATGGTTGGTCAACGTCATGGTTAATTTGCAGCTGCAGGGTGACGATCTAAACTGGATTAGAACAAAAAATTTAATATCGGCCTTTGTGGGTTAACTTATTCTTGATAAACAAAATTTAAGCATAAAAGAATTTTCACAATTTGGAAAAGGGATCTCTTGCCCTAAATAGTTTGGGAATCCCTGCCCTGTAAATATATGTTATGGTATATATATGGTATATATCTTTGAAACTTCTCTGCATAACCTTGTAATGCTACGTAAAATAAAACTACGTAAACGTAAAAGAATTGTGTTCCATTCTACTTTTTATTATATTGAGTCGGTATAAAGGTAGTAAGTATAACCTTAACATAGTGTTAAAATAACAAATCCCATGAGATTACAAGCACACGTGCAAAACACATCATTATTAGGTACTACTTTTTGTTTGCAACTGAGACATTCAAAAGAAAATTAGCTATTGGTATTTCCGTATCGATTATAAATATTATATAGAAGAAAAATTTGGAACAAACGCTATACCAACTCATCTGTATAGTAGACCATAACCTCCTTTTTAAAGAGAGGCAGTATGTCCAGCAGTGTACTAGTGTAATGATTAGGTAGAAGGATAGATTTTGTTTTAGCATAAACAGGTATCTAACACACTTATTCAAAAAATTTAGTAAAATAATAAAATAATAACACAGCACCACAAAAAAAATCAATGAAAGGTTCCTTCGACCAGACCAAGTGTTTTATTTTTTTTGGGTCCCCAAATCCAAATCCGTAACCTGATTTTCTGTCATGATTTTTATGTCCAACATCTTAATGAGCATGATGATCATGATACAAAAACGTACATTCATTTAACAGAGCTGCTCGCCTGACAAAGCCATTAGGGAAGCTTCTTGGACAGTTACTGGCGTCACTTACCCACAAGGGCCTGTCTTCGAGCCGACTTGAGATGGTGGGCGCTAGTTTAGGCGCTCACATTGCATCCCATGCAGCTGTAGAATATTACCGCCTGACTGGACAACGACCCGCTAGGGTAACAGGTATGCAAATAAAAATTAAATTTTCTATATTTTAAATTAAAAATAAACGTTTCCACACAAGTTTTAAATTCAATAACACCTCGGCTGAAAAATGTAACTAGACTGTGGCTCATCGTTAGACCTTTGGAATAGGCGCTAAGGATGGAATAAAATCACAATAACCCATAATAAACCATATGATTTAGAAATCATAAAATCACACCTGTGACTTATTATTATTACGCTAACGCCAGACAGGTGACAAATTAAAAAAAAAATACAGGTAATCTTTAATAAAAATATTTTTTATTGATTTTATAGCATGTATCTTTGTCTATGACCAAATCACATCACAGTTGAAATTGCTGTGTCTAAAACCAATCATTTCATCATATGAATATGATTTAAAAGTAGCAATCATTTCCATGTCTAAAGAAGCCTTGTCTACTCGTGAGCTTAAGATTTTTGAGATACCACATGTAGAATGTTATTATTTTATAGCGTTCTAAAACCTAACAAAACTAACAATTGTATAGATGGGGACGTCAAAATCTTAACTGAACAAAGCACCTAATTTCATTTCGTAATGTATTTTATTCTTTTTTAAAATGCTTCATCTTACCGAACTTAAATCCTTTGTTCCTAACAAAACTAAGAAATTTGCAACTTAATTCGACAGAGACAAACCCATGGTATTGCATGGTACATTAGTTTATTTTGTTGTTTGTATTATTTAATTTATAAATGTATAATTGAATGTGTGCGGCCAATCTTCTAAGTATAAAAACTCAAAACATCCTGTTACTAATGAGAGACCGATTTGTACTTGTAAACGGCATTACAGGAAAACCAGTTATATGTAAGGGCTAAAGACCTCTCGTTCCAGGTTTAGACCCCGCCGGGCCCTGTTTCCGCAACCTGCCTAAGAAAGCGAGGCTACACGCAGATGTTGCGGAGAAGGTGGATGTAGTGCACACTAATATTGATGGGTTTGGGATAGCTGAGCCGTTAGGTGATGTCGACTTTTATGTCAATGGCGGTGAGATTTTAATTTTGTACTTAACTGAGTTGCAGTAACTTGCAACACACAACTGTAGGAAATTGTAGTAGATCCCTACTACAATCAGGCACTTTACAGTAAAGTTATTTTAATAAAAGGTACATACACAAATGCTATCAGTATATAATTATAATACTATACACAGTATCATAATTATATACTGATAGCATTTGTGTCGGTCGCAGTGACCGTACCTGTGGTAGTGTAAAAAACCATAAATGAATTCGTATTTTTTCTTTATGTACATAATCTAAAGTGTAATTGAACAAGGCTGGAGGTAAGCCTGTTTTAAAAAGATCTGCATATTTTTATCTCGGCTTAGATTTAGCTTTAAAAATATGTACATGTTGCCAAATTAAAAAAAAACAAACTGCAAAATAAATACGTGGTTTTTCTTATAACAATTTTCTTCTGAAATAGAAGGGTCAACTGTTCTATTAATAAAAAGCCTAACGTACTTATTAACATTTTATTTCAGGCGAATTTCAACCTGCTATAAAAGGAGATTTCATACTTCCGTGTTTCCAACTGTGCAGCCATATTCGAGCTGGTTTCTATTTCCTCTTAGCTCACACAAACCCAGACCAATTTATCGCTGTTGGTTGCGATTCGGTGGCAGAAGTCCGTCATGGAAACTGTTTCGGAGGGAAAATAAAAACAAATGTACTTGGGCCAAGGACAAACTTTAATAAAACCGGGATATTTTACTTACCGACAGACGCCGTTTTCTCCGTATTATTTAGGATTAAATGGATTGAAGAAACGGAAATATGGAGTGAATGAATATTTGTTAAGCTCTTGCCCAGATGAAGACATTATTTTATAACATTATATTGTCTATTTTAATAAAACTATACACCTTGAAGGTTCATGTAAGGTTTTGGCTAGTTCATTGCCGTCGGCTCACTGCCTGCCACAACCATGATTATGCTGAGTGCTGGTAACAACGTCTTTAAAGCAATCGTATGTACAAAATAACCTAGCACTAGAGTTTCGATCTTAATCTTAATACTGGTGATGTATAGACATAACAGAGAGCGTGCGTTGACTGAACGAAAGGCCGCCACGCTATTGGTGGGTTTTCTATAAACTTCTCCAGCGGCGGTGTTCACCTTTTACTATATACATAATCCGATACCTGATAATACTCTTTACAACCGTGTGCTCGTCTTGCTGAGGTTATATAATGATTTTTCTGATATTTAAGGACTATTCTGTAAATGTTTATTTAATCAATAAATAAAACTCTACAAAGTAATACAAGAGCAATTTTATTGTAAATTTCATCACAATACGTATTAACAACTAGTTATTATGTTTCAGTTAGGCCGAAAGACTGCTTCGGTACAAAATCTAACTACGAACGTATGTACATTATGACAATACATAGGCTAGTAGTGGTCAGTCAGTAGGTATAAGCTCACTGTGAACTACGGTCGCCTCTGAGCAACGCTTGGAAGCCATACATGTTAACTAATATTATATTATACATACTACATTGAAATTCGGACATCATTACCTTTGATATATTTTATTGACTTACAATTAGTTCAACTAATATTGGGATAAATGAGAGTTGGACCTCACTTAGCTGCATGGCTTAGCATCTGATATTTAAAAAAAAATGAAATATTATATAAAGAGGTAGAATATACAATCAAGTACAAAAGTTATAGTATACTTTCTGAATACTGGAAATTAATAAATCATGAGGTGAAAATGCGTAGACGCTTCATTTTCTAAACGTGGAATTTTAGACCATATAATATTGTATCAGAGTTCTGTATGAATGCTACTATCTTCTTATAAGTGAAATGAAATGTGAATAACTAAAGCTTGTGAAGTCAAACTTGTATAAGTCACTACTTAACACACTTAGTCGCACGCTGCACTTATGATAAGGTGATACCAAATAGGATGTCTCGTGGAATAAACTTGGCACATTCAAGCGCTTTTCTAATACCCTACTTTGAAAAGCCGTGTATTAAAATACGAATTTTGCAGATCATTTGTTACAAAGATATTGTATGATTGTGTACCTATTAACAGTCAAAATAGCGAAAAGAAATAGTTTAATACTCGTAATGTAAATAAAAAATACTTTCGCGGGGTCTAATAGATTTGATAAAGGAAAACAAGTACATGAAATTTTCTTTCTATATTTGTTAAAATAAAAATAACAAAATGTTTTGACAACAAATAAACCAAAAGAAAAAATAAATTCAATTTTGTTCTTACAACAATTATAGGTTTATTATGCGCTTTTCATTTGAAGTATATACAACCAATTTTTTATATCTTGTCCTTATGTACAGTTTGTAAATGCCATTATCGTTATGTATTTTATCTCCTTTTACGAAATACTGTTCAAAACATTGGGCTATTATTACTACTGCTTTTAAAGACGGGAGGAGAATTGACAACACGTATTTGACAAACCGTGTAACCATGTATATCCTGGTTTGAAAATAGGTGTAGAAATAATGACTGTCCAGAAAAAACATCTTTGACTCTGTATACACTGTAGTCACCTTCACAGAAGCTTGTTATTCAAACTCACTTAGATCCTCGCAAAACAAACTCAGTTGGTCTCAGATTCTTGTTATAATCCCTACTAATATTATAAATGCGAAAGTAACTCTGTCTGTCTGTTATGATTTCAAGGCTAAACCGCTGAACGGTTTTTTATAACATTTGGCATGGAGATACTATGTTTATTGAGGAAGGACATAAGCTACTTTTACCGCGATAACCGACATACACGAGGTGGAGCCGCGAGCAAAAGCTAGTAGTAATATGATGTACCGTTATGGGCATAAACACTCCACACAATATTGCAATTACATATGTGTAATTATATAAAGTAATTTAAATAGCGTTACAGAAATAACGTTACTTTAAATACATGCTCGATACATTTTCCAATAAATATCTAATCTAACAATAACCTATTAAGAATAACAATCAAATAACACAGATATAAGTAGTATACAGTAAAGCATATTTCATAGAAACTAAGTAATAATATGTGACAATCGCGACCATTCATTCAGATCTCTAAATAATTATATAAAATAATGAATATATATATGCACTATATATGTAGAAATAAAGGCCTACTGCATATGTTTGGTTTACTAATTCTATTATGAAAATACGTTTGAAATTGATACAGTAAAAGCGCAGTACAAAGCGAAAGCATACTCTAGACTTGGACATATTTGGTAATAGAATGGAAAAACCAAACCTGCATGGCCATATTAAGACTCATTTACACGAAGATAATTTCAAGAACATGATTCGATGAGAAGAACAGGTATAAAACAAGAATTCGAGAAATCATTCTCATGTGAAAGTGTCCTTAGTATGATTCGCCTTAGCAAGTTTAAGACGAGCAGCACCGCAACATACCGCAATACACTTTTAAGCATTATAAAATAATCTAAAAATAAAATTTAAATTGGAATGTGGCTAACATATAGGTGCCAATTGAACTCGTATAACCTTCACGTTTTTTTATAACTTTAAAGATATCGTATTTTTGACTCCAAAAGTGAAATAAGGTAGTTTTTATTAGGGGCTGGTCCCGAAATGGGATCCTATTAAAAGTGTAACCTTATTTCATTTCAGAGTTTGCTAAAAACAGTAAATTCATACTAGGGAATATGCATGTGACGCTAAAATGGACAAAATATTTTTATTTGTAAACTTTATTGCTAAAAAAACATACCTATACAATCATTTTTGAAATTTATCATAATTTTATAGTAAAATGTTCTCATCAAAAAGTGTCTTTTCTTTTAAATTACCTTTCCAATTTTCAAAATTATTAGTTTTCCGTGTTAAAAAGTATTAAATCCTTGTGAAGAAAGACAATGACTGTAACCGGTTTTGTCAAATCACAATCAGATGATCTTCCTAAAATAGACGTGTTTATGATGATAATTAACTGTTTATTACAAATAATTTTCTGTATCCTTTTCAATCTGAAACCCAGAAATAATTAGAAAGGTAAATAAAAATAGTTTCGAACTTCTATAATAAGTTATAATTCATTTTTTCAGTCATAGGCAATACTCTTATGGATAAATACCTATGTATTAGATATTGAGAATATCTTTAAGAACTTTTCGTAAACTAGGTTGTTTTCGTCTCGAGGTTTGTAAAAAAAAAAGTATGTGCAGTTAACTAAGTAAAATGATCTTCACAACAGTATAGACAGCTAAACCACGATACATTGTTTCTTCTCATCGCCTTGTACCACTTTTTCCTTATAACTGCATCTTACGGCATTAGTGAATATACTTTGTCAGGTGCAGTTTTGATGTTATTACGGCGCGTAGGAACGACACGATACTTATAATAAGCTTTTCTGTGTTTTTACATTCTAATAACTTGATTTTATAACTCACTTTTAAACTTTCAGTGACTTTGTGAACCAAACACTTGACATCGAACTCTTGTAATCTGACGTCACAGAATAAGCGCTCTAAAATGGCTTTATTAGCTCAATGGTTTATATTTCGGGTGTATTATATTTATTTTTGGTAGTGTAATAACAAGTAGAAACTTAAATAAGACATGCATATTCCCTATTACGTTTACGGCAATTAACGCACTTACGACAGGTATTAAATATATACTTTTCAGTCAGCTTGTAATTACGACCAGTGCAACCTGGTCTAAACGGTCGAATTCTTGCCTTCTTCTGTTCTGTTCCGGCACAAAATTTACTTTAACTGTCTTCATGCAAATAATGCGTTACTAGTACCTAATTTAATTGTTTTTTGTGTTCGAACAAATCGAAAGTTACTGATATATACTATGCATCTAATAAATTAAATGAAAATAATAAATCTATACATGTTTTACTAGAATTCATACAGAGTTTAATTTCATCACGTGATACAAAATAAACTGCAAATGAGTTTTAATCCAGTGTTATTTTATTTTGTTTTTTTTTTATTCTGATTGTAAAGAACTTAGATAAAAGACTTGGAAATATCTTCATCTTACATTGATACGGGATACTAAAAAATGTATACCCGGAGGATTGAATCCATAATATTACGACTTAGCTATCACTGTTATGTTGATATGTCGTCATTAATTTTATATTATACCCAAAATCAAACACCAATATGGACTGGTATCTATTTAAATTATACGTTGTAACGCTACAGAAATATATGTTTTATAGGTTTTTTATTTTATTGTAGATAAAATATTCCCCCATTCATCTTCAGCTGCACTGCAATCCTTACTTGAAGTAAACATATTAATATTTATTTCAGATTTTCAACTTACTTGCGTTTGTTTTTATGACCGATTATTTCGGTCCTAAAGGGAGTCCTTATCATGGGGGAGCGACCTGTCGCGTCGGCATTACATACAGCGACACGGTCAAGTTGACACCAATCACGTTAGATAATTACTAAGGCTATAAAACTATACTACTGCATAAAATGGTGAAAACATATGTATGTTGGAAACATTGTTCAAATTGAAAAACTACTGTTTATAGTATACTCAGACTAAGACATCTTTAAAAAGGCATGTGGTACAGTTATTATGTATTAAATTCCTTCCATGTCTAATTGCCTAATGTAATTACTACAAGTTACTGACTAAATTATATCTCGCCGTGATTACAATTGCGGAAAGAATTTACCTACATAAAAGTAAAAACTCACCTTGCTAAGCTTGTCTTACCAATAAACTAAGACAACAATATATTGCCTGAACTAAGTCATTTGCTATTTTCTTTTTAGAAATTTTAGATCTTCTGTCTTTTCGCAAATTATTATTAATGAAGTTATTTTTGAATCTCTATATTTTCTATTTACAGCTAAAATCGCATGCCAGCTTTATTCGCTGTACAAATCTATCGAGGCTTTTTTTTATTTTGCAATTTTATTTATTATTTATTTATATTCATGTTATTAAGAGACTCCAAAAAAGAGACGGTTCTCAATTCGTTTTCGTTTTTTTAGATGTATTTTATTTTTTACTGCGGTAGCTCATTTCAAATATTTTGTTGAAAGCATTACTTTGTTTTTTCGATTCTATTCTTCTAATATGTTGATTTTTCAAATAATAACATATAGATACCGCCGAGTATTGGATAATTAAATTGGTTACCTAGTTCATTGTTAAAAATTGTCTTTAATTAAGGCTCAAAATTTTTAATTTTATCGAGTATGAACAAAAATTGTTGGTTTAATAAGTCGACATTTCTTGATAAAGAGAATTAAATAAGTAGTATAAATTCTTAAAATATGATTTAAAAGTTCCAAGTTAAAAAACTTTTACATAATCCTCTATTGATGACTTTGGTGCTAGTTTCACGGGAGCTTTCTACTTTTATAGTTTTAACCGGTTTATAACTACATATTATTTGTACAAAATTTTACTAGATGCTGACTATATTATAATTGAAATCACGTGTAATAAAAGTAATTGTCTTTTATTACCTACGGTTTAATCATGCAACTCTCTTCATTGATATTACACAGCTCACACAAAGAAAAATGCCCAAGTTTCTCGTGTTTTTTTTTACTTCTTAACTAACTCATTGCTGTAATATTTAAGGTTTATATTACATGCAAACTTATTCTTCAGATTATATACATACATACCACTAATAAAGCATTATCATTAAACTACCATTGACTTTAAATATACAAACTATAGAAGGAATAAGAACACTCCCATCAGATTTAAAAGTTAGGATTTCATAATTATCCGTAAATGTTAAAACAAATATTCTCCTTGTTTGTAATGAAAGCTCCCGTGAAAGAGCGTATGTTTCCTTATAATTGACCTATTTGCAACACTACGTGCTCCATATCGCAGAGCCGGCGATTATTAGCTACCGTGGGATATACTCTAAAGGATACCACGCTACAGTTTCTTCCCTCAAGCGCAAAGAACTCAGTGGTATCACCACCCCACCTAGGAACTGATTTTCTTGCAAAGAATCATAGTTCCATACGGTAGCCTGTAGGCATCTGTTCTTGATGACATCTAGGGGAAGGCGGTACTCGAGCATCTCCATGAATGAAGGGTGCGAGTTTCGTTTTAAAACGCGAGTTTTTCGCTTCGTTTCTTTCGTTGGATCGGGTACCAGATACACCTGAAAAGAAATGTAACTGTAACTTAATGTCCAACCTTAATCAAATTAGGGGTATGATCCATTTGTGTATAAAATACAGTTTATTAAAGCAAAAGTAAAGTCAAAAAGTTCTAGACGGCAAGAGCACGCACAGAAGTATATATCGTACCTTAACATAAGGATTAGGCGGTAATCCCTGAGGAGTGAGTGCGAGCGATTGTGCGTGCAGTATTAATACGGAGAGCACGCCACCCGCGTACTGGACAGATAGCTTTAGTGACCCAGAACCACTTGTTTCAGGTTCCGTTGATTCACCTGCAAGCAAAACCGATGTAATGGACAATGTAATATGAAAAAAAAACCTTTAATATATAAAGTTGCAAAAGTACCTATTCAATGCCAGTAACCTTTTTCTCAATAGAATATTTTACTCTACATGAGAAAAAATCTAAAAATATATTATTGAGATGAGCATAAAATAGTTGCCACCTTGTCATGTCACCACGTCACATGGCAGTGTTAACTACACAGGGTCACTGTCAACTAATCAGATGTATTCGTCAAATAATGAAATTTAAAAATGTTAAATTTTATTATGATGATGATATGAAGATAAAATTGATGAATAAGGATGAGTGAGTCACGGTATGTCAATAAACTATTGTATAATTATTATTAAGGCAGATGAAGGTAATTGCTTGTTTTTAATAGCATTACTTTACCAGGGATTTATTAATTAATCATTTCAATAATCGCATTTGTAATCATAAGTTTAGAAAATGTTACAGATCACTTGTACATACTTCGTTTCTTATTCTAAAACTGTACAATGCTTTTCTTCTGAGTGGCTTATTCTTAGATGTACAACAATATTACAACACTTATTATTATTTTTGAAGTGAAAACTTGTTTATATATTAATGTAATTATTTTTTTAACAAAAAACACATTTTTTGGAATGGGAAAAACCATTGAACTCGCGACACTGTTCCCGTTACCGCTACCGACCCGTCTGTTGAAGTGAAAACTTCTTTGGGGGCGTTAAGCATTTTTGAGATGGAAAAAAACAATTGAACTCGCGACACTGTTACCGTTACCGAGACCTCTTATATATAATCTCAAAGTATATAAGTTTTCACTGCTGTCGGCACTCCCGGGGTGCCACTGTTTTTGCCTTATTTTTTATTCAACAATGTCGCTGGACGTAACAAAAATATGCATGGCATAGAAATCAATAAAATCTACCTTTCCTGTTCAAATGATCCACGTCCTGTTGATCCCGCAGAAGTGGGTGGAAGAATGTGTACACCAGGTCCGAATGAGCGATTTCGTCTGCCAAACTGAACAATGACGTCAAGAAAGCTTGAACATCATTAAAGCGTCTGTCTGCTACTTGACGAGTATTAGACCTTCCCACATGAAGACCAGAAGGCAGACTGAAAAGAAGAATAGTAAGCTAAAAATGTGGAAAAACAAAAATAACGGTTTTCGTGTTCGACAGCGATATTGCAACATGTGCATTTTCGACAATGTGTAGAATAACGGAAATATCGACCTAGTGATAGTGACTCATTTCAATGTAATCATGAATTATTATGTGTAATGTAGTTGATATTTATTCTGTGTAATAGGCATTTCCTTTAATCTGTATTGGTTGTAAATAAAATTCTTATTATCTACAAGCCATGTTGTGTGTATGTGTGTGCCGAGGCTCTAATTTAACTATAATTATTTACAAAACTATGGATTCTAAAAAAATGATGTCGGTAGTAGGCAAAATAAGAATAAAAATAGGTACTGAACTGTTGATGTTAGCCACTTTTCCTATTCTAATAGTATCCAATAGCAAAATAATTATTGAAATGCAATTTAACGCGCTTATTTTTGCGACTATTAGTCAGACTATCTCTAATATTAAAAATAAACAAGACAAACAATTATCACTTTCAAATTGGTACTGTATTGTGTAAGAAATAAGGTCTTAATTAGAAATTTGAATTCACTGACACGGCGTAACAATATCTCATAATTTTGTGGGTAGGTTGTAAATAAATCTAATTATAATAAATCCTAAAATCTTAATAAATTCTATGTAAGTCAAGTCTGTATAATGAACTATGCGTGTTATTGTATTTTAATCGTGTTCTTTTGAATCTTTTGTATTATTTTTCTAGTATCAGTGTCCAGTGATGGCTAGTAGCTATATATTTTAGCATTTTAAACGCAATTACAATTTTCTATACCTCGCTTCTAAGTGGGTAACACATATTTTATAATAGTTTTGCTACACTCTGTGATGGACCAGTGTGACATCTAACACCACTGATTTCTGATAATACGTGGGTAGTCGGGCAAAATTGTGATCAATACATGTTCTAGTTGTTGTGTTTAATCTTTGTTCGATTCTTGTTTGTATTTGTGTCTTGTGCTGGAGTAAGATCATAACCCATGTTCACTGAATGAATCTAATTAAGATGTTTTGGTTTGTGTCAAATATTGAAACATGATTTCTCAGTTCCCTTTTAAAAATACTTTTTTGTTTGTTTTTGGTGGCCTATAAACTGCACAAACAACTGCATCAGAATCTGTGTTTAATTTAATTGTTTCAGTAGGCAATGTTTTCGTATCTTGTTGTTTTGTGTTCTAGTAGTGTGAACTTAATATAGTTTTTATCATATTTCACCGCCGTGTTTGTTTTTGTACAGTTGTGTGTACATGTTATGGCCGGGTACATTAAATAGATGAGCAAATTTAGTTTAAGATACCAGTTATAGTGGGCGGGGATGTACACTTTTCGATTTGTTATAGTTTTGTGTAATGTTTGTTTATTGACCTAATATTAATATGAAAACCACTGATAAAAAAGCTTTGCAAGGAAACTCATTTAAAGAAAGTGTGTAGTAAATAAATACATACACTAGTATATTCAATATAACTAGTAAAACTTAAAATTTTGCTGCTTACAAAAACAGGCACATAAAACAAAAATAAAACATAGTTTTAAGTGGCTTTTAAAAAGTTGATCATACATCGACTTTTAAATAAATTTTGTTTTTACTTTCCCTTCTTGCCAACACTGCTTGCCCTTACACGAAATGTATTGATGTGACTTATTTAATTGCATTTTAGCGTCATACAAAAGTGTCTTTTAAGCTCGGTAAGGGATTCCTTAGGGAAACGGTTTTCGACGGATCCGGTTTCCGGCGTTTTCCTTAGAGATGTCGAGCAACACAATTTCTACTGTGATGAGCTTTTCTTCAGATCCATTTGCGGACTACAACAATTTTCATCTTAACTACTCGTAAAATAGAGCTAGATTTTGTCTTGGTGCCCGATAATCATAATCACAGCACATACTGTACATTATTTTGGTCTAGGTACATTCAATTTCAAGGCACCATAGTTACAACTTTCTCATGATCTTCTCGCGGTCTTCAAAGATGGTAATGTTTTTTAATTTGCTTTATAACTTGTTATCCGTTCCCCAGAGCAGATAATATCAACTCCAAAATTTATTTTTGTTTTGTAAGTCTACGTAATTGTTCCACAGATTTCTTTATTTTTAGAGACTTCTTTTTTATTCTTATTTAATCACTTAAAAGTTCTAGTAAGCTGTCCAAATTACTTAATTCTCCTCTAAAGGTTTTTATTAGTCATCTTATGTTAGTTTACATGTATGCAAAATTTAAAAGTTCATAGGAGACTTCTCCTCGGATTCAACGTTATCTTTATCTATAAATCTATAAATTCACTATATCTATAAATAAATAGCTCCACATTCTATTTCTAGAGTTTCACCGTGTAATGAGTTGATTATTTGATAACAAAGCATCAGTATGAATTGTCCTTATCTGTATCGGCCCAGGTGGTCCTGGTATGTTTAATATTTATGTACAACAAAAATTATCCAAGTTAACCATACATACATCACTGTCCTAGTTAGTAGTGTACATACAACCCATTGTTAATTAATGATATAAGTATATTAATAACATTGTTTATAAGTACAATAAGCAATATTCTAATTACACATGCAAAATTCCAGAGATTAAAAAAGTTAAGCAAAGATATATTTTTTTTATATTAGTTAGATAAGTACCTATAGGTAAATAAGCTATTTACAAGTGACATAATTAGATTTATGATAAGAGATCAAGATATAAATTTAGACAATTCATAGTCGTGGCGTTTAGTATTGTTATTTACCAAATAATAATGTTAATTTTGTTGTTTTCTTATCGAATGAATTCAAATTAGTAGAGTATTAACATGCGTGTGGCTCCTAAATATTGTACAAAGTGATTAAAATAATTTCAAAGTGATAAGATAACTATTATTCGTACCTTGTCAGTATACTTGTTATCTTATCACACAAAAGGACGTATTGATTCAAACAGTAATGGACGAACAACTCTTGCAATCGTTTATATATTGTTTGCATATTTTTTTAGGTTTCAATAACTGATAAAATATTCAGCACCGGTAAGTAACAATATTTAGACACTTCTTTAATAGTAAAAATGCAGATGCAGAAGAATGTTTATCGTCAAAAAAAAATTGTTTTTACTTTTTGATTGTCATGATAAAAAAAATATATATTTTTCAGATACATAATAAAATTACGCAACAAAAATAGTTTTCATTTCATTGTATATCACAAGAGCAGCCTGATGTTTAAGTTTGGAAAATTTAAGAGTACCTTTGATGTGTACAGTGCGACAAAGGGCGGACACCAAGAACGTGTCAGTGATGGAATATCATCTGTAACTGGAGCTTACAGACTTAGTAGGAATGAGTTTTCTAGTAAGTTTTAATATACAACTGACATACTTCCTCAACTACTTTGAGTCATGTAAGACATTCATGCACTATCATCGTATCGTACTTAGATCAACATATTTACCAGTTCTTTTACATACTATTTTTAATGATTTCCTATTTACAAATAAAATGATTGCTTGGTTGGAAATATCAAACAATTCCTTTTTGCCCTTAAAACATAAATTAGACAAAAAACAGGCTTAATATACGAACATAGGTTTAAGGTAAAAAAGTCTGTTGAGTAACTTAAATATACATGTGCCTTTGAGTCTGTGAAACCGCTATTGTTAAGATAGCGCCATAGATAAATTATAAGTTAATTATTTATTTCAAATCGTTGGTTTACATACATTTTTCACAGAAGTGTCTTTAATGTGATTTTAAAGACACTTCCTTATAATTGACACTTGTTATTATGGTTTAAATTTTATCATGAATTATCTCAAGGATAGTATTTATTATGTATAATGAATATTTCTGTCTGTATGGATTGACAGATAATCAAGTAATACATCATTTTAATAGTTAATCAGACGGTTTTACAAATGAAATAAATGTCTGTATTCCGTTATAGTGCCTGGCAAGTACTCAGAGACGCAAGAAAAAGTAAACGTTGCGGCTCCAGTGCAACCTAAGATCCCACCACAACAAATATTAGTGTCAAGTCGACAACCTAAAAGCTCTAAGGAGGGTGTAACGAACAAACTTCCTCCACCACCGATACCACCAACGCAATCTGGGGTGGTTCTAAACCCGCAAGGACCAAGTGAACCCGGCAGTGCACTAAGTGAACGCGTCAGAGCAGTAAGTGAACCCAGTATTAAAGAAGCAAGTGGTCCCAGTAGTAAAGGACCAACTGCAAATCCAAATAATAGTCAGCGACAACTAGACGCATATAAAAGAGTGGAAAAAAAACGACTCGAGGAACAAAAGAAGTTAGAAAAGAAAAGGTTAGAGGAGCAGAAAAAACTGGAGAAGAAACGATTAGAAGAACAGAAGAAAAGTCAGAAATTAGCGTTACAGGAGCAAGCAAAGCAGGAAAAATTAAGAAAAGAGAGGGAAAAGAAAGAGGCACAACAATTAAAGAAAGATAAGAAGAACAAGAAACAAGCACCACAGAGACCTTTAGCAAACCCTATGGCGCAAGGTTCTTCCCAGGCGCCTAGTAATCCCCCAGCCCAGTCAAGTGCTGACCCACGTTCTACTAATACTTTAAATAGCTCAATCAGTAAGACAAGTGGTCCACCGCCCTATTCAGAAGTTCCTCAGTCAGAGAGAAAGGAGAATGAGACCAATAGTAACGTGCAATTTCGCAAGCCAGTTGAAGCCGATAGCTGGGATTTAGTAGCACAGCACAGACACAACGTCAGTACCGGTAAAAATGCGAATCCAACGCAACCCGTAAAAGGCCAGACTACGATGGATTTAAACTTTAGTTTGGGTGAAGGTAAAAGTAATGCTTAATTTCACTTGTTTGTGAATGCTTTACGGCTGTATTAACTATAGAAACTGTGAATTGACAAATTGTGACATAATCCGGGAGATGACAACTTTTCAGAATTAGTTTTAAACGCTTCAAATGTTTAAAATAACATGTTAATTAAGTACTTTACTAATTATTTTACTCTTAAATCTAATAAAAAATATGTATTTTCAATTTAAATAAAAAAGCCACAATAATTCAGCATTCACCCAGATCACGTGACTACTTTTGAACGTCATAGTTCAAAAAACTAAACTCTACTGGTATAGAGTAAATTAGCACTATACCCGCATATAAATTTTACATTTCTGTATCCAGAAGAACTCTATTTGGAGCTACTTCGTGCTGTCGTCTTTTACAAAACCTTTTTTATTGTTAAAAAATCACTATTTCCGTACCTACAATATTTTCAAATCACTTTTCTGCACAAATTATTATTCCTCTTTGCAGGTTATGCACCTGCTATAAAGCTGTCAATATAGACAATTGGCTCACATTTTCTGAAAGTGTTTCCAAGCTTGACTCACGGTATCACACGTGACTCATGGACAGCTTTATTGCAGGTTAAGCGCAAAAAGAAATAATAACTGATCTAATGATATACCGATGATCTAATTTTTCTCAATTAAAAATAAATTAGTAATTATCTTTTCTTCATTTATAATATTTTAGGTTTTCTATCAACGCTACCGTTTTCATCTTCTTAATTAAATAGTTATTTTTAAATATATGTACTGGCCACTCACGGATTGTGTTAAAGTTACTTTTGTTTTTTGATTTATACAGATAATTTCAATCACAAACATCGTAAGGCCTATTAAACATGAATATAACTGTATAAGACAATCATCAATAGCTATTTTAACTTATTTAAAAACAGAACAAAACAATATCTCTTTTCAGATTTATGAGGGGGGAGTTAATAAGAACTGGTATTTTAAAAGATATTTAATATCTGCATTTGTTAATGTTAAAAAACATTAAGTTATCAGATTTTAAGTATTTGATTTGTATGAGTATAAGTATTTAACAAAAAACAAATGTTGTAATTCAATTATTACATATTTTTACATTCCTAATCGGCATTTTTATTTCAACTAAAGCTTTGATAGTTATTTTAATCACAGCAATTACATGTGTTTTCCTTAATATCACTTTATTCCAAGTACAATGTTTATATCTTATCACGTATGTATCAAGTTACAGTATCGAGAAATACCTAAATAGTTACATAATTGAACATGCCGTGCTATATGGACCAGAGGGTCTATTATATTTAATTAATTCAAATCGAAAGTTCTCTTGTGTAGAGAATTAAACAATGTGATTGATTATTTCTAATGATACAATATTGATATGAGCCTGAAGTCTCCTTAAGGATAAATAAATAAAATATATACAGGCAAAGACAACACAAACCAAAGAGTGTAGATCTCCTCTACTTCTCAACCGATTTTCTAAAAAAAATATTTGCCTGCCTAAGACCATCCAGTGAACGCTAAGAAATATCTTAGCGTTCACTGGATTCGCCGTGCGGGGTGCCGGGCCCATCGCGTGATAGATGGGGACAACACATGCATCTTCGACAGTGCCTGGGAGTTACGACCGGGGAGTAGGGTTAGATTTAATATATTCGTTAACACGTGTGGAACGTCAATACTAAAAAGAACCAAATAAATCTATAAATGAGATACAAAAATGACGACTCCTTTACTATAAATAATAAATTGTACTGACCTGTGAACTTTAGCTAATGGGAAGTGGAGACAAATCTTCTGATACAGCTCAGTGAAGTGTTTGTACGAACGATACAACACAATGGGCGTAGTCTGGCCTTGTCTGAATATGCGTAGCGCGTATACGTAGTGCTTTTCAGGATCGTAGCGCTTTTCGTAGCCGAGACATTCTACGCTCAGCAGACGACCTTCCTGGGCCATTCTGAAAAAATAACAAATTGCTTTGATATACTATACTGCAGTGTTATATCTAGCAACATAAAATAATTATTTGCATATTACATATTGCAAAAACTTTTTAACTTACTGGAACAGAAGATAAGGTGCTATTTACAAAAAATTTACGTTTTTAGGATAACAGAAAATATTGCTTACGTGTATGTGCGGGGCATAAACGATAGTAGCTCTGAAGTGTTACTGCTCTGGTCGCCGCTTGCACGGAGTTGCGCTAAATTGTGAATGAAGAAGTTGATGGGCGTGAACCTGTATTAACAGACAAAAATAATTATACAAAATTACTTCTGTACAAGGTAATAATTATGGAGGGTTTAATTAATTAAGGGGCTCGTATAGGCCGTAAATCAGAAATATATTCCGTAGAAAGAAGTACATAATAATTCAAAAACCGATCGAAATCGTTTTTGTGACTACAGTACCCGCGGCTCAACGGTCGAAGTTGAAGGTGTCAATGCTAATAGGAACGAAGAAGTTTGAATAATAATAATAATTTCACACATCTCACACATGGCTGTCTGATTCCACACTAGACAGCTTGTGCTATGGTAACCATACTGCTGACAAACATACTTTTAAATTTCTAAATACACACATATTATAGATAAATACACCCAGCTAAGGAACAAATGATCGTGCTCATCACACAATGTAATCATTGTGTGATGAGCAGTTTACATTTGGTTCGATGCCATGAGTTTCGATGCCAAACGCCATGAGTTTGTTTGCCCTTTCTTCCCATGAGGCTCAACCCCTTGGAAACGGGCGGTTATAGATCGGCACAGGCATATCATAGATTTTGTATGGGTTGATTTTTGTTAAATTTATTTGGTTACTATTTGGCAAAACAGAGATTGTTGCTTTTGTGTGTGTTGATCTATGACTTTAGAGTCTACATCGAAGACGATTTCAAACAATTTTGGAAATTTTATGAAATAAAGAAAGTTTGAGTTTGAGTGAGTTAAAACGCTGCACAAGTAGTGAAGGTGGTGTAAGTGTACGCACTTGCTCTTGAGCGAGGAATGTATGAGCCGCGCGAAGGCGGCGGCGGCCTCTGCGTTGGTGGCGCCGGGCAGCAGCGCCTTGCGCACGTAGCTCACGGCCGCGCTGCTCACGCCGCTCACGCCCGACATCGCCATCTGCGCAAACATCATAACAATAGTTTCTCCTATAAAACTTTCATACACCGATAACGTCGAACTTAAACCGACTATCACCACACTGTACCGTAATTCACTTTTACCAGCCCCGGATCTGGAGGGAGGAAGGGGGGGGGCCAAACCGGGCCAATATTCTACATCTACTCTTAATTCTCACGCTACACGACATACACATAAAAACACATAACCAAAGATTTGGAATTACATTGAACACTGAACATAATTTAAAGGTGGCAAAGCATCTGCATAAATCAACACTAATTTTAATAAACTACAAAGTTGTGTTTGTTAACAAATCACACGTAGTTTATTAACTATCAAAATATTATTTACATAAAACATCTTTTTGTTACAAGAAATTCATTGCACGTAAACTACCTAATCGATATTTCGGATACAAAACTCCGATTGTCATTCGTCATCCGATTATAGACTGGAGAAATATTTTTATTGAAAGAACACACTAAAAAAAGAACTAAGTGACGTACTCAGGTGAGTTTTATAAGATAACTCGTTTAATTCGACAAAATAACAAACATTAACTCCAAAGCTGGTGAATGGTACTAACCAATGCGAACAGATCAAGTATATGATCGTGATGAGCTCGTACAATATTGAAGGCCATACAGCAGAGCTCAACAAAATGCTGGAACCGTTGTGTGGGACGTTCTCCGCCATTGATGACATATACCATGTCGTGGGTTAACACGAACGGCGCGCGGTCTCTGTTCAAAAAACAATAATAACACTCAGTATTTTATAAGGATTTATTCTTACATTTCATAAATGATCCATATTGAAATTGTTTCACAATCTACAACCAGAAGGGGGTAGACCTGTAATCAACTAGGAGAGTACCTTAGGCTTACAAATTAGTTTTTTTTTCGCACGACATACGTCGCACGCTATGTGAAAGTATATGTGAAATGTAATACGGTGTGGCGACGCATCGCCATGCGCAATCCAAATATTATATTTATTATTTCCATACTTAAGCTATCCTTCTGTCGGCTCTATATATTTTTTATGTGTAACATGTTATGTCTAGCGTTCAATCTGTGGGAGTGATTTAGTTAAAAGTGACGGAAGTGTGTGTATTCGAGGAAGCGCGCTATATTTAATTTGACCAATGAGCGCGACCAGTACACATCATAATACATAACTATACGGCTCACTCGCACTCGCACTCGAACATAGAAATACCTTTTAAAATTGCCAAACATCTGCGCATCTCCGAGGAACTTGCCAAAGTCGATATGGAACAGATGTCCGGATGTTTTCAACATGATATTGTCGTTGTGTCGATCGCAGATACCCAGTAAATATGTTGCTACGCTGTATCCCGCACATGAAGCTGCATAGGAAAGATATAATAACAATATTATAAAAGATCCCATAACATAACGTAGTAGCAGACCCGTTGAATCAGTAGTAGGTTTTCATTCTCTATTCGGATGTATTTAATGTTAATTATTGCAAATTTCTAGAAAACTGACTGTCAATGATCTACTGATCTACTCTGATTCTAATTACACTTTACGAGGTAAATAGTTCTTTAAATGTTGTAATATAGTATGAATTTACTACTTCATAGACCTTAGCTATCAGTAACCACATTTATTATTCAAAATATGTTTTAAACTAGAACAATATTATGGTTTCATTATTCATAGTTATTATCTGTGATAAAATCCATACAGATGGAAATAAATTGGTGAAGACGATCAAACGGGTTGTTTTTTTATGTATTTTGTGCCATTCTTGTATGAAATCCTGTTTTCAGTACCACAATTATATCTAAACCACCGTTTTAAATAAACAATGAAAGTAACTTACCAGTGAAATTATCCCTTGCCCTTTGGTATTCGAGTTCAGAAGGGTTGTGCTTCGCTAGCCATTCAGCTATAGGCTTATCTTTGAAAGATCCTGTGAGACCCCACTCAGTCTGTATGGCTCGAAGTGTTTCCGCTTCTGACACTATTTCAATCATGCCTGCGAAAGATAATTAGTATGAAGGTATTGACAACGGCAATGTAAATGTGACCATGGCGTTCTACTATATAATGAAATCTAAGTATTTGTATTTTTGTACTTATATAGGATATATGTCTCATTAGTTGGCGATCCAAAATAAATAAAAAAATGTATATTTATATCTAATTTTATAAATTGGTAAATAATAGAGTTCATTGATTCCTGAATATTTAGTTATTAAATAGGTATATTTATCTTTACAGCTCTGTTTAAAATACGATATATTCCTTTTGTATATTTATAAATATCTAAAGTAATAAGAATAGTTATACCAACCAGATAAAATGTCTTTTAATGTTGTATAAAAAAGTCTACTAGGGCATCGGGAGTAAAATAAAATCATTGTGTTTTGATAGAAGTGTATATGTTACTTACCCCTCTTATCGCTTGTAGGTAACGCTTGGAAGGTTACTATCCGTAGATCAAGCTCCGCCTTTAACCATAGACTGTCCATCACTTTAATCACTTGCAATACTAAAGAGTCTTGACGTAAGTCGTCACCGACCTGGTGAACAAAACATACATGTATATGATATAAAAGGTCTATTTATCTAAGAGTTAAATTTCATGAGTATTGTTTAAAAAAATCTATATATATGATAATAACAACGTTAAACTATATCCTGTTTTAATACAATTTTTTGTACAGAACGATTTAAACAGGAATTACCTTGAACATAGCAGGAATAACTGCATTATCACTACCAATAAAGTTGATCTTGAGTGGAAGAGTATTTGAAGCGAAGTACATACAGGATCTGTAACATTTTATATAATAATGTAAATATGATACGGTTAAATTTCAATAAGCAATAATTGGTTGCTAAGCATATTTTACTGGGTATTTTACAAAATAAACAAAACTAATCGCTATTTGTAAATAACGATAATACAGCAAATTACAATGTGACAGTCTTGTTGCTACCGCGTTGCTTTGATGACTGCATTTACTTACTATTATTCCTAGTATTTTTATTCACACCTTAATTACTCAGGTAGAGAAGTTAAGCCGTATATTACATGAAAATTTATATACACGTCATCCAACGTTCGAAATAGGATACAGGATGTCTTTCATTCAAAAAAAAGTACTGGTCCCGAACCACCACCACATGGCCACGACCCTGACCGGACGTGGGTGTCGTACCGGCCCGTATGAATTCTATATTTAATAAGTAAGTAAAGTTTATTGCAATAATGACAGGCCCTTACTTGATGTCCACGTCGTGCACGTACTTGTGCAGCGCGAGCGGCAGCGCGGCCGGCTCGTGCCGCAGCAGCGAAGCTAACCTCGTGCTGCCCGCGGTCAGGGCGCGCTGGCGAACGGCCTCCTTCGCGTCCTTCACCGATTGCGCCATTTCTGATAACGTCTGCACCACAAAACACGGTTAATGCCCATTCGGTACAGTTTTATCGTTAGGCATTTTACAGAATAGTTAAGGAGCTACCTTGACGAGGAGTTGTTGCCGCAGCAGAGTGTGCTGCAGAGCCTCGCCGACCACGGCCAGCAGCGCGCGCAGCAGCAGGCGGTAGCGCCACGCGCACGTCATGCCGCTGTCGTCCGTGGCCACGTCGCCCCCGCTCTCCTCCAGGGTTATTCCGAGAAATTCCTGGTTGGGCGCCTACGAATACGTAATAATACGCGATTATATAATCCCAGCCTGCTTTTTACAGTATTACCTATATAGGTAATACTGTAAAAAGCAGGCTGGGATTGATTTATTTAAACGCCGCAGGACTTTTGTTTATTACATACCTGAGGTATATTGGGTAGAGAATGTACTAATAACCAAAACAGTCTATGAGCCACAGCAGGGGAAGCGAGGGCACGGTATAATAGCAGCTCTGTAAAAGAGATAACAGTTTCAAAGTAAATTGTTACTTTTAAATTGCTGAGTCGATATTTGAGCATAATCTTAACATTTCCATGCTTTTCATCTTAATACTGACTGGTATAGTCATAAATCCATCGAGCATTATACTCTACTGTAAAAATAACTCAGATCTATTTTCATTTGATTCCACTGTCTATAATAATTATTAGACAGTATGAAACTCTATAATGATCTAATATTACAGAATAACGAGAGTGGCGATCTATTATGTATAGCAATGCCAATAAGCATTTTCTATTTACGAATCTTACTAAATAATAAAAGGTTATGCGTCTTTATCTTTGTGAAACTTCCAAAATGTTCAAATAGGTTAAAGCAATGACCATACGAAAGACCCATAGTTTCACAACTTTTCACAAATCAATTGAAACTTATTCTTAAATAAAATCGACTGTTATTTTTATTTGAATCATAGCATCGCATTGATTAACAAAGCCACTAACCGGCAACAGGACTAGCTTCATACGTCTCGTACCGCAGAGCTTGCATTAGTTGCGGCATGATGCGGCACAGCTCGTCGTCTGGCATACCATTGATCAGTTTAGTCGCCGTCCGCCGTACCACTATATCAGGGAAGCTGCAATTTCAAATACCTTATTTACCATTAATCAAAACGAAAAGCTTACTAGCTTCCCTTACCTATGTATAATTTCAAAAGTAACACGTATTTATAATGAGATCTGTAGATAAAATCTGCAGGAAAGAGTGATGAAAGATGATAGATATCGAAATTCCTGTTATGAAATTGTTTAGTTTTTGTTACTGATCAGTATATAAAATATAACAGGGAATACCGTTTACATGTGCATAGTAAACCGTAACAATGACATTTTACAAACTATGTACATAGAAGAAGAATACAAATCAACTTAATTAGCTATATTCAATATTTCGATGAGCGCACTATTTTTCTTCTGGGACTGTATAATTTTGTCAATCACGTCCGAAAGATGAAAAAATATGAATGATGTTAATGACCGCAAAGTTATGAAATACCTTTAATATAGTGAACGTTAACGTTGATGTGCTAATAGAAGCACCGTCATATAATCTCATGCATGTATTTTAAAAGATACCGTCCGTCATAACGCTGATACCGAGCAAATATGTGTTAAACGAGAACTGAATTTACACTTAAACCCAAAAACAAGAGAAAATCGTCTTACCAAGGCAACAATAAGTGCATAGCATTTAACGGTGAAGGTTTTTCCCACAATCGCAGTAAGGCGAGCAACTGGTCTCGATGCTCCCCGTACCAGTTGGTGGCCGCCAGCAGGATCAGTGGCAGTGCACCGGGCAACTCTACTAGGTATTGTCGTTTCTCCCACATTATCTGGAAACATGAAAAACTATATTAATACTACTAATTTGTGTATCTATGCTATCTTAAGGTGGTGATATCTGTTTGGTGGATTACAAACCAAACCTTCTTGGTGTATCAATTAATTTAATTCAATTTATTTATTTGTGAAACAAAATTTAAAAAGTTGGTACAGTTCTTGTCTATAAACTATAATAATAACTATTTCACACACATCTCACAAAAGGTCGTCTGATCCCAAACAAGGCAGAGCCTGTACTATGGTAAACAGACTGCTGATAAACATACTTATATATTTCTAAGTACATACATAATATAAATAAATTACACCCAGACACATAACAAATGATTGTGCTCATCACACAATTACTTGTCCTGGGTGGGGATCGAACCCACGACCGCTGGCTTAGTAGTCAGGGTCACTAACCACTAGACCAACAGGCCTGTCGCATGGCAACTATGAATCTCATGTGCATTCTCTAACGGCGCCGGTGTACAAATTGACGTACAAACATTTTTAAAAGAACTTTGCAGGGACGGCTTAATTTAGACAGGTTAAAGTAGGCAGGTTCAGTTTTTTTTAAAGACGAATATAATAAACGAAACATTACCTCCCTACAGTCGGTGGGCACCCTCTGGTAAGCGCCTTGTTCAATAAGATGTAACAGCTGTGACTGCGTATGTCCGTCCAGACTATCGAACTTTGGTAGGTCGTTATGTGTGAGTCTTCCCTGCTTGCTGTCTTCGCTTTCCACCCATCTCACACCGGTGTGGGCATATAGGGGAATCTCTGAAAGTAAAATAAGAATAATGCTTAGAACAATAAAAAAACCGAAAACAGTATAAATGTGACATTACTAAATCTTACGTCTTAATCGGATCTTATTTCAAAATCTAAATACTAAGCACCAGCGGCATTCATATCAGTCTATAGTTTCTTTTTGTAGTTTTTTTTTTATAGTTCTTTTTTCTAGTTTTTTCATAATACGATACACAGGCGAACTTAGCTCTAAAACACCTAGGTGGGACTAAGAGTAAATGAAACCCTTGCATATTGCAACTAGTAATAGACTCCATGTTTTTACTTTACTAGGCCAATTAGTGTGATACACTATTACAGTGCACTTTGTATTATTTAATTACAACAATAGAGTTTTGTTTTATTTAAGTATACATCCATATAATTCACTTGTTTCATATTCAACATCAACAATGTTCTAAACACTTTAGATCTGTTCAACATGTTATAACATACCAATGTTAACTACAGGGTGTGGGGTTGTTGGAGAGTGCGTAGGATGTGGTGCAGGCCCGATGCGACGGTCGCAATATGTCGGCCATATCGGTAACACATAGTTGCCCGACGCTAACATTCTAAAAAACGAAAAAGCACATGTACATAAATACGTCACTATTGGGCCACAGTTCAAAGGGCCTAGTGCGAGTTCATTTCACATCAACCACGGTGAACGCGTTTGGCGTTGTGATTGGCCCGAACTCTTCACCAATCGCAACGCCGAGCGCGCTCGTCGTCTAGAGAGAGGGCCCTCAGAGAACAACCAACTTGTTAATACAGAATACATAACAGTACCAGTACAGAAGTCCGCCTACGCAAAATCATATAAATAAATAGTGACTTTTAATTTGTCACAATAATGTCTTGATTTGATAACAGGACTATTATAATTGTTGGTCGGTCTGCATTTATATCAAAGGTAAAACTAAAAGAGTCCAAGTATAGGAGCCTCGATAAAAAATGATAGTAATATGTGATAGTAATAGTGAAAGTAATATGGTACCCGTCATAATCAAAGAGCTGTATCGCCGCCCATCCCAACTCGACCAGCTCATATTGAACATCATTATTTTCTTCGTCTTCCTGTCCGCTTTGTTGGTTGTTGTCTGTCTGGTTCGGGTGCTGTTGATTATCAACGGTGCGTTGTGACCGTCCATATAAAGTGAATACTAAGCGAGACTCTCGTGGTAATATGTTGATTGGTAAATCTTCGAGGTTTAGCCTGTAATTTATAATTATTATTATTCTTTTTTACTTTACTATACCCCAACTTAAACATATTTATACTGCCTATGATAACCTTAACCATATTATCTTAATCTTAGTAATTTAATAAAGGCGAAGTTTATGTTTATGCATGGGTCTTTGTTACTCTTTCACGTAAAAACGGCTGAACGGATCTAGATGAAATTTGTCACAGAGATAGATTATAGTCTTGAATAGCACATAGGCTACTTTTATCCCGAAAAATATAGTGTTCCCGTGAGATGAACAACCGCGGGTGAGTCAACAAAAATGACGTTAACAAACTTAATAAAAATTATACCTTCATTATAGTTCATTAAAGTAGCCTTAAAAAAATATTATAATACTATGTCATTCATCATATAATTTTTGGATTGGAATAAATTTTAATACAACTACAAGTATCTAAGAGCAAAGTTCTAAAAGAAGGTCACCTCTGTGCATTGCACTTAGTAAAAGCAGGTTTAAAAACATTGACATTTCGCAAACTGTTCTAAACACGCTCACTGTCATTAGTACTAATAAGCATGTAAACTCACCAAGTATCAAATATTATCCTGGGATAAAAGGAGGCGCACTCGATTTTGGAGGGATGGGTGACGCGCAGAGAGTTGAGGGCTCGTGTTCCGTAGTACACTTGTGTGTGGAACAGGTAGTCGTCATGGTTCCAGCAAAGTGGAAGACAGTGGACCGCTTCTATACAGAATAGAGTTGATTCTGCTATCGTATGTGCTGGGATTGCTTCTGTAATGGAAAGAAGGTTTATTTCATATATACACACACAAATTGCTGATTATAATTTTAATCACACTTATATAATAAGGGACAGATTATAATTTGAAGAAATATAGGTATTTTCAAAATTTAAAATCTTTATTAGCCTTAAATACAGTGTGACTGAATTATATTTAGCGACAAATTCTGTATTTCCCTAGAAATGTAACTAAATATATTTATTGTTATTTAATACCGTAAACAGTACTCATAATGCGACAATCACATTTGACGACACGACAGCTATGTCTAGGCTGCGGATTTGATTCTCACTCCGTATTCATATTTGAATACATGAGTATACTATTTACATTGGTGCATATATCAAAGGAATTTACTGCCATAAGAGAGTCATGCTTCGGCACAAATGAGCCGGCTCGACCGGAGTGATACCACGGCCCCATAGAAAACGGTGTTAAGCAGTTTTTTGTTTTTCACCGAATGATTGATGTTACCGGGGCCCAAACGCGACGCACTAGCGACTCCTGAGTGCAGGTGTCTATGGACGGCAGAAGTCACATACCATCAGGTGATTCGTCGTATTGTATGTATTGAGGGGTGTGTAGATATGGTAGCGTATAATAATAAATGTAACTCGTAGTAGAAACTGACTGGTGAGGTTGGCGGGCGCGCAGTAGTGCGTGTCGGTGAGCTGGAAGTCGAGCAGGCGCGTCCGGCAGTACAGCGCCAGCAGCGCGCGCACGGCGTCCCGCAGGCGCGCGCACTGCGCCGCCACCGCCTCGCGCCGCGTGGCGCCGCGCAGCGCCACGCCGCAGTACGGGCCCGCGTCCGCGCCGATCTCCGGCGTCACCGCGTTGCCGCCCTACGGGTCACCAAACTTTAATTAATATATTACGATTTCTCTCTTTCTATTGCTCTCTTCTTTCTTCTCTCTCGTGTCACGAAACGTATGTAATCATAATGTAATAATAATTTATTGACATAAAGGTGGGTACACAGAATAGGGTGGTTAGCCTATTCTGTGCGCGCGTGCTTGTTTGTGTGTGTGTGAGTGTGCGTGTGTGTGCGAGTGTGTGTGTGTGTGCGAATATCTGTGCGAGTACGTATTAGTGTGTGAGCGTTTACGTGCGTGAATTTGAATTTGTATGCATGTGTGGGAGTGCATTGCTTGTTACGTAAATTTAACTGTGACTAGGTCTTCCGTGCTGTCACAATTCAATGAATTTAACCACACGTGAATGGCCCTTTTCGCTGATTTTTATTTAATTTACTTATTTTACAGATTTTGTTATATGTATGTGGAACTAAGAAGCTGTAGTGTTTCTGTGCAAAACTAGTTTTAGTGCGAGGGACTGGAAACGCTCTACACTTTTATTTTATACAGGTAAGTTAGAGACAGTTTTCCTATGATATCTCCGTAGTATTTCATAAACATATAAGTTGCTTACAGATAATACTTCTCCACATTCACAAAGAGCAGTCGTGGGATATCTATATGGTAAGTATGAAATCACTTTTAAAACTACGCGCTGGGCGCGTCCTACATCAATCTTGTAGGTTATAGCAGCACCACCCCAGGCACGAACGCATTACCTTAAAAGGAACTCGCATGGCGCTCTGTAGGTTTGTATGAGAAGTGGAAACGTCAGCTATTACACGCAAGCATTAATAATAAACTCAAACTAGGCCACCTAATAAAAAGGGCAATACGAACATGACAAACTTAAAAAGGTACCCTAAAAAAGTACTGTAACATCTGTAACCACTGATTACAAAAAATACTTACATGTGTAGTACACGTTTGAGCGAAAGCGTTGAGGGTGTGTGTGACGTGTAAGGTCTCCACTCCGCCCGCCAGCGCACAAATAGCCTTAACCGCTTGGAATACGGCTTTCGGAGAGCATGTTCCTTCGGCTCCCGTTACACCTATTGCTCGAGAGAACTCGCCTTCTAGAGTTTCTGTAATTTGAATTGTTTGAAATAAGAATACATCGTAATAATTTATAATTTCATCATTTTATTTTATATTCTTTCCCCGGAAAAGACGACTCTGTGTTTAATAATTATTTATACAGAGCACTCTTGTTTAATTACACCTAACACCAAACGAATCATTTCAAACAACTCCGATAGATTGGAAGAAAGAGTGAGCAAAGAAGTTACACATCAAGAAATAAAAGAAAGGTAGTACTTTAAGGTAATAAGAGGTACAATATAACTTACCAAGTAATATAGACAAATTATCAAATGATAACAATGGCGTGGCGCCTTGACACGGAATTAAATCATCCAAACTTAAATAATTATCTCTAGCATCGTCCCTCTCTGTCCTCGCTAGCGCGTTGTCTCTTCCCTCTGTGAGACAGAGTGTGACATCTTTCTCTAGTCTAACACATTCACGGATATAATCGTATTCCCGCAAGGAGCTTCCTGGCGTTAAATATTCCTTCGCTCCCCATACCTGAAAGTGCAGGTTTTTTTTATTAATCCGTAGTAATCCGTATTAATCAGTTTTGGATAGTTCTGACTGTTCTGTTCTGTTCTGAGGGGCACCCAATCTAAACTCATTACATAACTTACTTGTTTACTTTGTTACTCATTCTTATATTACTTGCAATATTGGCTATTATGAATCAGAGATAATTTTTGTATAATCTTTTTTTATGTGTGCACATATTAGTTGCATTACGATCCGGATCTAAACCATGTATTTATGATGAAAGATGTTTTTAATTTGTATTTAATTGAATTCACTGTGCAAATAATATATTTTGTTGGTCAAGAGTGCAACGCAAACGAGGAGATTTTTAATATTAGTAAATTTTTAACTTTAAAAGAAACCAGATACAAAACTCGCTCTTGCGTATACATATAACATTCATATGTCAACTTACCCTTAGCATATATTCAGACATATCTTCTCTAATATCCTCATCAAGAGAACATACTACAGTTAATATCACATGTTCAACAGTCGATTCAACTGAAAGAAAATATTACACTTTATCACTAGGGAAAGAGTTGAAATTTTTATTATTACTTATTTTAACTCCCTGCCATCATAAGTAGTATGTTATGTACTACAGATTTTAGTCAGATCGAGCGGGATGCAGTGTAACGTACGTCAGTACGTTACACTCCCACATCAAAATGAAGTAAATATTATTAAGGTTGTATATCTATCATTACTGCGTACTTCCTGCATTTTAATCTACACAATGACAGATCTTATTGTTAAAGGTATTCTTTAACTAAAAAACACAGTCAAAACTTTATTAATGTTAAAACACAAACTATATATTGATAGATATATGTATAAAAGTGACACCTCACCATCAGACGTAAAGGTGAATGGTTCATCGGAGTGCGCGTGGTGGACTAGAATCTTGATACTCGTATTTGGCGGGTACTTGCCGCCCGATCGGGCAGCTCTCACGTGACCAGGGTTCGTATTTTCATCAGTGTACACGAATCTTTCTGTAAAATAATGAAATTTTCATTTGAGGTTTACATTTTGAGCCGGCTGTTGAAGACAGTTATCGAAAAGAATAGTATCAATAATATAGTATCAAAATTACTAGAATAAACAACTGAATAAACAACAACAAGTGATTACTTACTTCTGACATCAAGCACCATTTTGAGAAAAGCTTTGTGTTCGCTATCATGATTCCTAGTTCGCGATTTTACTATACAATCATATAATTTATTCTGAAACACAAAGAAAATAGTAAATAATAAGGACAAACCGCCTTAACAGTCTAATTTATAAATTTTGACATATGTAATATACGTATATATACGCATATGTTTTCATATCAATCACAAAATGAAGAGCTTTTTCAAGATTTTGGTTTTATGTGTCTTCAAATGAAGACGCATAGACAATAAGGCAAGGACGTCATCATCATCACCAAGAGCCTTACAGACAGGAGGCAAGTACGTAACCTAGTCATCCTCACTTCATCAAAGCTCAACCGCGTGCATCTTCCATCTTAAGGCTTAACTCGCGATCTCACAAATATCATGAAAAAGTAAATTCTTATTAAGAATAGGAGAATACGATTCAACTTTCGGTCACAATGTACAAACAAATAGTTATACTTTACTACGAGAATACTTTTTATAACATTTTTGAGATCGAGAGTATATCGCAACTGATTTTTTTAGGAATTTTTGTCACGAGAATCGTCGTTCTGACCCATGACTTAACCAACTCGTCTTTCTTTCGAAGAGATTTTTACATTTGAAACGGCCTTAAAGTTATTAAATATAACCTAACTTACAGTGGTAGATCTAAGCGCTACAGCCGGGACGCTTGGTATAGACTTAGGTGGGGGGGAAGGTAACGTGTCCTTTTTAATGACGGCCGCGTACACAGCTTCGCGCATTTCTGTCTCGCCGTACAAGAAGTCCAGAGGGTCATACTCTTCGTAAACGCTGCTACCACAATCACTGGACGCGGCTGCATTCTCTGTAAATAATATTGGTTAACCATCCAAAGTTAAGTTACTGATGATAGGGTTGGATTTTATAATTTATATTTAAATATTTAATTGCCTAATGACATTAATACATATAATATTTAAAAAGTTTAAATAGCCTTTGACATGTACTTCATTATTTATTCAAATTTAATATTTTTCTACGAGGAGTAAATTTCACACTGTTTTTTTAAAGCGGTCAATTATATAAAATCACATGTAAGGGGAGGCGGTAAACGAAGTGTGACATAACACAAAGGGCAGGGGAGTCTTAGCTCGCTGACGTCACATGTCAAAATCGTAGTATTAAACGCAAAAGATTCATCCCTGATGTCACGTCACATTTTGTTTACATTAAATTATGGTCCAAAAAATAAGCAACCTGTGAAAATGACAAGAACGGGGTATAAAATCGTATCGTAAAAAGTAATTTACGGATGGACCTTGAGCATTTTTAAGGTACACTTTTTATTTATTATAGCGTATTGGATAAAAACTCTAAATACCAGTACTCACTTCTGTTACAGACTTTCTAATTCATTAATATTAAAACAAAATATTATTAACACGTATTTGTATTATTCTATAATTATTAACTAGCAAAAGCCCACTAATAACAGATAATGATATTTAGTGAACGAATAATGGCTTGTAATGTTTTATCAAAGTATTGAGTTTTATGTAGCGAACTTTAAAATGTTAAAAGTCAACTGAGAACATTTATCAAAGATATACAATTTATGCTTGCTTGTAATTTTGGGGTGTTTAACTAGTTTCGTACATAACGGGGACCCTTTTTATTTACGTGTGGAAACCCCCTCGGCCCGGCACCTCACCGAAGTTTGCGGCGGAGTGGTGTGTCGGAATCACTAAAATCATCTGTCACTACCAGCGATGGAGCGTATGAAGGCCGGTAGCGAGAGGTCGCCGCCGATGGCTGCAATAAGAACCCGGCGCTGCGACGCCCAAGCCGTGCAAATTGCAAGCGTGTCCCGAGTCGAGTAATCACTGCAATAGCAGTGGTGACAGGCGCGACTCAATTCCCTTCTAGCGACCGAGTGCAGGTACTTCCCGAAGCAGCCGCTCTGCCCACTCCGGGCGGGACGACCAACGAACCATCGTGGCTCGGCGAGCGGCTTAAAGCCACTCGCGTACCTCTTCGGGCGGGGGCCAACTGCTACTATCGGCCCGAAACTCAGTCGTCCGCTGGTATACTTCGGCTAGCACTTCCGCCTCCAAATCCCACGGGGGAGTACCGGCAAGGCACACGCCGCCTCCGTAGAAACGATGCGGTAGCCGCGTATGGCTCTAACCACCGGGTATTGGTCTGAGGACGCCAGAGGCGTGCCCTAATCTGGGTGGTCAGAGAAGCTGCCCACACTGGTGCACCGTACAGTGCCATTGACCAGACAACCCCTGTTTACAACCGTCTCGTTACGACACTAGTCCACCCAAATTGGGTAAAAGTCGCCCAGGGGCAGACGCAGCGCCACCAGGTTTGGAGCAAACTGTCGGAAGTGCTCGTCGAAAAGCCACCTCCGGTACGAGGACCGAGTTGACCGTCGCCGGGGGGGTTGACCACGACGGGATAGCCCGTCTTATCCAGGGCCACGCCTCAATGTGCCCGACCACCAAAGAGACTCCCCTCTTGAAAGTTTGCCCCCCGGGCTGTGACCAAAGTATCATTGGTGTAACAAATTACACTAAGTCCAGGGGGAAAATCAACTCGAAGGGCCCAGTCGTACCCTATGTTCCACTGTCTAAGGTCTAACAACAAACCCATGTGGAATACCGCACGACATGGGCCGACACCTCTCGGTCCTCGTACACAACGGTACGCTCCTCTAAATATTCTGCCACTAGGCGCCTCAGGTACTTTGGCACCCCATGATAGCAGAGCGCTTCCCTGATACAGCTAAATGGCAGACTATTCAATGCGTTGGCGATGTCCAAAGATACCGCCAACGGTACGGTATTCAACAATTTCGCTTTAGTAAACAGCGCATCATCATTAAGAGCCGAAAATCGATCGAAGTGACGTGCAATGGGAGAGGCCTATGTCCAGAAGTGGACTGCGAAAGGCTGATGATAATGAAAGAGATCTGCGTTTCCGTTGCAATGTGTGTTCCGGAGTTGTTTGTAACATTGAAGTTCATGAGGCGTAAGTTTTAAAACTGTTAGACTAATAGATTAAAAGTATCTAACAGCTTGCTTGAATAAAATATAAACCAAATGTAAAAAACAAAAAAATATTATTTCTGTTCCTTTTCTTTTTTAAGAACAACACTAGGAATATATGTCACTGGTAACTTTACAAAATTTCATGAAACGGACACAGACTTAAAAGGTGTTTTCCCATGTGTCCCACGAACCCACAACACTCAGTGTAGTAAAAACCTTTCCTATCTATTGTCACATTGAAGCTTTGTTCTCACTGAATTGATGGAATCGCTACGAAAGAGTAATCTTTAAACCGGGCAAAGAAGCCAGCTGGCCAGCGAATAAATTTTGCATTGCCCACAAGTTACTATTACTAATTTTTTTGGCAACTGCCAAGTCTAAACAGTATATATAGAATGAAACGTTCGTGAGTAGTCCATGTGCAACAAATTAGTAACAGTTTAAAACATAATGTGAGTTTAAAACATTTTCCAACATAAGTTATAAACACAAAACAAAAGAAACATATAAAAGAAGTACATGCTTGGCCGTGGTTGAGATTTCTAAAGTATTTCTACAATGGAAACTTAAAAATGAACTATGGAGACGACTTGGAAATGAGAATATATTTATAACATCACTATAAAGTGCATTACAAATTGTTTATAGATCTGATTTTCAGGCATAATTTTTATACAATACATACATATATGTGAACGGATGCATTTACTCAACATATACCACGTACAGTTTTTTTCCTTTCTACATTTCTAATTCAAAAAAGACAAAAAAAAATAAAAGCAAAAGTTCCCCCTGAGCTTTTTTTATGAAAGAGGGGGCAACACTCACGTCAACCTAACGTCAGTTCACAGAAAAAAAATGTCACCAAAACCTAGTGACTTTTGCAAATAATAGCAAGGATAATTTGTAGTGACTACCACGTTACAACGAAACAGAAACATACTTCAGTGACATCTAATAATGTATCGCGATGTCATGTACCTCCACAATTTTTTTGTTTTTTGTAATTATCAACAAACAAAACAATAATTTACTGCTACAGTTCGCACTATAAATAAGTTTCATATTTAAACCGTGATATATGTATGTGAGTATTATTGTTTATTTATATTATTTATTTCTCATTTCTAAATCTTTAATGAAACACACGTCACTCACCGATATTATTTTTCTGAGTTAATAGTGGATCAAACGCTTCTAGCACACTGACTCTTACGCTACCTTGCGAATTGGTGTTGCGACCGAAGTCAATCAGATTCATCGACTTTGGCAGGCTACCTACTGTGTCGTTGGACTCGTTTGACTGGAAAAAAAACACTTATTTGTAATTTGATTGGTCTTCTAAGATTTACACGCGACGTCCGTTCGTCTTGATGTACATGTAAACATAATATGAAGGTATTCCTATGGAATAGTGTAGGATGGAAGACACTTTAATACAGGAGTTTGCATACATCGAGTGGTTAGCGGGTAACAACTAAACGCATATTGTGCTCCCTATTTGCAAATATTTTAAGGCTAATTTTATTTATTTAGCTCTGGATGTATCGAAACTGTGATTTATTCATTTAACTGACTATCCTACTTCATTTAGAGAACTTAGACTTTCCTGCATTAGTGCATTCGAGTTAATGGTTTGCGATCCTAACCCGTGTTATATTCCCTGTATAGGTAGTATCCGTTTCCTATCATTTGTATCAATTCTTTCACTAGCTTTTCTTTCCACATACTCCTGATTTTTCTATTTGACCGTTAAATGGCTAGCTTTGAATACAACAGGTTTGCCCCCTATTACGTCAGTGGGATTAATTTATAGTTGGCAAAATATATGTGGTTGGCAGGCATATGCCTATATGCTCACGATCGATCTAATATATACAATGGCACATCTTATATGTCTAAAAGTAGCGATTGTATAAAAACAATCTAAATTAAATTAAATACATACGCATTTTAAAAAAATACTAACTTTTTAATTTACACATTTCATTGTATATTACATTTATACACGCGTATAATATACATGCGATTACGTAATAAATATTACATACAGTCAGCCAGTCAGTGATCACGGCCAGTACAATGTCGTCGAAACGTTAGGCAATTTAAAGGTATGTAATATAAATTACGTGATCGCGTTATTTTCCTTACAAACACATGATTTAAATGATACTCATTAACAGTTCTTAAAAAGAAATTATAATTGAAGAGTGAGTAAAGTCAATGAACCGTTGTATGTACTGTACATTGACCAGCAATAATCACACAGTGCCCTACATTTAGAAGTTAGGCAAGCTGCGTCGCGATGTCTTAAAAATAATCGAATAAATACTCTTATCTATCTCTCTAATTTTTACTTTGGTTAATAAAATTACGTGAAAGTATTTTGTATTTCATTGAAAAAAGGGTAAATAAATATTCTATCAGTCAATCTAGCTTTCACAGTATAAGCTCTGCTAGTTTAAATCTAGATGACGTTGTGTCAGATGTCCAAAAAAAATATATTATTACTAATTGTCTAAAGAAAAAAAAAGAAAAACAAAACAAATTCTGTAATCAATGTTTTACGTTACACTTGCGACAGACGTTTCAACTCACTGTCTTACATTGCAAAATTGCACTGACTAAAGACAGCGTTCCGTCACGAATGGGTCTACTCTAAGAAAAATGCTTTGGGGTATTTGTAATCCCTTATCCACAGATACTTTGAAAATACCTTTAAAAACCTCTTACGAAAAAAAACATAAATAGATTTTAAAATGAATAACACTGAATAACCTTTTACAAAATAAATTTGAATTTGAATATCAAATTTATTTTACGGGTATTCATTAATAAAATGCAGTACAGACTCACCGTATTACTGACTTCGGACAACTTTCTAGAACTTCCTTCGGGAGTTTCCTTTGGCGTCTCTGGGGTCGCGACGGCTTGGTTCACCTCGTTTCTCACGGTGTTGTTCGATGAGCTCGGAGGCATTTGAGGGTAATATTGTGGAACTTGAGGATAATAGGCAGGAATCGGAGGTCGTGATATCATATTAGTCGTATTATAATTGTATGCAGGAGGTGTATGGTACGGAGGATACGGAGATGGGGACGCCATTCGCGTTTGACCATACTGTACAGGTGGTGCATAAATAGGGGGATTGATCGGGACATAAGTTTGAGATACATCTGGTGGAATCATTGGTGGTGGGTAATACCCATAGTGGGGTACAGGTGTGGGCATGCCATAAGGCTGTGTCGGGTACGGCGGCATAGGTGTATAAGGTTGTTGATAGTTGAAAGGGTACTGTGCCGCGGCGTAATTGTAGCCCGGACGTTGATTGTAGTGTTGGTTGTTCATTATGACAGGCGACTGTTCGGTTTGTGCGACGTTTATTACTAGCTCTTCAGTTTGTTGACTCAACCTGTGAAATTGAGAATTTTTTGTTTCAAAATGATTCATTTTAAAGTAGGTTTTTAAGTACATAAGTAATGTTGACTTTTGCCACATTGGAATCATTTCAACAGAAGGTATTACTGTAACCCAAAACCAATTTCAGCATTGTGCATATATATATCAAAAAAATGCTATGTTTACTTCGTGCTTTATCGATAAGAATTTCGGAAATGATGACAAACCACAATCAAATATTGCCTCCTTCTTTTAGTTTATTCTCAGACAGTAGACATGATATATTTTAAAGATTTCTCAACAAATCGAATTTATCGATATACATAACAAAACATAATTTCTTCTCTACAATACTTACTTTATTATTTATATACAGATGCGTCATTTACATGTAATACGACGACAATCACTGCGTATATTTACAAATAATACAAGGTTTTATTGATCTATATTATACACTCTTTTTTATAAAAGGATGCGCAGTGTGGAAATATTTTACTATTAATGTATTGCGCGTTGTACTGCCTATGCAAGGTCAAACAAGAATCTTACTGTCTTAAGATATTAACGTGCGTCGTAACTCGTAAAGTTCAAATAGGGCTGTACAATAGTAATACTAATAGCATTTTAGTAATATTAACATCAGCGGAATAGCTGTTATTGTTGTCTAGGAATATCAATTGACAGATTGTCAAATTAATGTCAGTGACGGGCTTTGCAGGTTATGCAATTTATAGTGAGTGACACACACATCTTTGATGTTTTTGGGGTTTCAGAATTTTTCCACTATTCAATATACAGAAAAGAAAATGTGGTCCCATCGTGGGTAAGTAAAGTTTAGAAATGTTTCGGAACATTTACCTGTAATATTGTATAAGTAAACTAACTGTACAAATTGCAGATAACTTTTGCACACAAATAGGCTATAATATTAACATAATAAACGGAAGTGTGTATTTGTTGCACGGCTTTATATGGAGTAGGTACCTATCCTTCAGCGAAAAATAAAGTGTCCGAGGGATAGAAAAAAAAATCCAAAACGAGCAAAGCCGCAAAAAAACTAATTACCTTCATTACAATAAAAAACAAAATGGGGATATTTGGCACAAAAAATAGGTTTAAAAACCTCACAAACATTTCGAGTTGCGTTTCTAAGTGAAGGGATTTAAAAGGTAATTATAAAAAATATGCAACGTAAATATTTATTAGCAAGTATTTATTAACATAGTCGGGTTTTCCGTGTCATTTAAGGATCTAAAGAAGTTTTTCTAAGTTACAATAGCGAATACGAAAGTGGACCTCAATTTAAATATTTTTTTCTCTATTTCGAGTGCAATATGGAAATAAAATTTGACAACCCTATATGTGAACACAATTATGTATTGCAAAAAGAATATCATGTATATAAATACATACTTGTTTATTTGTTCGATGCACTCCTTGAGTTTGAGGTGCGGTTCTTTGGGCGCATGCTTAGAGGTGGGGCTCGTGAATGATATCAAGTCGCTGCTCTGGTCCCGTGTTGGACTAGTTCCAGGTGATCTGTCACACAATAAATATATACATTACCTAATGTCAAATAGAGCCAGTACAACGGATTGTGTAAAACGACTGATTGCTATTTAGATTAGACATAATCATTTTTGCAATAGAATATAATGTTCCATGGAACATCACTGAACCCCTCCAATCATGTTCCATCTGGTAGGGTATTTCACATTTATAACAGTAACGAATAAGAATACGGAGTGTCATATCCCCTATTAATCCCATAGGTGTAAGAGCCGACTAAGGGCGCAAACTGTGCAGGAAAACAGCACTGCAAAGAGAAGGAAAGGGAAACAAACCTTATAGCAATCCGTCTGGCCAGCGTGGTATAGTAGGCTAAAACCTCGTTTCTAAGGAGAGGCCTATGTCCAGCAGTGAACTACTAAATGCTGTTGATGATGATGGAGTGTCGGTCATTGTCCAAAAACAATCTAAGTACTAAATATGTTTTACTAACCATAAATTCTTATGCTAAAAAACACCAATCGTGCAAATCTGTTCCGCCGACTGCACAACCAGAATCGTACAGTTTATCGATTGCCTTCACTAAAGTATACAAACGAGTTCAATAAAACACGTGTATCTTATCCAAATGTCATATCCCCACTTATTTAAAATTGTTGTTTTAATGATGATCAGTGATATTGCGTGTGTTTTATTTGTGAAAAAGTAAAACGTCATACGGCTGAGACAATATACAGAGTAATACAATATATTATTTATTATTTTATTGAACGATTATTAATGATAGTCTATATGCACATCAGGGGGTGTCTAAGAATATAGCGATAGAAACACATTCGATGCCTTTTATTCATTCAAACCAGAAAAGTTGTTGGTGGATGAAAGCGAGAACTTGCAATATGTCGTTCTGTTCTAAAATAGTGTTTCAACTACTAACATCCTACGCAAACTATTTTGTTATACCAGTCACTTGGGTAAGGCTTTTAAAGATAATACTTACAAGAACTAAATAACTAACAAGGTAAGCCAAAACATTTCTCCCTCTATAAATTAATATTTCTTGAGGCGATATAATAATGGCTTATCAATAACCGATAAGCAGTGATAACAGCACGTCATTGGGTTGCCTTAATTTTTTTATAACTATTCGATCACTTTTAGTACTTCGCCTACTTATTGTTCTATTCAACAATGCACAAATGATACACCTGTGTTCATGCAGAGAAAATGAACTGTCTGCAAAGAAAATAAAGTCGGTTTTGCTTTTGGTTTATCTAGTTCATTTTTTATAATTAGGTTATCTATCATTATGGATAGTTCTTTCAGGAATGGAGTTTCTAGCAAAACACCTTTTGTGTCTATATTGATATTATACTCACCCAGTCCTACATGTGTATGCTTTTATATGATACTAGCTGTACTCTGTCACGCTTTCTGTGGCACAATGTTGCATTAATGATAAACAAAACTAACGCGAAAAATATCTTATAATAAATCTTTGAAGCGGAATGTATATCGTGTTCAAATTTGATCTCAATCGGTGCATAAGTTTTTGATTTTTTGAAGCATACACAAACCAACTTTAGTTTAATCGCCATACACCATGAAGATAATGAAGGTAAACTCATATTCACCTGTGACCTTCAGAGATAGAAGATCTTCCCCGAGGATTCCTCGGTGGCGGAGGTAAGGCTGGTGGCGGGCCGTCGTTCTCGTCGCGCCTGCGCGCACTAATGGTCCCCACATCGCGCACATTATCTGAATAATATCACTGTGATAAGACAAGGGACTCTCCAATAAACATACAAATATTTTTTATAGGCATAGTCATACAACAGATAAAAAGGTATCACATTTACAGGTTATGTTATGTAAACAATATTATTATTATTTTTAAGACAACTTCCGCGCTAGGAATATATCCTGTGTTGCGGGGGACTTAACAAACATACATGAAACAAACACAAAGAACACCCAGACTCAGAACAACAATTTGTAGATCACACCAAGTGTTGTCCCATGTGGGGATCGAACCCACAACACTCAGCGCAGTAGGAAGCGGCGAGGTGACCGCTCAAACCACTACGCCATCCATGCAGTCATACAGTTTGTAGTTTGTTTGTAGGCATTATAATTTGAACTTTGGCAGTTTAGTTTAAGATACAGGCATATAGGAATGAAAGTTTTCTTAGAAACAGTTTATAAAAACCAGCATTTTAATTTAAAAAAATGGATTACGTAAGATTTTTTGAATTCGCATGTCAATTATTTTTTAAAATTATATTAGATAAGAAAGGTCGCACCGCCCAAACTTGATAATATAGTTGGGTAGCTTTCAATTCATGTAGACTTAATTAAGTGCGCTCTCCTGCCTGCATAGTAAAATGTGAAGTATTGATTTATTTACTTACAGATAAGTACTAGAATAAAAACAAATAATAATCATAATATAACATCACACATGACCGTCTGATCAAAACATAGGCAGAGCCTGCGCTATGGTAACCAGATTGCTGTCCTATTGAGGAAGCCGGGCAGTCGGCCGATTCGGTCGCCGCCTACAGGTCCATCGTGTTGCTGGACGAGGCGGGTAAATTGTTTGAGAGGGTTCTCTTTACCCGCATCGTCCGGCACCTCTGCGAGGTGGGCCCTAATATGAGCCCTCAGGACCGTGACCAAAGAGGCGGTGAGCCGTGGCGGTGTGCTGTTGGCGGTGTCGTTGGACATCGCCAACGCATTCAATAGTCTGCCATTTAGCTGCATTAGGGAAGCACTCCACCATCACGGGGTGCTAGATTACCTGAGGCGGCTAGTGGCAGACTATTTAAAAAAGCGTACCGTCGTATGCGAGGACCGAGATAGTAATTTGAGGTGTCGGCCCATGTTGTGCGGTGTTCCACAGGGGTCTGTTTTTGGACCCTTCCTTTTGAACAGAGGGTAGGACTGGATCCCTTCGAGCCGATTGCCCCCCCGGCTGGGTGTAATTTGACACACGATAACACTTTGGTCCGAGCCCGGGGGGCGAACTTTCAAGAGGCGGCGCGCCTGGCCACCAGGGGAGTCTCTTACGGGTGCCCCTGGATAAGACGGAGGCCCTCTTATTTCATAGGCCCCATCCTGGTCCTCCAGGATGAAGTATCTGGGCCTGATTCTCGACGGGAGGTGGCACTTCCGACAGCTTGCTCCAAAGCTGGTCAGCGTTGCTTCTGCCTTAGGGTGACTTTTGCCCAATTTGGGTGGAGCCAGCGTCGCGACAAGATGGCTGTACACGGGTGTTGTCCGGTCAATGGCACTGTACGGTGCACCGGTGTGAGTAGCGTCTCTGACCGCCTAGAACAAGGCACGAATCTGGCGCCCTCAGAGGATATTGGCGATGAGAGTCATACGCGAGTACCGCACCGTGTGGACGGCGTGTGCTTTGGCCGGAACTCCCCAGTGGGATTTGGAGGCGGAAGTGCTCGCAAAGTATATCGGCGGGCATATATATATATATATTTATTTTCAATTTTTTATGGGATATATATATATATATATATATATATATATATATATATCCCATAAAAAATTGTGTGATGAGCATTTACTTTGTGTCTGGATATAATCTGTATTTAGAAATATATGAGTATGCTCATCAGCAGTGTGGTTACCATAGTACAGGCTCTGCCTAGTCTGGGATCAGATGGCCGTGTGTTTGATGACTGAGGCTATTATTATTTTAACCACGATCTGGTGCTAATTCTATTTATTTGTACAGTTCTAAATTGTTATCGTGTTTGAATTTGCCATATTATTATGCTATACGATTTTTATCAGCGGTTTTACAGACAAAATAAACAATTTTATTATTACTTAGAGGTCTTTCAAGTGCTGGTTTATTTAGCTTATTTAGTAATATAGTTATACTCAGAATTAATTAATCTTATATTTTTTATGGCATAAGAAGCAAACGAGCAAACGGGTAAGTCATGGTAAGTGACTACCGCCGTCAATAGACACCTGCAACTTTAAAGTCACAAGTGTGTTGCCGCCCTTAATCCTGCCCCTTTCCCGCCTCCGCTCCCCCTGTCACAAAAATAGATGCCCTGCCACTTCCCACACACAGTGGCTATGGTTCTGGTAAACTCACTTAGTGAAAAAAAACATGCTTATTGTCCGACTTGTAAAAATATCTGAAAAGATTTACTCGCAGGAATAAATATCATTTCATTTTATCATCACTTTTTACACCGGTTTTCTGCGAGGCTGTTTTATTACTCCATCGGTCGATCAGACCCATTTCTACAGAAGCATGACTCTCCCAAGAATAAACAAAAATATATAATGTTATTGCTGCTAATATTGTCAGTTATACACAAATATTAATATTTCTTTAAATTTGCGTGAGGGTGAGAGAATTTGATTACAAGGCAACTGTTATCATGATTCACAATCAGTGTCCCATTTATTTTATGTCAACGACCTTTCACTTCCCTTTAGATTGATGTACAGACAGACATTTTGCTGAACTCACAATGCTTATTAATATTTTTTGTTTACACAGCTTCAATTGATCTCATTGTCTCAATAAAGGTGCCATTAGTCACTTTAATACTGATATTTGGCGCTGTGTAAAAGTATTACTTGTTCTCTGTGTTGAAGAGTGAGTTTATGCAAAGACAAAAATTAAAATTTTGTGGATGATGACTTCAGAAATGCCACACACATTATTTTTCAAAATGGCAAACAGGCAAATGGGTAGTCTGCTCGTTTGGATCCTACATCATAAAAAAAATATCCTCATCATAATACCGACTTATCACATCATAATGTTATAACTTATTTATTAATCCTTCATTATTTACTTATATAATTTTGAAAATTAAAATAATTTGAAGAGGAAAACAATTGTTTTAATTATTTCACTGAACTGATCTAAAAGCATAAACCATACAAACTCTGTTTACACAAACAGAAAAATGACACTATTTTGCAGTCAGTTTAAAAGTTCTGCAAAAAAGTGTAATTGGTACTGTTTAGAATTTCTAAAGTGGGTTTTGAGGACCCCCCAAGAAGAAGTCACCAAATACAAAGATTATTTTGAGTGCATGTATCACATAATATGTGTTGTAAAGAACTATTATTTTTATAAAGTTAATACGATTTGTCTGTACAATGCCTAATAAAAAAAAAACATTGAAATAAAATTATGAGGATTCACCTCTGATATGCCACTACAATGTACAGTGCTTACCGGTGAAAGCACTTTACAGTGTAGAGGCATATCAGAGGGGTGGCATGTGAAGAGGTAAGTAAGTATTCTATTACCTTAACAGTTTAGGAGCCTGTGGCTTAGAAAGTAATAAAACAAGATAAGATACAAAAACTGAAATTTAAAAAATTGTAACAAAATAAAATTATAAATATGTAGTACTTAGCAATTAAGTAAATACAAAATAGAATAAATACTTGGATAAAATAAAATGATTATTAAATGCAAAATATGCCTTAGCACCTTTAACTTAGGGAGGTAATTTATGTATTCCACGAGCTTGTGACTCATGAGTCGCAGGAACTTATGGGCAGCAGTAGTCACTTTCGATCAGGTGATCCACGTGTCTGGGTGGTTTCCCGACAATATTATAAAAAAAAACTAAAAGTCTTCAAAAGATAGTACTTAGTTTACACACTTAATATACTAAACTGTAAAATTATAAATATCCGCTTATGATGTTATCTACTTTTTAGCTGTCAAACAAGCGGTTCCAAAATCTGTAGTATGACAACCTAATATGAGTTACTAGCTGACCCGGCATTTTAAATGGTGTAACTAACACAACTTTGTTTTATATACATAGCTGTACTACTATTTAACATATATATGTATACTTTAAATAAGAATATTTTATACATCTTTACCCCACACCACTAGTGGCTTTTCCAGAATTATATTATACTACTAAGGTAAGAAACCCTTTTTACTTAAAACATAACATGTCATTTTAATTGTACATATTACATGTCAATCAAATGTAGCTCTGTGTTTGTTAAAAACTATTTATTAACATAAACAGAAGTATATTTAGCTCTAGAAGACAGATGAAGATGCACAAGAAATAGCTGATACAAGATAACTACTATGTCTCATGACTTTTAATTGCATTGCAACATCTGGGATTTTGATACATTGTGATTTAGATGGAATTAAATTTCTGATCAATATAACGCACTAAAGATTATCTGATATATATTTCTTGCAATTTAACTGAGAACAACTGCAAATAGTAAAGATATTGTATGTCAGACGCACGAAATAAAGCAATGTTCAGTTGACTTACTAACCTCTTCCTTAATGAAGATTGTTAAAAATGCATCTGATATAGTCATTTTACGGGTAAAAAGTTTGTTTTGATGTGCAGAGTTTAACCCGTATAACTCAGTCACATGATAAAATTAATATTCTTATATTAATTTTAATGTAATTATTGTTTAGGACATTAGTTGGGTTTATACAGTAGACTAAAATGAATACAACCTACTTAATTTAATTTGTTATGAATATTTATTAGTGTAGGTGGTAAAAGTAAAAACAAAATTGTTAAATTACGTTAGTAGCACACAATACTGAAAGGTTGTTTTACGAAATCACAATTTAGGAGGCCTTGTATCATCACTAATCCGACGGAGTAAACAAAGTTACGTCAGTTACCTGCAGTCGACAGTAGCTTCTGCCTACGAAACTGTTCTAGAGCTAGACTTTCTAAACTCAAAGCCTGCGCCTTTTCCAAATCCGCTTGGAACTGAAGATCGTAGTCAGACATAATCGGTCTTCCTTCAACATGTATCTACAACATTCACAAAACGAGCGTGGGAATTAAAACAATAATACCACTGTTTAGCGATGAGCACATAACATTAACACAAAAACTTTGAATTTTAAAAACACTTTTACGACACAAGAGACACTTCCAACATATTACTGTTTATCTTACCAAAGGACAGTTCCCGATAATTCACTGTGTGCTTATTTCTCACTCCATAATATAATTTTGGATTTATCTCGGCTTGATTTTATTTTATTATTCTACTGGGTCAATTCAATTTTTATGCATCATTCGACAGGTAGAATTGCTAAATTGCGAAGACTGTCACTAAAAAGTTTGACAACTACGCTCGATGCAAAACACACATATCAAAAAGAGAGGCAACTATAAAAGTGACAATTTAGTATTCATTTAGAAATAGTCGTATAAAAATGGTGACGTACAGTAATGTCTTTTAGTCGATTACTTAAATCAAAAGCCCGTATCGACTAAGTTGAAATAAATGTAATAATACTTTTAATTAATTAATAATTTTAAAACGTATTTAGACATTTAAGTTCTTACTTAAATGTCTAAATACCATTGTCCATTGTCATTGTCCAATGTCTAAATCCATGCTCTTGCATGGAACCTATTTGCCATTTCATCATCGAAGGAGTACGTGATATTGCGAATATCTTTATGAATCACTTTAGTGTTAAATCACCTTTGTGACCGTCGTCGTGTGGGCTTGATGTTGAGGCTGGAATGGAGCTGGAAATAAAGTTCAGTGCTAAGGATATTGAAAAAACCATATCATAGATGTCTAAGTCACCCGGCCATGATGGCCTCAGTATTGAGCACCTACGGTGGATTCCTATTTACCCAGGACAATGTCCTTTTTGTTTGCGTTGTGTATGAGTCATGCATGCTCAAAATAGTGTTCAGTATTTTGAAAAAATGTTCTTGGCAAAATGATAAATTATGTTAAAGAGTATTTAAAATAGCTAATAAGTGACAAGAGCAGAGAGAGACAATCAGAGCAGTCAGCAAAGAGAGATGACAGACAAAAACAGTCTTCTTTCTCTGTCTACCGGCCGTGCATTATCAATTCTAGAGGAATATACAATTCGATTCTTCTTATAATTTTGTGAATATTGATAACGCGATCCCTCCCTAGTGATGTTTAAGTGTGACCATCTACTTGAAAAATAAATTTCTTCATTTCAAGATTTTTTTTTAAATAATTAAAAATATATTTTATGATTATGTAAACGGTAACCAATCAATATATATCTCAAATGGTACATAGTAGATATTTATCAACAAAGCGAATTGTAATATATATTTTAACTTAATTAATAAGCGAACTCAACTTAAAATATTACCCCAGATTAGATAGTTGGTGACAAATTGACAGCGCTTGTTAATAGGCATAGAGATAAAACCTAGAAGGTACAAGAGCCCCAATCTTGCAATATGGGGAACGAGAGAGATGGATAATAGTTAGTCCACTCTATGTCTTTCTAGCCAAGCTCTGTGGTAGGCTGGGGACTACAAGGGGTTAATCAGTAGCCAATCGCCGCTTAGCTAAACAGAGAGAGAGGGAAATATCGCTTCCACTTACAGGCAGGTGTAACCCGTGTTCTCTCTATGGTTCTCTATGTTAATATTTGTGTTAATAGGTGTTTATATTTGACCCACCAGCTTAAGTTCCCTTAGCGGTGTAGTACGGCACTCGACTGCACTCCATGAGGTCTCGGGTTCAAAAAAAAGGGAATAGGATAGAATAGGAATAGGGAAAATAGCCTAAGTTACTCCTTATGTAGACAGCAAAATCAGGCCAGCCGTTTTGAAGATCAGGTTATCTTCAACAAACAGACAGACAGACAAAAAATATTTAAACTGGTTTTTAGGCATAGGTATCGTGCAAATAACCGCGTGAGCATGAAAATAATCTTTTATTTTGACATCACAAACAGGCACTTCAATTTCATTTATTTGTCAAGATATACATTAACACATAATTTGATAATATTCGATCGGAATAATATTGGCGAATATCGGAAGATAACAGCTTATGCGTTATAACAGCGTAGGTCTGTCTGGAAAGTCCTATTGGGATTCGGGGTTTTATCGGGATTACTCTAGCAATTTCGGTAGCACTATTTTTATGCGAAGCGTGTTGGCCGTAGTGTTGGCTAAACACAGTATTGTTTTACGACACAGCGAATTATCATCGAAGCTATCTATTCCGACTATTCTAATGCGACTAAGGAGTTATTTAGTGAAGTTATTGTAAATAAGTGTGTTTCTCAAAAAAAAAAGTGTTTATAAATGCTAATTGCAATGCTAATTTTGGTAATTAACCGCCTACTTTTATTTATCAAATTCCCGGCTCGTAACAATATAAACAGATGGAATGTAATATTATCCTTTTGTAGATTTGATGTACATATTTGATAATTTTTGGATCAAAATACACTGCAAGACGGCATTTTTATTGGACTACAAAGTTAGTTCATAAAATCTTCAGTTTTATTTTAACGGTATCAAAAAAGAGGTACTTCGGAGGTTCAAGACCTTAGGAAGACCGCCCGCGCCCCCTCCTTATCCACTAGTCTTTGTTGGAATTATGATAATATTGTGAATCTTGACGTTTCACAATGTAGCCGCGAAAGTTTTTGAACGATTCACCCTTATAATAAGATACGCCACCAATGCACAAACCAATTCGGTGGCTTCGGCCGCCTACGAAACCAAGTTTCGAAACCAGTTTCGATATAAGAATAACATTCCTTAATAAAACTAGTTTCGGTAGAAGAATAATGTTTCTTCTTACTTGTACTGTACATAAAAACTTGTAACTAAAATCTCTTTTGATGGGTAACATACAATTTACTGCCGAAAGGCATGTGTATATACAGTGTTACCACTTTCGGAGTCCTTATCAATAAAAGAAATAAACCATACACCTAATAAAATATACTTATAAAATTGCTTGTTTATTCTTGTGCGATCGCTGGTCTAATGTGTAGTTTCACTATGACATTTTCTATTTATAATTTCTACAACGTAACCGTAACAACTAAAGAAGGCTCTTTTATTAACAAACAAATTATATCATTACAAAAATGTATTAAATTGTTTCATATCCATCAAAAGAGATTTCATTTACGAGTTTCGAAAGAAGAAACATTACTCTTTTATCGAAACGAGTTTCTTAGGAAGAAACAATACGAGTTTATTTTATCGAAACTAGTTTGGAAAGAAGATATATTAGTCTTATTTCGAAACGTAAGAAGTCGAATGGCACAAAGCGTGTGCTGTGAATTGGTCCTAATTAGTACCACTGCGAGGGAGCGCACGTACTATTTACTTATTCGAGAAAATTCATAAATGCCTGCCTGTGTATTCAGACAGTGCCCAACGCTATAACGCTAACTAGCTATACATATTTATAGTGGGGAAGCCCTAGAAGGGATTTCGGGATTCACAGGATTTGAACGTGACATGAAGCAGAGAGGGCCACATAGTTAAAAAAAAACACATGACCTTCATTTTTTTTTCAAGCCAACAATGCAAGAAATCTTCTTTCAATGTCTACATAATTTTGCGTGGCTTTTTTTCGTCACGTTTTATAAAAAATAAAAATGTTACTAACCGTCAAATTTAAAATACCCTGCAAAATTTTCGTCAGATTTTTAGCTAATATGAGAGAAACATCAAGCTGAACCGTCTGTGTAAAATTTAACACGCTCGGGTATTTCGAAATGACGATTTTTCGAATTTGTAGTTTACATTTTCGATAATTCGCTATGACTGTTTCGAGCTTGTGTCACTTAAATCGTCACACCTTTTAATGGCAGCGTTTTTGGCGTTCAAATAACATATCCCCAAAATATCTGATGCGCCCCAACATTTTTTACGATTTTCATTTACGATTTCGAGTTTTGAAAACCTGTAGAAGCTTTTTGCGCACCTACTAAATAAGAAGGGGGTGACTGTTTAAAATCCGTTTAAAATCTGAAGTGGCTCCTCGATCCATACAGACAAAAACATTATTTAACTTTAATTCATTCTATTACCTAATCTTTCAAATGGAAACTCAAACGTCATGGGGACCTTCCCCATGACGTTTGAGTAAATCCATATTTAGCATTATGGACTATTATATATAAGGTAATGACAGTGAAACAAAGTTAAGTTTTTATGTATTTATTAACTGGAAATTAAATAGACAAGTGTTGATCCAGGCGGAAGAAGGGGACGACGAAGCCTAAATTATTTTTTAAGTTTCATGGGTTTACCAACATTTTAACTTGTAACTTAACATCTTTACGATTTCATTACCATACAGTCACTACCATTGTTTTAAATTTCAGTCAGTACAAAACAGGCCATGTAAGCACTACCTCAACCCTTGCACTAGTCAAAGAACAAGGATCGAATGTAAGCGGGAGGTATTTATTTCATCATTTTGAATACACTTACAGCTATAATTATTCCATCTATCACATGGTTTAATCTAAGGACCGTGATTATTGCAGATAAATTATAAATTCTTTCCCTCAGTCTGAGCGTTTTCTAATTTATGCCATTCCTCTGGCACATCGATAGAATCCGATGATGCATTCGGCTTCTTCCTTTTGCTATGTTTCTTCTTAACTACTTTACGGCGAACCGTCCGAGTATTATTACTATTAACCTTTGCCCCTTCAACGGCTGGTTTACCCTTTACATTATAATTCGTCACCAAAGTCCTTCTTATTAGTGATGTTTTGTTATACTTAAAACCAGGATTAGGAGGTACATTATCCTTTCCATCAGATATTGCAGGCTTAATTGGAGTAACAGTTTCTTGTTCAGGAGGTGTTTTATCGGCAGTTGGTGCATGCAAGCTTTTGGTGTGCGTTATCTTCTTTTTCTTTCGGTGTGTTTTTAGTTTCTTTTGTTTCACTCTTAAATTGTGGCGCACTGGGTTTTGTACACCAGTTATCTAAAAAATGTAATTGAAATTTAAGATGATTTTCAATTTATCAATAGGGCAAAGTTCATATCTAACGCTAGTTACGAGGTAAGGACGTAATTCATAGCTATTTCATATCTATATAGTGATAAATAAAATCCAAGAATTCGTTCGAATTGTTACATTTTAAATTAACTAAGTATTCATCTCGTCTCTATCTTTAAAATTGTTCAATTAACTATGTTGCTATAAATAACCGTGGCTTTTTATATACCGCTTCGGCCATATAGTTGTGATGACTACTTGGCAAAAGCCATATACTTATATGTAATTGTAATTACAAAGTCGGAAAACATTTTCTAATTTAGGATTGTTATTTAAGCCGAACTGTCGAACCGAAATGCTTGGCCGACTTGATTTTCTTCCACGATATTTAAATGTGCCCACACTTTTTAAAGCTGTCGTTTTCAAGTAACTTAAAACTATTTAGGGAAAAGACAAGGAGAACCATGTTATATGGGGGAAAGTTGAAAAAGTGTCCAGTTGTATACTGAAAATAGAGGTCACTGGCTTACGAAAAACTACGAGATGAACATAGCTGTTGTAGACGGAGTGAAGTTTGCCGAGTTAAAATATTATAATACTTTTAATGTCTGAAAGTTATTACACGTTTATTTATTGTCTGAAAAACTCATTGACTACTTCCGCAGTCTAGTACACAGTGTCTAATTATTATTTAAGCCAATATAATTTTTCACAATTTTTTTTTTTTTTCAATTTTTTTTTTCTTTCAATGTTTATTTGTCTATCCTACTCTATCAACTGGTGGCGCTTTCTTTAAGAAAACATCCTTATGCTACTGTAGCGCCCCCAATTCTACGAATTTTGTCGGACACTTTTCATGTACCTACAGAGATTATTCCCCTTGCCTCTATCCTCTATACTTTGTATGTTTTACGTTTTTTTTCTGTTGTTTAATTTTTTTTTAATTTGGAAGTAGTTTTAGAAAGCAACTTACAATCTAAGCACAAACGGGAGTTCTCATAAGGCGTTTTTTAGTAGTTCACTCTGTTCAAACTATCATTGGATTTGCAGTATTATCGGTAACAAATTATATGTATAGTAGTATTATATATATATAATACACACAAAAAACTTGTGAATGGCACAACAGAGGTATCCCGAACAGCTTTCACAAGAAACCGATAGCTTGCGTTGTTTAGGACCCCGATTTAAGAGAGATTATTTGTGTGCAGCAATCCACTTTCCTTTATCCCTTTATTTTATTACCTTATCGGTTTGATAGGGATTATTTTTAAAATAGTATGCACTACTATTTTGAAAAAAAAAATCAAGAGAATTTGCATTCTCATTCATTAGACAGGCCGCAAGCTAGCAATCGATCAACGACCTTTAATCCTAGAACTAATGTTTTATTGCAATGTTGCATCTGAGTCAATCGGTAGGTGACACAGTCGTTCTTCCCTATCCACACCTTGAAGCACGGCAGAATGACTCCGACGGCGCTTTGGCTAGCACACTAGCCATGTGCCCTGGCTAGCCCTGGATTTCTAGTCGTGCCTGCTACGTTCGGAGAGCCTGCGCATGCGCGTTCCGCCGTAGCATTCCGGGCTCGTGATGCGGCGCGGCCTCTTCACCAATACTTACTACTATGACTGCAGAGTCTCACCTGGTCATCCAAAAATTCATCTGCATCCTGGCGATCACAATAGTCCAATATCTTTTTACAGACAGTCCGTAAGTTCTTAATACGTTCTTTTTTCTTTTTACCTATTACGAATTTGTTGTCATCGTCCAGTCTTAAAGTTCTGAAAACATGATACTTTTGTATGTACCTACTAAAAGACTGTTTAGATGTAATAGAAACTATCATACAGGTTATTAAGCGGAGTTGGGTTGTTACTTCTCCCAAAGAGCGCCAACCAACCACATTAGCTCGTTCAGCATGTTTTGCGCAGCATGAAGACTGTTGCAGCTGCAGCGCTACATTCTACCAAGCCTATCAAGCACCTATTTAGCTGGGCACCAACTTCAAACAGACTAGAAGCGACTATTACTATGATAATGTTACCTATTATATTGAAGGTACCTATTTTAGTCTTTTTGCTTAGATTTGTAATTATTTTTTTATTTTTTGATATTTAGTGCTCTTGTTGAAGTGACTTCAAACAATACTGATTTGTTTGAAGTCAGTTCAACTTTTTCTTAAAGGATTTATAAAGTTTTTTTTTAAAGGATTTAGCAGAAAGGAAAAAAGTTACGACCTTTTTACTAGAACTAAAATAAGACTTTTTTGGATAATAAACTTTCGGAAAACAATTTACACATACTTGATGACTTTAGGTTTGTTTGCGATATCGGTCTCCTTCTCCTCCATCAGCATGGCCGTGTCCCAGATGTCCTTGAAGAGTTGACGTCTGTCAGCATAGCTATCTTCCGTGGTTATCAATTCCATTGCTACCTACCCTGAATATACCTACCCAGTGCTATTACCATCTGCTATTTGTTGCAAGATTCACATTAATGAATCTATGCAATTTTTTAAATATTTTTTTTAGTTATTCATTTTGTGTTTTTTGTTTTGCTTGTTACATGTTTTGGCAATAATTTAGTCCCTCGGGGCATGTTCTAGACATGTGAAATTTTTTGTCTATGATTATGACTTCAATTTTCTTTTTCCGTGCCAGTTTGTTGTGTGTTTAAACGAAGTTTGTATATAATTGTAACGTGCCATCAGTATTTAAATCGTAATGCACCCTTAAGTATAAGGTATACAATTTTAGGCTAGAAATAATAAATGACAGATATAAACGATTTGGAACGTCTGCTCATCATCGTCATTGAGGGAGACGCAGGGCTTGTGCCCTAGATTTTCGCGCTTTGGTCATATTTTAAAGAGAGACGAAGCTTAAAGCGTCTACCTGGCCCAGTGTGTCAATTGTCGATGAGTGAGTTGAAAGATAGAAATGACAAAATGTGGTAGATACTTATAATGAAAATGCAGGGTTAACATAGCATACAGGTACAAACGTGCTAGAAAATGATTCTACATGAACGCTTTCATTTAATAGCAATTGTTTGATTTTACCCTCACGACGTCAATCTACTATCTTCCTGAAGAAGACCTAAGAGTTAACACAAATAAATACCAAAATTGGTTTCGAAGACATGGGTGAGGTCTTCCAAGCCTACTTTTGATCGGTACAACTATCGCTACAATTAAAATGAAAAATCGGAATACAGAAAGACAAATTTCTTTATTAGCATTTGTGAAAAACCTTTGGTGTCACAATGTGAAAAAAATAATTACCCCAAATAAAATAAAAAACACTCACCGAAACTTTATAAAGGCCATAGAAAATAGATAACAATCTTCTTTACACAATTTAACGTCATTTTTTTTTTAAATCTAGGTAGGTACTAATTGTTCGCAAACGAAATCGTATTTATTGGTTTGTTCCGCTTTCAAGCCTTAACCACACAAGTGAACATTATGAATTTTGCGAAAAAAGTGTATGCATAGTAGGTATATGATGATCAGTCATTGGTGGTATTTTCACTTTACATTTGCAAGGGAGCAAAACAGAAGTGTAACCACCTCCCAAATAGTCACAAATAAAAAAAAAAGATTTTTCTGAATGGATTCATCAATGATGGAACTCTGACATAAAAATAATACAACCGAATCGAGAACTTCTCCGTTTTTTGAAGTCTCCCATCTGACAAAGACCGTACTTTATATATTACATAAGACGCAACAAGTGTGTTGGGCGCCTTGAGCCATTCAGTTGGCGGGAGGCCCTTGCTGAAGGCTTTCCTTTGGCATATTGTTCCGTACGCTTAAAATTATTCCGTCGAACTTTTTATAGTATTAAAGCAATTACAAAGTTATCTAAACGGACGATAGGAAAGTTATTTGATACGCCTACCTACAATGAATTTAATATTCCAAAAACATTTTCGGATTGAATTATTTTTTTATTCGCCGAAATGAGTAATTTTTTGTATTAGAAAATTTAAATAGAATCTTCATAATAACGTAATGTCGGAACTATGGCAGTTAAGTATGATCCGAACACTTTATGGGTGGCTCTTAATGAGGTCGGTGATGGAAACATATTTCAAGTGTACCCGAAGATGCTGGCCGAGTTATTTCTACAGGAAGAGGCTGCAAGGCAGGAAGGCGACTTCAGCGAGGCGGAAAAACTGGTTTTGCCCAGCGATAAGGAGTACAGATTGACACAGTACTTTGCCCTTGTCGCTCTACAGAAGAACTTAGACAAGTAAGTATTTTTCATTATTACTTAAGTCACTGTAAATTTTATAGAAATAAAATCGTATTTATAAAAATGATAACTTGACTCATCTCACATACGGCCCCCTGATCTCAGTTTAGGCAGAGCCTATGGGAATCAGACTGCTCATAAACATACTTATATATTTTTAAATACATACATTAAAGATAAATTACTCCCAGACAGAGAACAAATGATCGTACTCTTCACACAATATTTGTCCTGGGTGTGAATCGGATCCACGACGGCTGGCTTAGTAGTCAAGCTCACTAACCACCAGACCATCATCAACAGCCTTTAATAGTCCACTGCTGGACATAGGCCTCTCCTTAGAAATGAGGTTTAGGCCTACTATACCACGCTAGCCAGACGGGTTGGTATAGGGTTTGTTTCAAGTTTTCCTTCTTTCTGCAGTGCTGTTGTCCTGCGTAGTTTGCTTCCTTAGTCGGCTCTTACGACACCCACGGGATGAATAGGGGTAGTGACACTCTGTATTCTTAATCCGTCACCACACGGATACCACCAGACCATCAGGCCGGTCAAATACATATAAAACCTTCTAGACCCTTTTCTTTGAAGAAATCAAAACAAAATAAGTATAATGACCACAAATTAAAAACGTTATTAGTTATATGTTTTATTTGATTGTGGGTCATAACTCATAAGTCATAACCAATAGCCTTGATATTATTTTTGTATCAGATAACATTATTGCAGACAGTAAAAATGTGACCTGATTTGTATTATTTCGATTGTTTACGAGTAGGTATGCGTTAGGCGATTATAATGCGTGATAAAAGGCTTCATTTTTGTAGGTAATAAAATACCTAAAATTAAAATATTTTCTATTATGGTGTGTTTGACTTAAAGATGGCCTTTATTGCCCTTAAATATACGTATATGGGTCTTCAACATTAAATGTTTGTGAGCTGTTTTAATGTTGGATTATTTACGATATATCATTAATGTAACATGCGATGCCATGTAAAAAACAAATAAATGGAAAAATAACTCCATTGGAGATTGCGCTATTTATGCTGCCAGATTTTTGCAAGAAAGAGACAAAAATCTTTCTTATATTTATAAGAAAGATTTTTGGTTCTTTCTTGCAAAAATTTGGCAAGTGCAAATCATCCTATTTTTTTATTTAGGTATTGCAGTTTTAAACTCAATATTTTAAGGCGGTGTTACTCATTTTCCAAGAGATCACTGTCCGTTCGATATGTAAAGTGAAATAATTTAATCAATAATGAAATAGTTTAAATTACTTACTATATTACTATTATTAAATACTGTAATACACATTTGAAAACAATGAACTTTACTATGTATGTATGTCTCATACTCGTCAAGTTATTTGAAGTTTACTACAATGTGAAAGATTTTCTAAAACCTGCCGCATTTAATATACAAACATACAATCCTAAAAAGAATACTACAAATCTTCACTGGACACAGTTCTATAAGTAAGATTACCTACTGAAGTTTTTGTACGAAACTCGTTACAGTTTAAATGGGCTGTTCGGTTAAACCAACAGTAATAACGTTGATTGGGTCGTCCCCTACGAGCATATGGCGACCCTGACCTACACGTAACAACACCATGGCGAGCTTCATTACACCATACGCTTAGCACTAAATGTCATAATGGTTAATTGGATTCCATATAACTGGATACCTGGTTATAGAAGGCACACACGACGTAATTTTACCATGATCTACATTTAGACACGTTAATTCACAACTACATGTTATAAAAAAGGGTCTTCTTCGCGTCTGCTGTCTAAACGCGATAAACTCTTAAGGCACCGAACTTTTTTCATACAACTTATAGAAATATATAAAGTAATTCATTAGGAGATTAAGGTGTATAATTCATTAAAGTAATAATTCAGCTAAAATGTGACAATGATCGTAAAAGATTTCGGGATAGAACATATCATGGATTTCGAGTTTCAAAGTTTTCGAATAATGAATGAAGGCATCATTACCTTTAAAAAGCTTTAGTATCATCATCTCATCAATCATCCTAGTATAGTGATTAGATATACCATTTCTTTTCTCGCCTTCACTCTCGCCTGTTCACGTTAACAGTGATTCCTTCCCTTCCCTCAAGTTCCAGATATGTTTCATTCAAAAACAATAGGGTATATGCATGTATTTTTTTATTTTTTAAACGATTCTACTCGTTATTACATTACCAAAAATAAATATAACACATCCGAAATATAAACCGTTAAGCAAAAAAAAAATTATTAATATCACTACGTACCTTTTATTCAACCAATATTGCGTTTTAGAAATTTGCGAGGGAATCTTAAAAAAGCCAATTTTTGATGATTAAATTTCACTATTAAATTATAATAAATTTCAAAAATAATTGTATGGGTATCTTTTTTTAGCAATAAAAATTACAAATAAAAATATTTTGTCCATTTTGGTGTCACGTGCATATTCCCTATTGCTCACGTTGTCATTTTCTTACAATTACTTCAGTTCTCGATTTCTCTAAAGCAATTATTACTAAGTACCTATAAATGAGTTCACAATAAATTGTAGTCGAGCAAAGTTTTTATTAATTATTCAATTCGATTCGATGGCTGGCAGAATCCAGTGTCCAGTCTAGGGGCGTGCAATGGGAGAGGCCTATGTCGAATGGACTGCTATAGGCTGATGATGATGAATCAACTATGTATATTTATTCGTTCCTATATAATTTTTTTTCAAAACTTTAAGAGCATCATCATCTAAAGTTTCACTGAAACATATCAATGTATATATACATCAATTATCTATACATTAATTATCTTTTAAGACCTAAAATTACGTATTAAAAAGTTCCTCCTATTAAAAAGTTAAGTGAGTAGTGTGATTTGAGTCTCTGTGTCTGTACATATAAATGTGACAATATTCCTTGCATGTAATACCTCAATACAATTACCTCCATGCACCTATGGCCTACTGAATTCTACTGTAAATTGCTGTGTGCCGATAACGCGAAATACGTTTGGATAGCTACTGCTCACGCTTCTACACAGCTATTGCTTCACTATTGTATACAATATAGATATCATTTTGTAATACTTACTATGATCCTAAATATATATTTCTATTTCAAAACTGCCTCTAAACACGGCGATCGAGCGTATCTTTTTTTCAACAGATTTAAAAAAAAAAAGAATTTTGAAAATCGGTTAACAATTGACGGAGTTATCGGTGAACATACATAAAAAAATACATACAGTGGAACATAGAACCTCCTCCTTTTTGAAGTCGTTTCAAAAGAAATTAAAAGTACGCTTTTGAAACGTACTTCGACCATTATATTCATGAAATAAATATTTTGTATTATTTCCTTGACCTATATAACTAAGATAGCAGATAGTCGGCCTCACAGAATTAGGAAAAGAGAGAAGAAGAAGGGGATTAAGTAATCCTTTCGCTGTATTTCAGCGAGTGAATGACGCCTGGATGCCCAACCTCACCTAATGTTTGGGAGGGGTCACTCAAAGACCAGCAACTCATTTATAACTCGTGTGTGTGTCCATGGGCGATACTGAATTAAGGGGATCCATCAGGTCGTTTACCCTCTGTGTTATTAAAAGAAAAAAACAGTCATCGCATAAACTTTCGGTACCGTGACAGGTCAATATACCAGGAAACATTTATACTATCTATCTAATATATAAATATCTCTTGTCACGGTCTTTGTAATCACACTCCTCCTCTCGACCAATTTTAATGTTTTTTTTTGTATATTCAGTAGGTATGAGAATAGGTCGTAATGGTGGTCCGATTCTACACAGTAAGCCAGCATTTGGGGGGGCTGGTCATAATTCCCCGACGCCTCATGTGTTCGTAATCACCCGTGAAGTATTTTTTAACCTCTCACCACTATCCCCCACATTTTTACTAGGGATTTGATTTCTTTGATAATATATATAGCAGAACAACGTTTGCCGGCCTAGTACGAGTAGTAGTCATTCTATATACGTTGAAGTCAAAGTAGGCAAACGTATTTTTTAAACAGCAACTGACTTATTGCCGTAGATTTTATAGTCATCATACTTTAACACTGGTTCTAAATTAAACTAAAAACTATTTAGTAGGCTTTGACTTAAACATTTTTTGACAAATGCGACTAGCTTTACGTCAGCACACAAGCTCCAGGTCAAAGAAACATCTTAGAAACAAAAAAAAGTATTGAAGAAACCATTAAATCATTTTGTGTTTTTAATAGTTATAGTTTAATATATCGATTTTTACAAGCTTCTAAGTGTAATGGATAATCGAAACTGTTAAAATTGTGTTTTGCGTATATACGTTTATAATGGCGTGTGCAGGCCGGAGACAATGATAGAAAACGACAACTTAGAAGAAATAAAGTAAGTCTAGTCTCTTTATAGTTTATCTATCAGCGCATGAAATGAGGAGACCTAAGAAGCCTTTATATTGGGAGTTTTATTATGTTTTATTTTACTAATATGCAAGTGCTATGTTTATTATCAATCAATTATCAATCAAATTACTATGTTGACATCATAGGTTCATAGTCTATGTATGTATCTTTATCAGCAGTTCAGTTACCATAGTAAGTCACTTTTAATTTGGAACCAGTTACTCATAAGTTAGGTGTTCATCTTATTTGTACACAAAAAAACATTTATAAATAAATTAAAATCTTTGTAAATTTAAAAAATTATATGACACGGTGCAGGGACCAAGATAACTCATTACTTTACACTATACTGCTTCCTGCTGTTCGGCTCTCTAACGAAAACCTTTTAAGGTGTTGGTCGAGGCATTTGACTAAAAGTATATGAACAGTTATGACTATTGGAACAATGATCACTTAATCCACATTTCACATATTGACAATCAGGTCAGACAAATCCACATTTCTTTTATAACATAGAGAGCAAACGAGCAGATGCTACGGTCACGACAGGGCTTAGTATAAGATTATTTTACATCTATTCGATCGTCACGGTAGCCCGTTCGGCGCTACGATTGGCCCGCGCTGAAATCTCCACCAATTGCATCAGTCGAGAGCGAGTCGATGTGAAATAAACTTGCACTCAGCCGTCTAACGGTACCGCAAGGACACCAAAAACTCAAGAATCACAAGTGCGTCCCGGTTCCCTACTCATTGAGGGAAAAGCGACAAATTGATTGCTTAACACCTTCACGTGTTGTGTTTGAAAGAAATTAAATTTGACATGTGAATAGTTGAGTTAATGCACTAATTATTGGAATAGGTTTCATTACAATTTTTCTCTAAAATCTCGTGCAATAAGAATGCATATGAAACAGAGGTCCAGTCATGGTAAATTATCCCATAGCTCATTAGTTATTATTAAGAGCACATCAATGATCCTTGGCAAGATGTTGTACATGCTTACAAGGCATGTATAATACGTTTTAACAAACAGTATAAACAAATTCAAAACAACGTATAAAAAATCTACAGCTCTCTAGAAAAGCGTTTTATGTGAAATCTAGCAAATGGCCAAACGTTGTAGGAGCGGAAACTTGAATATCTTCGCAGTTTATTGACACACAAATTTCATTAATACATACACAATTACCTCACATCATACACTAATTTTTGAATCCACTTTTTTTTCTTTTACGTCCATAGGCTAAAAAAGTGCCGCTGTTACAACGGTGTAACAGCGGAAACAGTTTTTCGTGAATTACGCCCTAATGGTTGGATGCACAAATTTTTACTTACCATACACAGTTACACGAAGTCATACACTAAATATCTGTTAAATAATGCATTTCGAACTTTTTCCGCTAGGGCAACACACACCGTCTCCTTCTGCTCACACAGCAGGTCATGCTTGCGAAGGAGATGGCGGAGCGAGACTGGGAGAGGTTCAGAACTCTCCCGGCCCGCCAGGCCCGAGTACGAGCCAGGTACAGCAGACGGCTCGGGCGCTGGAGGTCGCAAAGCGAAAGCCGTCCTCCATTAGCACAGGCCTGAGGGTGACAGGTGAGGCCATCTGTCACTCTAGCAGAAGCAGGCTGGGGTGGGTGGAGGCGCGACGCGCTACGGAGCGCGCGCAATAAGGGAACATCCGGGTTCCCACATAGGAGAGGTCATCTATGAGCCGTGGATGGCCCGAGGTACGTCGGGTAAGAGGGCTTTCCTTTCTAGGGTATACCTGGTTCCCCGGCTACTAGTACCTGGAGACGGCGTACGGTTTTTGGTCGGTTCAATTCCGACTTAAACCGAGGGAAGTTCCGCACAGAAAAACAAGGGAGCAACGCACACTAATAACGCTGTTTCGTGATCATGTGACCTGAGGCTTGTTTATGAATGAAACAACATGTTTCAAGCAAGCTCTCGTGGATTATGAAAGCATGCTTGAAACCTGATGAAACCAGTTCTAATACAAGCATTAGAAGGGTTAGCAACAACATTAGGAGAAATAAAAGTAATGTGTGTAAAAAGACATGGAAGTTTTAAGGGAAATTTTACTTTTATTTTTTATGTCACTAGTTTTAGCTAAGTTCTTTATCCAACAGTATTAATTGTGCCTACAGCTTCAGCGTTAAGTTGAACGAAGAAGGTTGCACGAATTTTGTCAGCACTAAAAACCGAGCTTACCAAGTGGGTGGAAAACCTAATCTGTTCTCTCTTTTCCGACAAATTATAGTGCAAGAGGAACATTACCAAGACTATATCAGGCGAAAATAACATTGTTGTACTGGTAGAGAATGAATTACTCTTTGTGTCACATTAATATTAGGTAAAGATCAATTTTAATGGTTTATTATTACACTATTAAGGGAGGATGAAAATGAAAAACCGCAAGACCCGGCCGAGGAACCGCCCGAAGAATGGGCACCTTGGACCCTGGTCCTGCCACTCAAGAACCCTCATGCACCGCCACCTGTCGCCGTGAAGACAACTCCTGGGCCTGCTTGGGATATTGAACAGGTAGTAACGTCCGGTGGTTGATGCTTATATTATTCCACGGTCAGCAAATTATATGTCCATTTCTTCTAATGACGCCATTAAACTATACATATAGCTTGCAATGAACATTAATTTTTAAATATATAATAGTACGCATCCGAACTATACTGTCACGAGATATAAGTTTCTCTTTGATGATCTCTTACTCCGAACCCTACTCTGTAGATTTGTGTCAATTTGAAAAGCTTGTAATAATCACTTAACGAGTCTTTCAGTGGTCGTGTGTGATGTGTTTCTAAAATTTCACCAAATACCTGACGGCCAACTGATGCATCGCGCGCTCTTATTATAGCTCATGCTTCCAGGGCTTCCTGTGACACGATTCCCTCTATTTTCATGAAATCGCTCTCACTGACATGGCAGGAGAACTAGGGGAAACTTGTTACCTACACATCAATAATACTATTCGTATTACATATTTAGTAAATCAATTTTGTTTTATGAAGATAATTTGACCAAGTTTGGCTCAATTGTACAGAGTTGATCACTATAGTAATAACTAGCTATTTCTGCGGCTTCGCTCACTTGACTATTTCTTATTTCGTGTTCCAAACTTTGAAAGTGATGAACTGCCATACAACCATTTATCCCTTATTTCACCCCCTTAGGTTTATACTTTCCAACGATCCTTTCTTAGTAGGTGCTTACACCAAAAAAGCATCAGCTCCAAAATTTCAAGTTTGTAGGCCCAGCGGTTTAGGCTCTGGGTTGATGAATCTAGCAGTCAGAGCAAGTAACTTTATATGTATAGATGTACAAATTCTAAAATAAATGCGATCATCACTCACCACGTAATGTTTACTTTAAAAAATTTAAGTGTCAACATTAAATGTTTGCTACAGGTATTAAAAGCCGCTCGCTTACTGTACAAGCCACCGATAGCTGTAAACTTCACCGATGAGCAAGATATGCGTTGTGTGTATTCACTCATATACGACGTGTTTCGATGTAAGTTTATTCATAAGTTCTATTACATTTATAGCAATTAGTTTAATTTACAAATTCATAGTTGGACAATATATATATAATAAAAGAAATTTGCCAAAACTTTTTGCAATGAAAGCCATTGAGCTCATCCATAATTAAATTAGGAACTAGCAGGAAAATGATAGCGATGCTTATAATGGTGTGCCGACTCCCACATACGAAAAAAACAGAGACATACTACAGCGCCATCTAACGAAGACACACCGAACTACGTAATAACTACTGAATAAGAATTGCTAACCCTATATCGCGATATGAAGAATTCTCTCGCCAAATAGCATATATACAACTTTCCAACATCAACCGTTGGGCCCGCCAGGCATGTTCATCTCGCCTGGTCGGAGGATCCTCCCTTTGTGTTGGAGGGACACGGCAGCCGTTCTTCCACAATAGTATAGCCCGTTTGGATAACTTATTTCAAGTTTGAACTTTAATTTGCACATTTTTATGATTGGTGTGTAACTTCCGAGGAGGATAGTCTCCATTGTTTCTGTAGTTCTACTAAGTCTAGACGACCTAGACTTGGTAAAGCGGGTTAATATGGTCAAAATGATATACTTACACATAGTACCTTATGTTATAGTACCTAACAAAAGACAGTTAATTGCGGGTAGCTCCAACACTCAACAAAACGAAGTATGAAACTTAAAACACGACGAAATGTAAGGTCGCTTGCGTGAATGTTGTTGTAAGTGGGTGAGAAGTACTATATAAAAGTCGTAAAAAGTATATTTAACGGCCTAAAAACCCTCCGCTAAAGGGAAAGTCGTCTTAAGCGGGTGTCACGAACTCGCGGGACGCAGCGAAACAAAAAAGGGAATACAATATCGTACATCGTATATGTAGATGTAGATTTACTGATTTTAAACATTGTAACAATACTTTAGTAGTGTAATCTTTTTATTTTTTTACCTGCATCAATTTTACAAGAAGACGGAAAACTAAACAAAGCAAGATGTTTCCAAAATATATATCAATAATATATAATTGAGATATTTTAAAAATCCACCGTATGCATGTTTTTTTGAGAGTTACGATTTCTATTCTCATTTCAATCATTAATTTAATTAAGATTAATCAAGTCTCTTGAAGAGAAGACAATTGAATTTGGTGAAGTACATGTATCAGTAATTTCTTGAATAAAACAGGTCAAGGTGATGTCATGTGGGTAAAAAGTTCGGTCATAAAATACTTATTGATCAAGAGTCTAATATTCTTTTTCAGTATGTACGCATGTGTTTTGTATACCTATCTAAAATTTTATTTAGTTTATATTTACACATAGAATACTTAAATAAAATTTGACGTTTTTGTCTTTATGCATTGTTTTTGTGCATTGATCCTACATTTCTGATGAAAAAAAATTAACGAGATGGAATTCGGAAGCTCTGCCTTAGTGGTGTAGTACGGTACGCGACTATAGTCCATTAGGCCTCAGGTTCGATACCCGGACCGGGTAAAATTTTATAGGGTTTTTCTGAGAGAAAAAAATAACCCAAGTTACTCCTTATATAGACAGCTTGTAAAATATTATCAAAATCGGTTCAGGCATTTTGAAGATTACCCGGAAGAAACAGACATACAGACAGACCGAAAATATTCAAACTAGCTTAGGTATCATACAATTAACCGTGTTAGCATGAACAAAAGCTATAACTATAACTTTAGTTTTATTTACTTTTATAGATGAGTTATTTGTTTTTAGATAAATACTTGATAGATTGTGTTATTTAAAAGTATAAAATTGTTGTGGGAAAGGTTAAACTAAGTGAGATGGATAACATTACGATTCATTTTATCCAAGTTGGTGCAAAAAAAAATCAGTAACATTTCTATCTACACTAATTAATAAGGACCACTTATATAAGAAAATGTTTGTTAAATTTTAGCGCTGCCTTAGTGGTGTAGTACTGTACGCGACTGCAGTCCACGAGGCCTCGGCCTTAATTCCCGGACGGTGCAAAATTTTATAGGTTTTTTTTCTGAGAGGAAAAATAGCCTAAGTTACTCCTTATATAGACAGCTACCTGTTAGTAGAATATTATCAAAATCGGTCCAGCAGTTTTGAAGATTACCCGGAACAAACAGACACACAACCAAAAAAATATTTAGACTGGTTTTTAAGCTTGGTATCGTGCAAAATAACAGTGTGAGCATGAAAAAACCTATCATTTTGACATTACAAACAGAAGTTAAAATTTTAGTTACATATTTGCACAGTTTACACTATTAATCTATTTTTATTTTGAAATCTGAGTTTCCAAAGTACAAACACCAAAAATTTTAATTGAAGAGAAACTAGTAGTAAAGTTTGCACAATATTTCACAGTTTTATCGTGTAGGCATCCATTTGATAAACTTAAATAACATTTTGTAACTGCAATAAACTAACTGGAGGCATAGCGTGTGTTAATCTACGATTTACAATGACGGTAGTCCTATCGTAAACCATCTTTTGTAACTTATGTACTTCGGAGCGTTTGAACTTTTGAATCAACTTATTAATTGATGTAGCTTTTTCAGACTGTGGTCATATGACGGACGTAAAACCCGCTAAACAAAAGTCATGAACTTTCATATGTATGTCCGTTCATGTATGCCTTTTTCGTGTTCTCCTACACTAAAATAAGCATAGATACATATAAATCGTGTCCCAACGTGTCATCACGATACCAAATGCTAAGGTGGTATGTTGTATACAACTAAAACCACACGCGGTTCTATCACCGAGTCTCATAACTGATGCTTTTGAACTGAAAATAGTGGGACGCCCTATTGAGTAGGGCGGCTCCTCTATCTATGGTGTTTCGGTATACTTGGAGTGGAGGAAACGTATTGAGCCACAGCCTCAATCATTGGGTAGGAGAGAGCACTATGCCAATTATTCATTAGTGGCCTTACCGCCACAGCCTGAACATCGTAAGCAATCTACGACTTTAACGCTAGATTATTAAACGATTGCATTTTAAGCTATCTGCTTTTGCAAACGGTTTTTTTTTTTTAAATAATTTTTAGACTGTCTTAAATACAATTTGTTAGCAATCGTCTTTAGATCAGGATGGTTTTTGAGTAATACTTGCAGATTTTCATCAATAAAAGCTGGCACATGTGTTCAAACGGTACCTGGAACGTAAAGATATTGTCATTATTGGTTACATAAAGCCTATCTGTCTATGTCGAAATAAAAAGACCATGAATTCTAAACTATTTGGCCTTTTTTATTATTCAGCACGTTGAATGTCTCCTCATACAGAAGTTTTTGGTCACGCGACAATTTTTTTGTAGTTTTATTTAAGTTATTCCTATTCAACCATTTATTTTCAGATAAAATCGTGTTGGATCAGACACTTCAAGATACTGAATTCTTTTCGTTTCACCCAGAGGTAAGTTATTTAATTGTTAAATTAAGAATATAACTGAAACCTTTCTTCAGTATATTAAACTTCACTTCTCACGCTGCTTAGAGCACGCAGGTACACACAGGTACCTACAATAAAAATAAAGATCCGGCAACTCACAACATGAAGTCGCAAGTTAACATATGATCATTAACTTTCATCGATGTTAGTTTTAAGCCATCTAGTCAAATGGAATCGACTATAGTCCATTCGCATTAAAAAAACAATGACGCATCGATCAAGATTCGCACCCCGGTGGATTCCATAGGTTATGTTTAATTACCAAGTAAACTTTACCATCTATAGTTTAATTCAGATTCATTTTACTACGTCTATAATAATAGTAGACGGTAGTTCATAAGGTGCTCTGGGACCGTGTTGGAGCGTGAAGAGTGTCTAAATATTATTAATATTACTGCCTGCTTTTCCAGCGGTAATTTGCAATAGCTATTATATCTACTTTTTTAAGATTATTGCAAACTTTAATAATTGTCCAATGAGCATATATCAAATTCTTGCATATCTTTATTAGTTAATTTAGCTGTCTAAAATCTTATAATCTTTACTGAAGCCGCTCTGCCATACATATAAAAACTTTTTCAGCATTAGATAAAAAGAATAGCCAAGTACTTTTCATTATTGTTGAAATAGAAAAAAAACTTTTGATGGAATAAATGTTTCCATTTGCTGCAAGTCGTCACAGCTCTATGTAAACGAAAATTCTGAAGTCATTCATGAATTTCAATTTTTATTCTGTTCTTGAACTTGTAAAAAGATTGATGGAGGTCTTATTACTGTTGCGGTTATCAAGGTTGTATATTTAGGGCTCGTTACCGAACAGTAATAACCTCCAGTTAAGGTAGGTTCGACAAGATGTTACAATAAAAGTATGCCCCATCTAACTCACATTAAATGACTTTCTCGTGACCAAAGCGATTTCTTTCTGAACGCTCACGAAAAGGGGGTTTATATTTATGACAATTCGTTTGTGTACCAACGAAAAGAATCGGTATTTCAAGATTTTCGAGACTGATAAATAGGTTCTATTAATAAAAACACGAAACTTTTTGGTGAGGTCGTTCAGTGAGGCGCCTGCTAATTAGTACGGTGGCGGTGGCAATTTTCAGCTATCATTTATTTGGTTAAATAATTTACGTTTAAATTTTAAATTTTAAGCGAGAGCTTTCAAACTGCTTTGTAAACTTTGTGTAATTGGAGATACTAAAAAATAAGTATCATTAACGTTGTGTAGATATAAAAAGAGCTGCATCCTAAATAATTGTATAGTAGCTATATAAACCTTCACCAGTACATTTTACAGCTATTGGTAGGTAGCTGTACTGCTAATGCAACTACTCTGTTGTTTGTTACCAATTACGAATTGTTTTTTAGTTATAATTGGGCAGTCTTAATTCATTTTCAACATTTTAGTTTGCGGTTCACCGACACCTACTATGGCTGTTTTTAATGGAGTTAGCTAGGCGGCGATGGGGAGCAAGACCCAGAAACGAGATGGACCGAGCAGCACAGCTCCTGGATGAAATCGGGTCACCGTTTAAAGAAATTGAGAATATTGTCTGGGAGGAGAGAGTACACTTTGCCGCAGCTATTGCCCGGATACGTATCAAGAATAAGGCTTTCACGTATGTCACAAAGGGTTTTGCATTTAGTGTTTTATATAATATCATATGGTAATGGACAAATGAAACGGATTGCCGTTTGACTGGATGCTGGATATCCGGATATTGTAATTTAACTACTTTTAGGTCATTACTAATTTGATCAAAGCATGTTCTGCTTGGTTGGCCCTTGCTGGTGGCCTTGTCTACCTTATACTCTCACTAGTAGTAACGAAAGCCACACTGCTTTCAAATTTATCTTTCGGTGACTCAGTAACTAATGCTACACAATACCTAGACTGAACCCAATTTGTTACAATTTACATGAAAGATACACTCTGGAATGTATACAGCAGCCGACTATTAGAAGTAAAATCATTTGACGCCTCCTTTCAATGAAGTCGGTAATCGACCGTTCGTAATTTTTTGATTACACATTGATGTCAGAAGATACAGCAGCTACATGTTGTTAATAAATTATTTTGTAAATTAACGTACGTTAATGTTTGTGGCTAAGATATTTAGGTACATTGTGCTCGTTTTTGGACAAACTTAGTTAGTTATTTCTTGTTTTCCGTTAGTGTGTTGTGTTTGTTTTACGTAATATATTAAAATAATTTAAAACTATTAAATCCACTCATAACCGCGACTTGTTTATTCTCTATAATCGACATTAAATAAATAAAAAGGTTCTAAAAATTTATTTGAATTATTTCTAAAAAGCACGACCTGACAATACACCATTTTATTTTGACAACACATTTCATGATAACGTTTTGAAGATAAATAAAGAAAACTGAATAATGTAACAGTGTTGTTGTATAACAGGTTATCGGAACTGTTGCCAGCACATCTGCGTGAGGAACGATCTGCGTGCGCCAATAGAGATTCAGTGACGGGATGGGTCAATATTTTTAAAGCTAAGTATGTTTAGGAATAGCTTTTTTTTAGATCTACTTATACATATATTGGCTACACATCTCACTCAATTATCCTAAAAAAATTGAATTATTGTGTCACCACTGGGTTCTCTACGATTTTGTATTAAGTGGCTTTTGTACCCACGGATTGTTGGCTTGAAAAAGAAAGCTTTGTCTATTATGCCATTGCAGTTTTCATCCACTCTCGAGGCTGGCTGTATAGTTGGTGCAGTTGTGACACTGAATATGTCTACCCTATTGTTATATATTGCTCGTAATATATGTGTGATACCTGTATAGATGGTTTTTATTTCTAGAAAAGTGGCGTTACTCGTAAAACGGCTGCACGAACTTGGATTTTCTTACAGCAATTCGCGTCAACTTTGCGCAGGAGAATACAGATTCGATCGAGTATGTCCGAGGTATATACTATATTTAGTTCAAGTTAATTAAGTTTCTCCACATGCTATATACAAGTGACAGGTGATCGAGTCTCTTGTACTTATTTTTTACCATTTTCTGAATTTTATTTGGGGTCATTATAATGTGTAACATTTCATAAACTTTAGGGTGTTTTTTTAATGGTCTGACACCAAGGAGGAGGTATAAAGTAACTATGGAAGAAAGACATTTGGAGTGAGGGAAACGCACGAGGGAATAAGGAAACCGTAAGTCTCAAAGGAGAGACGATACTAAGACTGCAGTAGGTAGAAGTGGTCATCCACTTCCAGCCATCCCAAGGGACCCATGTCCCTTAATACAAACATCAACAGGCCATAGATGGATAGATAGTATTTATTTATTTCTTTATATCTTCTTTTTCAGATTCATAACACTGCGACCACCTTTAAATATGAGCATTGGACAATTGGACCTGGTGAAACAAGGAACCATTGTGCTCCAGGTAATTCATTCGTTCAAATCACAAAATACTTACAAAAATGATTCTTGTACACTACTGAGCTTCTTAACAAAATTAAACAACACTATGGTTCAAGTTAACCGTCTGTCTCTCTTTACTTTTTGTCTCCTCATTAGTGTTGTATTTCAAGGAGCGTGAATTCTGCGAAGGTGCCTCAACTTTGTGTAGAGCTCTTCGAGCAAACTGTCTCCAAGGCGTAGTTGCGCAAACACACGCATCATCGCCTCGTTGTTCAGCGTACCTAGCCGCCCAACTCCGAGATTTGGCTGCAGTTTTGAAAGCGAAGACACCAGCAGCACCAGCCACACCAACTCTTGGAAAACTCGTTGTGTTTGGTGCTGGAGACAAGTAAGTGTCTTTCAAATTGTTCCCTTCTCATGTTTTAAGCTGAGTTTGAGTAACATAACAACGTGCGTCTTGTGTTTCTCTCTGGTTTCTTTATCCGTATTGTGTTAATTATACCAAAGAAATATGTACGTAATATTAAATCACGGAGATCTCGTACAACTGCAAATATTCGTCGAGAGTTTTCCAGGACCACTAAGAACTTCTAAAATATACAAACAACAAAAAAATATTACGTAATAGAAAAAAATGATTTCTGCATATGGAGACAATGCCTTCTTCTGTATCATAAATTATGTTTATTAAACATGTCTATTCATACTTTCATAAAGAAGAATTTACAATTATGACTTTTAGTATTTTAGGTCCGATTCGTATTTAAACCCATACCGCGTCGTATGTATATAAATATAATAAGTTCTTTAGACTTATAACGCAAGCCTAAATACGTAGCATTTTGCACGATCCCACAACAAAGTTGGGGAGAACATTTCCTGTTGCTACGAGACACTCACCTCACTCTACCGCACGCTACAAAGTCTTATAATCTGCAGCAGGCTCGTAGCACAAAGTTGTATTTAATTATTTTTTTAAACTATTATGGTTCTAATAATTCTACTTAATTTACAAGTATTTTAATTTTAAACTTGATTTTAATTTCAAAGACATAACATTAGGACTATCTTGTTATCTTTCATTATAGAGTTGAAAGTTACATTGGTGCACTACGGGAGCTGGGTATCGAGGCATCCGAAGCTCCTCAGTCAGGTGCCTCAGTACTAATACTCAGCGATCCAGTATACTGTGATACGCCCACTGTTATCAGCGCACTGGATGGCGTAGTGGCGGCTCTGGCCACACCACCCAACTCATATTCTGCTGTTACGGACCCCATTGATCTGGTTTGCGGAAGAGGGGGAGATCTTGCAATGTTAGAGGTAATAATTTTATTAGAAGTTTTATAAATAAAAAATGTGTAAATTATTTAACGCATAACATTCGAAACTAAACTCTGACCAATCAGGTTCGAAGCTTTCGTACAAAATAATAATTTCTATCAACCTGATTGGTCAAGAAGCTGGACTTGATCATTGTGTCACTATTATTTGGACGCGAATGGACTATACCATCATACAAATATGAAATGATTGGTTTATGAATGGCTGTGTTAATCAATCACCCTTACAGATCCTGACTGAATCGGAAATAGATATGAATGGCAAGACTCGAGTTCAGATGATATTAGAAGAACAAAAGAAAACCCTGAAAACGTTACTGTCTAAGCCTCAGGTAATTGCAATGACTTTATGATATTCATAATATCCCTGCCTTAATAATCTTCCCAATCCAAAGGCTGAACGTTGTCCTCCTAATAAAAAAACACTGCAAGAGATTCCAGTTAGTCAGGAAATTTGGAAAACGTGGGCAACTTAAATAACCCACGATTTTGGTTTAACTAGGAGGATTCGTCAGTTTTTGGAGGCTGTTCAGTTTAACTTTCTCATTTGAAGCATAAAAATAAAGAAATAAAATAAATAAAATTTAATTTATTTGCAAAATCAGAATAAAATCTAGGTTACATTTTGTAAATGATTTCCATCTTATTGTCATTAGATTCTTATATAAAAATAAAGAAAGAATATACCTAGCTCATTCTCCTAGGGTTTTTATAAAAAACGTTCAGGAAAAAATGAAACTTGCAATGCTGAATTGCTATTTCAGATACAACTTATTTTATATGAAACTCACTCAGCTTTGGAGGCGGAGAATCAGGCTCAAGTGACGCGAGCGGTGGCTGAAGCAAACAGATTGGCGCGCGAACGACACATGTGGCTAAAGAAAAAACATCGAGTATCGGTAGGGGCCTAGCTTTTATACAGCCTTTGTCTTTATCTGTGCAAAAAGACTTTTGTAAGTTATTTTAACCAATACCATTATTAAGTTAAAATCAGTAAGTTTTATATTCTGTGTTTTATACCCTTCATCATCGTCAACAACAGCCTTTAATAGCACACTGCTGGACATAGGCCTCTTCTTTTCCTTTTGGCCTACTATATATACCACGCTGACCAGACGGGTTGGCCAGAAGTATTGTCCCATGTGGGGATCGAATCCACAACACTCAGCGCAGTAGGAAGCGGTGAGGTGAGCGCTTAAACTACCACTACGCCATAAGTACGTGCAGTCAGTACTATTATTGCAGGTGGCAATTTTAACAAAGAAATTAACACATAAAGAATGGATAAAGAATGGATCAAGCTGAAAAGACGACGTACCTAGCTGTTTATATTTCAGTAATTAATAAGACTATTCGTTTCACAGAGTCCGAAAAAACATGCAGCTATAGCTGAAAATGAGACAGTCACTACTAACTCTACAACATCTTTTGATACATCTCGATCAGATGATGAAAAAGAAGATCAGTCACAAGATATTCCGTTCAGCGAATCCCAAACGACTATGCAAACTGTGTCGACTTCTCGGCCGACTTCAGCTTCCAAGCATCGAAGCTCAAGACCTAGTTCGAGAACAAGTACAGCAAGAACTAAATTTTCCACTCCAGATAGATTGAGGAAACGACATGACAGTTTAGAGAGATATTCTCGACCGGGAACTACAAAAGCTAGACCAATACCTGATCTGCCTACTAGAGAAATGCCACATGACCCTGATAAAGATAATCCTAATATTTTTGTAAGTATAAAGTTCAATATGTATATATTGTATTAATTACTAACAACGAGTACAGGTTTGACACCCGGTTATGGAAGCAGTGTTAAACACATACACATCGTTAATGTTTCGTGTTGATTGCGCAGCGGTATTTCCACGTAGGAATTCATATTCGATAATTGTACGAATTATCAGTTTTTCCATGGCGCCAAAAACTACCATAATTTCACAAAAATAAAACTAGGTTAAGAACTATTATTAATAGCTGCATTGGAAAAATTTACTATCCTGTTACTGTCTTAGTAATGGTTTCAATAAGTTTTATGTACGCAGTTGCTTGTTAGTTGAATCCCGTTAACGTTGCAGGTACCAAATAGTGACCTGTTTGAAGTTACAACGTTGCCTAATTTAGGTAATGGATTAGACATCAATTACATCCTTGATAGGGACGGATGCTATCTGGGTCTTATTCAAAGGAAGGTGTGTAATATTTTTCTGTTTTATTCATAGTATATATTATAAAAACTCAAAATTTAAATACACACATATATATATATATTTATATATATAAGAATAAATAACACTGTAGAAGGTACAATAATTTGTTTAGCCAAGATACTATAATTAGTAAGTTTGTAATAAGATAGCTGAGTATAATTTAGTTGTTAAAGTCTGTGACACTAAACGAGTCGACCGAGCAGTCATAGATTTTTGGAGGAGAGTGGAGCAAATTTATAACTCTTTCTTCAAATGCCCCTCCGACATGCGCAGATTGGCAGTCATACGTACATGTGTATACGCTGTGCTGTAAAAAGTTCATATATTTTTCATGCCCAATCACCATGATCGTGATATATGCAGCTCTTCTCTTGCCAAAGAACTTCTACGTTCGATAAACCATAGCAGCGGTGTCATTTATTGACGCCGATCACTACTACACTGTGGGTCCGATCCCCACATATGACCACCCTTTGTCTGATCTACAAATTGTTGTTCTGAGTCTGGGTGTTCTTGGTGTAAATATACCTACCGGATATTTATTTTGACTCTGTAACTAAAAATCTTTAATGAATGAAATGAACGAGTTAAGTAGGTATGTTGTAAAAGTTTTGCAGGCATTATTAACTGACAATATTCAGTCCTATTAAGCGTATTGGTGTCACAACCATAGAGCTGATTGCACAACTGTAGGTTGACTACAGGAGATCACCCGACTGGATGCTAAGTACATGATCCGAGTCGCGGAGGATCGCGGGTTGTTTGGACCAGCCTCATCCGCGCCGCCACCGAACAGACGCAAGAAGGAGCCCGCCACTTTATCACCCAGACGACGCAGAAGAAAGCAACCAACTTTTGAGGTACCTAATGCATAGTTATGATGCAGTTGTTTTTGTATGGCCCACTCATTAATAACCATAACTACAGAATTTATTTAACAAAGACTACCAATGCAAAAAGATTAATTATAAAATACAGTTTAAAATTGCTGCGAAAAGTTTTGTATGGATTGTATTACAAAGGCAAGAGCGTAACCAGGTTTGATTTTGGGGTTGGGCAAAAAAAGAAGTGCACAATATTCTACATAAAAATAGTAAGAAAAAATATCCTCGGTATTTTGTTTGGCTAAATGTTAGCTTTCAAAATTTTTCATTCAATCAACATCACTTCATAGAGGAGGAAAATGTTACTCTGAAAATCTTAAAATATAAATACTAGACTTGCAACGAATAGTATATTCGGCAGTATACCGAATACCGAATATTCGGCGAGGCCCCTGACCGAATAGCCGAATATTAGGCAAAAGTATTCGGCTGGATTTTAGCGCCAAAAACAGACGTGAATTAAATTATGTACCTGTTTTATGTACCAATGACTACTTAATAAATGATTATAAAAGAAATGAGAACCTTATCCTTTTAAATTTTGATTACCACAATAATTCAAATACATAGAATCCTCCATTTTTCCTATTCAGAAGATGATTATGTACCTGTGTTATGCACCAATGACTACTTTAATGATTATAACAGAAATAAAAATATGAATATATACGTAATCAATCGATTTTAATTTTTCATTTTACCAATTATTTCTCAATGACAAAATATATTATTTAAGTATTCGGTATTCGGCCGAATAATATGTAGATATTCGGTATTCGGCCGAATATAATAAAAGCAGCCGAATAGGCCGAATACCGAATAGTAACCGAATATTCGTTGCAAGTCTAATAAATACTTATTCTGTACTACGCAACGGATGTAAATGCGGTTTATACCTATAGCAAGAGTGATTCAAGAGGAAGGTTCATATATATTATACATGCATATTACAGTAGAGGTAATCCGAGAATTTCAAAGATTTGTAATGTGAAGTCGTAAAAAACATGTTTTTGTGCGCTTACATTGCAAACGCTGGCTAAACCTTACGAGATAGATCAAAATAATGTACTATGGAATTGTATATCTTAAAAAGATCCACAAGAACTGAGCGAGGTATATGTCTATTTCCTAAGGATAACGCACAGTAACTATTTTTATCTTTTACATATAACAAAAAATAGTGAGTAATTATTATTATTCAAATTATAAATTCACTACTTACTTACTTATTAACTTATTCAAATAATAAATAAAATACGTTAAATACGTTGTCCATTTAATTTAGATCAAAATTGCCTTTTACAGCATATCATTAAAGTGAGAATATCTTAGTATATATCAGATTGAAAATGCGGGGGTAAAGCGGCCGTCGCCGCGTCGAGCCGTAGTTCCGTCCCGGATGGCTGCGGCTGACAGGAGCGGAGCGGGCTTATAAATATTGCATATAAACATGTTCACCACATTAGTATCTATTAGTACTATCTACATTGCATCCGTGCGAAGCCGGAGCGGATCGCTAGTTCCTAATAAGATAGTTGTATATGTTTTTAATAATAATAACTTGAGATATCCGCTGGTTACGGTATTCGATCGCACAACCCGTTGGGTAAGCAGTTAGATCAGATCTCTAACCACTCGACCAACTTTCTTTGGAAATATGTTACCTGTCGGAATTAACTGTTACTACACGTTGTTCGTGTTCAGGTGGAGCGAGTGGCGGCCCCGACATACGCATCGCTGTCGCGCTCGACACGGCGCGGCAGCGCACCGGCGTGGCTGGAGCCGACTCGCGAGCCCACGCGGCGCGAGTCCTTCGACCAGCGCTTGGTGTGTGAGCGCCACGCACGCAGGCACGCTGCTGCCGCGGCCATCTCTGCCGCCGCCTGCACATGTGATGCGAGGCACAAGTAAACGCAACTTTCATAACCTTTTTCTAGTATAAGGGGGCAAAAGGGCAGATGGGTCACCTAATGGTAAGAACTATCGCCATCCGGACAGCTGCTATTCAAGGATCCAAATGCGCTGCCGCCCTTTGAATCCACTATTCTCCTAATCAAACCCCCTCCCTCCCCTTTGAATTGGGCTCCGGTAACCTCACTCACTCGGTGAAAAGCAACTAAAGAATTGCTTTTCTGTGAGACCATCGTATCACTCTGCCCATTTGTGCCGAAGCATGACTCTCCAAAATTACCTGTATTATAAATGCTTTCATGACGATTAATATTACCTTTATTATTATAATAAATTGTACTATTTCCAGAAATCGACGCAAATCCGTGAATATTCCATCGCCACGGCTCTCTCAACCGGCATGTCGTCGTCCTTTTCCACTCGTTGTGCAAGATTTACGTCTCAGTAAATCAATTAATAACCACCACAAAGTAAGCGCTTCATAGCACGAGCTTCAAAACAACCAGGCGAAGGTTAAGTATTAAAACGTAGACCGTATACCCCACAAGAATATTATGGACTCATGTTCGATGTAGTATGACAAACTTTTCAACTATCGACTTTTTTGTAATGTAACAATAATTGCTGTACACGATAACGTACTTAACAAGTGATAACGCCAACACAAATCATTGTCATGAATGTAATCTGCTGACAAGTGAAAAAATATCGAAGCTGCCTCACTCGCCTATAACGAGGTACAATTATTTTGATATTATTATATTTTGTCTAGAATTATGATCGACCGGAAAAAATATAAAAAATTACTTTTAGAAAATAGTTTATTTTATAATATAGCCACAAAACCCAACTTTAGTTTTATTTAAATTTTGACCTTTCGTTCCTAGTTCATTCTATCTAGTCATAGATAATAAGATACAGGGCAAATCTAAACTGAGCTCACTTTTTCACCAGTCGAGTGGACATTTCACAGGAAGTGGACGAACCACCTCGATAGATGAATGCCCATGAAGACGAATAAACTGTTTTTTTTTTTCAAGTTTTAAGTAACGACATTATTATACCTTTTATAATAATCCGGCATCTGTTTTTTTAATAACACTTAATTTAAATAAATGATTAGTTAATGCATTACGAGGCATGCCTTTTAAGTTTTGTCGTTTGAAGATAAAAACACAACTAGAACCTTATATACTTTTTATTGTTTTTCAAAGTATTCACCTCAAACCAGTTATTATAACATTTATTCCACTCTAAAGTGGGGGTGTTCAAAATGGCTGACTTGAAAGCGTCGACTGCTTCTTCACCGGATTGGAACCTTTGACCACGAAGACTTTTCTTAATTTTAGGAAATGTAAAGAAATCGTTAGGGCTTAGGTCAGCCCTGACCTAAGCCAAGGTCAAGAATTTCTACTTTTTCCTGCTTCAAATACTCAATCGTTTGACGAGCGCTGTGTGAGCTTGCGTTGTCGTGGTGCAGGATGATGCGTCGCTTTGAGTTAGATTTTCGAAGTTCGGCGATGACTTGTGGTAAACAAACTGTAGTATACAACTCTGCGTTAACCGTTCTACGATCTTGAAGTGTAATAATCGCAATATGGCCGGTTTTTCCAACGATCGTGGCCACCATCTTCTTTGAAGTGCTTCGAGAACGAACAACTTTAGACGGCTTTGGCTCGTCTTGAAATACCCAGATTGTAGATTGTTGTTTGGAATCAAGATCGTAGGCATAGATCCAAGATTCGTCACCAATGATGATGTCGTAGATGTGATTTGACTCTTCTCGGTTGAACCTTTGCAGAGTTTTCTTACACCATCTGACGCGGGCCGCCTTGTGTTCGATGGAAAGCAGATGCGGTATCCAACGGCAAACTAGCTTTCTCACACCAAGCGCTTCATGCAAGATCTTCTAAATGGTTGTCCCTGAGATGCCTAATAGAGCCTCTATCTCTCGATAGGTCACATGACGATCTTCGAGAATTAGTTGTCTCACAGCAATGATGTTCTCTTCAGTGAAGGCGGATTTTGGACGTCCTTCGCGAGATTTGTCACTAACACTAGTATGTCCACGCTGGAATCCTAAATACCAGCGGTCGACAGTCCGCAGACATGGGGCTTCATCATTGAACACAAATGTAGCTCTTCAAAACACTGAAGCCGTGTCAGGCCTATTCTAAAGTTGTAGAAAATAATTGCACAAAGATTTTCCTTAAAAACATTCATTTTCGTATGTAACCAGACAAATTCCAATCGACGCTGTGACTAAACAATAGCATTAATCCTTTCAACGTGTTTTGAGATTCAAAATTTAAACACATTCAAATATAGAACAGTTCCAAATTCAAAATTGCCGGGAAATATGGAAACGACAGAACTTAAAAGGCATGCCTAGTAGTTCCCGGTTGCCTATTAAAATTAACTAACGGCATTAACATATAATTGACTGCTCAATGACTGACAAAATCCGATAAGATAATCAGATCTTTCTAGTTATCAATGCATAAACAAGTGGCGATATATTAGTGGTTTTAGTGCCACTACCCACAATCTCGATGAATTCTATATATTTGGCAAAATGGTATGGTATGCATGCTGTAAAGGTTCCGTTTTAAAACTACCCATCAAGGTACATAATTCCGATGGAGCCATTGAGGTATATGATAATTCCGTTCGCCATTGTAATCGTAATCTGCTAGTACGAAATATTGCCTTAGTTCTACGCAAAATTTTACTGGCATTTTATTATAATTTGATAAAAGGAAGGTGAATTAAATCTAGTCTACTGCATCCTATTTATGTTTTTCAATTTCATCAAATCTGGGTATGACAACCTCGCATACATAGTCACAAATTAACAGAAACGTTTAATAAAACACAAGTCGTGTATAAATAAAACAAACTTTATTTATTAATGTTACAAAGACCGTCTAGCTCATTTACAACAATCGTTTGTTCAACGTCAATACACTATATTTAAAGCATTCCGAAGCCTTTAGAATAGTTTATTGCTTTCATCAGTCTGTCTTGTAATTTGTCCTTGGTTTCATACTCTGGTAGGAGGAGAACATTAAAGCAGGTATGGGCGGTAGGTAGCCTATCAGAATCTGGACCGTTTCTTGCGATCACGAGCTTGAGGTGACTCAGGCCCCCTACAGGGACTCTGTCAGAGCCGGTAGTGAACTGTAAGAGTTTTCTCTTATCGTCTAGTGACAAACTGTGAACGATGCTCCAGAAGTCTTTGATGGTTTGAGAGTCTGATGTGTAGCCGCCATCGTATTCTGTTGATTTTTCTAATTCGTTGAAGTCGAAGTTCTGGAAAATATATTTTTCATTAAAGAAACTTGATGTAAACAATAATACCACTTTAGCTTCTTATTCATCAAAAAGCTATTGATAAATGATATAATAGAAAATTCATACCACTAAAGATTTTATGCTGGTGTGACTATGTATGTATATCGGAATTATGCTATACATTATATACTACTGTTTCAGACAATATTATTTATAATGAACTTTAACTTATCCTTGAAACATTAAAATAACATTCACCTATGTTTCATATTTAAGTGAAAAGTGAATTGAGTCTCACTCTTTGATATAGAAGTGAGGGCTCTGCAATTTTAAAATGTAAATATAGAGTAAGCTTCTTACCCTACTACCACAAACAAGCATCTCTACTTCTTCGGGCCTAAACAACACTGCAAGTGGACTCTCGTCGGTGACCATTAAGAAGCCGCGCCTGAACGCTCTGAATTGCGTGTCCACTGAATCGTTCAGCAAGAAATTAGAATACAACTCTACAAATTCCTGAAATTAATAAAGCATAATAAATCATTTCTTATATGTACAACGGTGCGGTAATAAAGTTTGTTTCCATGCTCGCAACAACATGTTTAAAGTCTAAAGACTTTTCCGTCCCCCTTTGTCGGTGTCTCGTTGGTTCACAATCAGAGAGGTATATCGCAATCGCACCACCTGACCAAAATACCACAGCTTTGATAGCTACTGTGTAACTTTTAAGGCATAAACACAAACATAATCCTCAAATTTCTTACCTTTTTATTTTCCTGTGTGACAAATATATTGTCTCCATCCTCTTTTAGATCATGGAATATAGCGTTTCCGAACACATCCTGGTAACATATCCTGAACGTTTGGTAATATGCTTCTTCTAAATCACTACCATCGTATTCTAACATGTCTTTTAAACCATTGTACAATGTCTGGAACCAGTAAACAACAATTTAGTATCCAACAAATACACCTTTAGAAAGATAATTCAGATGAAGATATTGTCCGTGTGGTGACGGATTAAGAATACAGAGTGTCAACACCCCTATTCATCCCGTGGGTGTCGTAAGAGCCGACTTAACAACGCAGGATAATAGCAGTACAAAAAGAAGACTGATCATTGATGACTTGACCAGTTCTTTGGCATGAGTTTATATTTAAAATCTTGTTAAGTTGCGTGACAATACTTACGGGGTTCCAGTCAGCCAAGTCTTCGAACGACCCTTTCTTGCCCATGAGCTTTCTATATACCACCATTGGGAAATTAACGGCAAGAATAACATTGTTGTATATCGCTAGACCTAATACTATGCCAATCAATGTGAACTGGGCTTCCGTCTCGAAAGATGTCATGTTAAACCTGAAACAACATTATGGCACATTTCAGGGGAGGTTTCTAATGATGTAATATTCAATTTTTTAATCTAGTTTTAGGGTCTGTAGTCCCAACATAACCTGTGCAGTACAGTCCTTAGTACCTTTATAGTACCCATATCAGTCTGTCTATCGGTCCGTTCGTCCGTCCGCAGTTTAGTCAATACTAGAAAGTTGTAATTTTGTAAGAATAAACTAAGTATTGTTGGATAGATCATTAAAACACATTCAATAAAAATTATAATCGCTATTCGATTCAGTGACCCGCTTACGAAATATTAAGGCAAACATACCACACTGTTAGGGAATCGGGCTGTTGCGTGAACATGCCATAGTCTGGATTGAAGATTTCTTCTACTATCAACTGAAAGAACTCCTTACTAACTCCACCCTCATCCACGCCTTGTTCACCTTCGAACTCTACGACTAGTTGTTTCTTAAGGTCTAGCGCTCGCTCCATAGCCACCATTTCCAGCTAAAAAATACATACAAAATATTATGTTACTGTGACGTCTAAAAAAGGTAAGGTACGACAAATTATTGTTTGATGAACAGCACTGACAGGATTGGAACTCACGTCTTGATAAATAGTCCCCCGTCAGCTACAAAGCGATATCCATAATATGTATATTTTTGAGTAAAACGATATTGTAAGTGTGTATAGTGTATATACTAACAATAATAATAACTTGACACATCTCACACACGGCAGTCTGATCCCAAAATAGGCAGAGCCTGTGCTATGGTAACCACCATGGTAACCATGGTACTGATATCGTACTTGCATATTTCTAAATATATACAAATTATATTAATAATGCAACTTATAATACAAAGATAAATTACATCCAAGCACAGAACAAATGATCGTGCTCATCACACAATATTTGTCCTAGGGTAGGAATCGAACCCACGAACCCCCATCCGGCTTAGCAGTCAGGGTTATTAACCACTAGACCAACAGGCACGTCATATATATGTATAGAGTGTGTATATAAGTTTATATTTTAGTTGATTACTAATGTAACCTCTGTGCGTCTACTTCACAAGATTTTTAACAAACCCGAAGGTTGACTGAAAGAATGCCCAGGGCATTAAGTTGGATGATATACAAAAGTTATGTAAATAAAAAAAACCTAAATATTATTATTTTTAGAAAATGAACGTTAAATACTGTTTCCTTTCATTTACTCGATCAAATAAAAAGTTAAGAAGGTAGGCCAATGGGGAATATGCACGTTGCTCCAAAATGGACAAACTATTGTTATTTGTAAACTTTATTGCTAAAAATTTTTTTTTTTTAAATTTGTCATAATTTAATGTGAAATTTAATCATCAAAAAGTGTTTTTTCAATTTTTCAATCTCTGGCAAATTTCTAAAACGCAACACTATTGGGTAAACAAAACGTGACGTCAAATTTCACTCGACGTCTGCTGTCAACAAGTTGTTTGTATGGTTTCTGGTGATTATTATTTTGTATTGTTTCGCGTTTCATATTACGTTATTAGTTTTGTGTTAAAGTATTAAATCCTTGTAAAGAAAGACTTAACACAATGACTAAAACCCGTTTTGTCAAAGCACAATCAGATATCTTCCCAAAATAGACATGTGATGATGATCATAAATTGTTTAATACACATATATTTCTTTTCAATCTGAAACCCGGAAATAAAATTAGAATGGTAAATAAAAATAGTTTAGAACTTCCCTCTTTCTCTAAGAAGTTAGGTAGGTGTATGTTTTCATTCATAGGCAAGCATAGGCAATACTCTTATGGATAAATACCTATGTATTAGATATTGAGAATATTATTATTTGAAGTACTACTGCTACCACTTATTTGAACATGGCTTATTATACACGTACATACTTATAGAATTCTTTAGAATACAACATAGTTATTAAATGTATTGTGAAAGAATAAAACTAAGAAATAAATAAATCTTTACAAACTTTTCGTAAATTAGGTGTTTTCGTCAAAGTTTGTAAATAAAATTATGTGCAGGTAACTAAGTAAAAATGATCGTCACAGCAGTATAAACAGTTAAAACACGATACATTGTGTCATTGCCTTGTACCACTGTTTCCTTATACCTGTATATTTTGGTGTAAGGAAATATACTTTGTCAGGTGCAGTTTTGACGTTATTTTGGCACGTAGGAAAATACAATATTTGTAATGAATTTTTCTGTGTTTTTTCATGGTAATAAGTTAATTTTAATATTCACTTTTTTAACTTTCAGTAACTTTGTGAACCAAACATTTCGTTGTTGACATGGAACTCTCTGTGATATGACGTCACCGAATTAGCGCGCTAAAACGGCCACGTTTAAATAGGCCGAAAAATATGGTGATATTTGTATAAAAAAATTTAGCTAATGGTTGTGTTATATTTATTGTATGTGATTAGTGTTATTTATTTTTGACGTGACAACGTCTTATAAATTGGTTTGCCGGGTGACACTTCAAGAAACTGCGTTACGCTCCGCTCACGTTATGCGCTCACAATGAGAGCGAGTGAGAGGCACGCGTCCCTTCCAATCGGGCATGGTTAGCCCGCCTAAGAGCGAGAGAGACAGACATAGTCGTTGTCACGTAAAACTTTCGCCCGTATACCGACTTTACAGGCAACCAATTTTTTGATAATGTAAACGTTTAAAAAAAAAGACATGCATGTTCCCTATTTAAAACTACACATTGCGTAGAAACCAACTCTGAACATTTTCATTTGATCCGAGTTGATCGATATAAGTGGGCTATGAAGGCCGTCGATGTGAGGTGCGACCGGTACGTACCCCCACGAGCGCGTCGTCGATGATGTGCGAGCGGCGCACCTTGAGGCGCAGGAAGGGCATGGGCGGCGCCGCGCCCACCACGGCGTGCAGCAGCGACACGCGCCGCTCCGAGTACATGCGGATGCGGTTCTCGTAGTACAGCCCCAGGGACTTCGTCGCCACCGTCAGGATGAACGGGTACTTTAGGAACGCGAACTTTTTACCTGCATTACACGTTCAAATGAGCGATTTAGATGTCCCGTCTTTCTGTTTCAAATATATTTCCCACGTAAAAGGAGAAAAACTGTGAAAATTACTTCGAGTTTGCAGTTATGCCGACAGATGGCTTTAATTTCTAAATCAATCTTCCTCCGAGCCTTTCGCCCAAACTAGGTTAAGTTCGGCTAAAAAACGATGCTCACCTTTACTTATTTCCGTCTTAAAATTACCAAAATCTATATCCATTTCAATTGTATCACTAAGAGGTTCGTTGTAAAATTCCTCAAATGGCAGGTATGGCTTTCTAGCATCTAATACATGTATATCTAATTCAATGGCTGAAACAAAAAGGTTCACACGTTACAATCATATGAATATACAAACTTGCTTACCTTAAGCACAATACGTTTTTTTTTAGCTATCAAAACTTTTTGAAATGTCTATTCTATTCTTAAGAGACCTATAACAAAATTATGTAAGCAAATAATTTCAACCTATTGTAATGATTTCCACATATGGTGAAACAAAAACATACTTCAGTGCCATCTAACGAAAACACACCGAACTACGAAGTACCTGCTAATCGTGTATCACGACATGAAAAGTTCACACACCGATTTATATTTATAACTTGCCAACATCAATGGTTGGGCCAAGGCCAGCCAGGTACAATCATGATTTTCCCTTAGTGTTGGAGGAATTCCAGGCCCTGCTTAATGTAGGTGTAACTAATAGTAGTAATAACATAAATAAACTCAGGGAGGAGCTAGACGCAATTATATGTTATCTCTAGGATAATTAAGCTTTCTCGCGCCATGATAACACTCGATATCGATTTCTCTAAGACATAATACTCGGTCGGCCAAGATGGTCATATCTAGTTCTGATAATTAAAATCTAGTAGTAATTTCCAGGACTATTTCCACTATGCAACACATTGTGTTACACAAATATGTTTTTTCATTTACAATGTAACCATAAAATTGTAAAGTAAAATAATAATGAATAAAAAAGTTTATTATTTGTAACTAAAAATAATAAATTGAACAGTAGAATATGGTTGATAATAGCTGCTATAGTTTCATAACTGTGTTGTAGCCAATAACGCACACCATAAGTTTCATCATGCTACTGAATATTAACCAAATCACAAAGTTAAATAATATTTTTTTATAAATGTTATAAGATTGTTCGGGTCAGAATACGTACGAATGTTTGTGTAGAATAGCGGATAGGTTTAAAAGTCATGTCAAACCTTTCGTACTCCTCTTTAAGCTTCTTTCCAGATCAAGGAGCTTATTTTTACTAGTACCACCCCAGGCGCTTATACAATACGATAGAACAGACTGAGCAAGTGTAAAATTAAATTTTTAATGCACGCAGGTCAAGGGTTGTTCTTAGGTTTTTAAAGACAAATTAATCAATCAATCAATCATTTATTTCGTAAAACACAGGTAAATTCAGATGTTACAAACCATATTTAAAAAGATCGCCATGTTTCGCCAATAGGCAAACAAAACAAACATCAGCTTTCTATAATAATTCTAATGGTAGTAATTTTTAAGAGCTCTTGCCAGGAAAGATGGCTTTACTTTGGTTAAATTAGTAATCTGCATACAGGAACAACTTCGATTTTAGACGCACAACACACCATGAGCCATCAAAATTATAGAAGTAGACAATGGGGTACACTTTGGAGGGAAAGTAATAAAGTTGGTCTTCTCCAATTTTGGATAGCCAGGTGGTAATAGTACACAATGCTGATTGAGCGTAACGAATTGTGTTTTACCAGGTCTCACCGTATACCAGGACTGCAGTATCGGCAGCGTAAGTAATAATCTTGCAGTTTGGTAGCACAAGTTTACACAGATCGTTCAGATATGTTAAAAACAAGGTAGGGCCAAGGACGCTACCCTGAGGCATACCGAACACCACTGATTCCAGCTCACTCACGAAACCATCCATACTTGTCAGTATCACTGATGTCTGTTCTCAAGGTATCTTCGGAAAATGTCATGTACCACCCCTCGAATACCAATGCCTTTTAGCTTCCCGAGCATAATCGTCACAGAGACAGTGTCAAAGGCTTTGGAGAGGTCTAAGAATATAGTTTAGTCTAAGTCATATTGAAAGCGTGTCCTTGAAGTTACTTGCCTCTTCTCTTTCTTCATAATGAATGAATGGGCTACTAGCCTCACAACTCACTTACTCTGTTTAAAGACTACAGCGGACAATTAAAAATACTTGTAATAGGTTTAAAAGCATTTAGATTTTATTTTGATCCATCTAACGAGTATTAAGAATTTTACTCATCGTGTAGTATGTTTCTAAGCGGTTTATTAAACACCAAAAAATATTACAACTGACTTATCTACGCTTGAAATATTAGAATAAAAGTTAAATACAATACCTAAGGGATCATCAGGCTGTGCATGCTTAGAACCCTTCATAGAAGTGGGTGGGTAGAGATGTCCTAACACATTTTCCAATGGGTCCTGTTGGTTGTTGATAACTATTGGTTCCTCGCGCAACGAGTTCGATTCCATAGATCCGGCTAACATATTTGCGTAATATACTATCTGTAAGAACACAGTATGTTTATTTAGTAAAAAAAATAACTTCAATCTAGTGTACTTCTTCCAATCTATATTATGTAAGCCATTTATTTACCTACGATGATAGAAGAAAACACTTGAAATGCATCATTGATCGCGTAAACTAGGGTTACTTTTTCCCATAACCGGTCAACCAAAAAAAATACTTTAATACTTTGCAATTTCTCAATATTTGTTTCTCATACATTAAAACTAGAATGTAAGAAAAACACATTGTACCGACCTCAAATAAAGTTAGAAGAAGTTACTTAATATAATTTTCTGTAGAGTCTACAACATAGACTATGGTGTACATACCTTCATAAACTTAGTGGCACAAGTGACAACTTCGTCGTCTTGCACTTGAAACGATCGTGTGTAATTTGTTGAAATAACCCTAAGCGTTATGAGCTGTTGGAGAGTCTCCAGGATGTGACGTAAGCTATCTTTACAATGCTGTGCCCAGATACGTGCCAGTTTCGCTTGACCTGGAAATGCAATAGTTTTATTTATAGATTACAGCAGTTCATTTTTGTTACAAACCTTAACTATTTCTATAAAATCAGAACTGTCATTTTTACGTATTCATACATACATACATCTGAAAGTAGGTTCATTGAATAAAATGTTAATATAAATCCTATAATGTACATAAATAGTTTGTTATAGCAAAAAATAAAGTAAGAGTAGGTAAGTAACACGTGTAGATTTTAAGAGATCTTTAGAGAAAACTGAGTACCTAATACAATGACAACTTATAAAAAATTGTTAATTCAATTTTCACATTTTTTCTTTTAAAGAGTAAGAAGATGCCAAAGATCTTTTTTCTAATACGTTATAAAAAAACAAAATAGGTAAGACACAGGTTACATTACCTTTAACAGACAAATGTTCGGCAGCATGACATAACGCTGGTAAGGCTATCTCCAGGTAATCGCTACAACCAAGATCGGGCACCTCGAACGCTATCACGAAACAATTCACGGCGTCATCCATCAACAGCTTTTTTGTTATCCGAAGGTCTATCAACATGTTGTCTGCTAACGTTTTGAGGGCTGTCACTAAGGCGGAACTGTAGTTTTCTGATGGCACCTGTAATACATTAATAAATTTTAATGGAGTGTTAAGATTCAGGTGTTTTTAGGTTAAACAGACTATTTAAATTAATCCAGTGCATCCAAACGTTGCCTGGAAGAAATTGCTTCTTTATATATATTTATAGTATCTGTAAAACCCTGGTGTACAAATAAAGTATTATCTATCTATTTTGTTAGATTAGTGTTGTCAGCCTTTACGAAATGAGGTAACAAGATAACTACAACTCCTTGCAGTTTCTTTTTACATTTACATCTTATATATGCCTTTTACTTCCTTAACAGTATTAATTTTTAATTTCCCTACTTTTTATCTTCTTATCGTCATGATCGTAGAATTATGTCGGTTTTGAAAATAATACGAAATTTAATTTTTACAGTATTTGGATACTACATTGTCGAAATATTATTACTAAATTCAAGAAAAATTATATGTATTTTAGATTTTCAGTTATTTAGTTGGTAAACTGACGGATTTAATAGGCACTCAAAGTAAAATGAAGCATGTGATCTTTTTAGGAAATTGTGTAATTATTTGCTGTTATTTTTATTATAATTTAAAACAAACCCTATTTTTCACTTGTATGCCAATTTTCATAATTAAAGATTAAGAATTAAAAAAGTTATGTCAAAAAAACGAACATAATTATTTGAAATGGCTGCCCTGTAAAGTTCAATAATGTCAGATCCGACACTATTCTACGACTATGACGTTACAGTTTGGGAGGCAAACGAGTAGACTTGTCACTTGATGGTAAGTAACAACTCAAGAGCCACCCCGGGGGAGTCCCCGCCCCCACTGCCGGGAGTGTAGTAGGAGGGAATTTGTGCTCTCCCACGATTCCGATTAAAGGCGATAGTGGAAGTGATTCCGATTACTTTGTCGGGAGTTATGCTATAGATATCACAATTTCGTAGGTTTTTGAAATGATAAGTAGGTAACTTTTTTTTCTTTACTTCTAACGATAAAAAACAACACATAAAATCTTTTTTACCTATAAATAATTATAGATTGTATAAATTTATAAATTACGTTAGGCAGTCCTGTTCCGAAATATTTAGTTCTACTCTTTGGGTAGCAGTGTCTATATTCTAATAATACTTACTTTGGCAAGGTATTGAAAGGCTCTGCGACAAGAAGCTACGTCTAACTCAGGTCCCGTCACACTATCTACGTCTTTGTCTGGATCACTCGATAAACACATTGCCTTTGATTCTTTATCTGAAATTTATTTTGTTGGGAGAAACGAATTAAAACCTTTGAATATTCATAATCATTTTATATATATTTATGAGATAGTGAAAATAATAGAGCGAATATATGACCAAAATATAGTAGGTACCGAACCTAACCTGTAAAGTTGGAGATTTCTGAAACCAGCATTTTCATATTTTAATTGTGTGGATTGGCTCGCAATTTGAAATTCAAATAAATTTTATTCGAAAGCCATATTACTTTGATTTAAAATTCAGTAATTTATTTTAGATAGTGTTTTGTTTTTGTGACACTGTGGTAGTTTTTGGCGACATGGATAAAATGAAAATTGGTACAATTTTCGAATATGAGTAGAAAAACCGCTGCACAAACACGAAAAATTAATGACGGTACAGGTCTAACACTGCTTGCACGGTACATTAAAATTCTGAAAATTTTGAGTAGAAGACGTCGAAAACGACGAATTAAAGGCGATAGTGGAAGTGGCTCCAACTCAATCTACGGCTGAACTTGTTGCGGGCTTTGGAGTAAGTGTCAAAGTAATATTGAAGCCCTTGTGTCAAATCAGAAAGATAAAAAGCTATGTATATGTAAGTGGGTGCCACAGGAACTAAGCGACCATCAGCGAGACTTAGGCGTCGAAGCATGCATAGCATTACAGAAACGGCATGGAATTCTGAATAGAATTGTAACCTGCGATGAAAAGTGGTGCCTGCACGACAACCGTAAGCGTTCGTCTCAGTGGGTGGAAACGGGGACAACACCTAATCAGTGCGCTAAAAAAAAGATTACCCATAGGAAGATGATGGTGACTGTCTTGTTGACCACAACAGTGATGGCAAATGTCTATTGCAAAGAATTACAAATGGAGAAGCTCGCAATTCAACAACCACGACTGGTCAATCGCTCTTCCCAATGCTTCTCCACGACAAGGCCCGAACTCTCACTTCACGACAGACCACCGCAAAGCTAGGTACAAGTTATATCTGGAAGCTCTCCGTCACTCATCGCACTCAGTACTCAATGGACTTTGTCTCAACAGGTTTCCACTTTTTCAAAATTTAGTAAATTTTTTAGATGAGAAAAATTAACACCCGAAAGGTCGTATAAAACGCGGCTTTCGCTGACTACATCGCCTCCCGTCCAGCAGACTTCAACGCTAAAGGGATAAACAAACTGCCATTAAAATGGCAAAATTTTAAAGATAATTTGGGCCAGTGCTTTGATTAGCTAAAATAAAAAAATAACCAATATTTTTATATTTTAACATTTTCATACAAATCTCCAAACTTATAGGTAAAGACCTATTATAAATGCATCTTTATTATTATAATGAATAAGTTATACTTCTTATTTTTCAAATTTTAATGGGAAGGAATTTTCTACAGAAATACTCCCAGTATTTCTGTAGAAAATAATAATATAATAATAACTTCAGACATCTCAAACACGGCCGTCTGATCCCAAACAAGACAGAGCCTGTGTTGTGATTACCAGACTTCTAAATAATACACAGGTGTATAAATAGGTAAACATTACACTCGGACACAGAACAAATAATCGTGTTCATCACACAATTATTTGTCTAATAAGGTCAGATCAGGTCAGGTAAGAGTCACAGGCTAATACACCAACAGACAAGTCAATAAATGTTAAAAATCATTATTCTTTTTTACAAAAGGGCACCATGCATTATTAAAAAACAAAAACTTACCACTGCTTTTACCAGGAATTGCTTCATTATTTTCTACAACTTTACATGCGAAACTTCTCGCTAACGTAGCCGGTGTCGTGAAAGCTTCCCCGAGTGCTTTGATCAACGGCTGTCTGACTTTCGTTTGAAGGCAATCTTCACACAACTGATACATACTCTCTTCAGTCAACGGGGCACCATCTAATAACATAGTTGAAAAATTCTCAAGCTTCCACACCAAATCAATGAACAGTGAAAAGAGTACGATCTACATTTATTTGTTTGAATAAAAGTAATCTGAATCATTTAAACTCTTCCTTGTCCGCCGATTTTATCTATTTATTTTTATTATTCTATTATTTATTTGTGTGATACACTACTGTTTGTGGTTACGAGTTAACCTGAGTATACATCTAGCACCGCCTTCCACAAAAAAAAAACATGCGTTAATAACATTCCACATACACCTTCAAAATATGAACTCTTATTATAACAAAAGGTTTTTTCTTAGCTATTATGTAAACACTTTTTTACCGACTTCAAAAACGAGGAGGTTATGAATTCGGATGTTTAATTATTTTTTTATGTATGTTCAGGCATAACTCCGTCATATATGGACGGATTTTCAAAATTCTTTTTTTGTTCGATAGGAGTTTATCCCGAAATGGTCCCGTTTAAATTTCATATAGATCTAGGCCTCAATTCTGCCATTTTATGTTAACGCCAAGCCACTGTCATTCAATTGACACACTATTGAGATGCCACTGATATTGGTCAAAATATCGGTATTCTACTAACATTAATTCACAGTGTCAATAGACTGTCGATATAGTAATATAGGTCATTCCTATTGATACAATATTAAAATAGCAGAATTGAGGCCCTGATGATGAGTTTCAGACAAAGACAACGGAACTCTTCAACAAATGATAGCAAATCAACCGTCATTGCTGCTTGGTTTTTAGTGCTCCTTGTTAGTGTTGTCGGTTCAACTTTTTTTTTAAAGTATGCATTGTTGTAGTAATTTAAATCGCATTTAGCAACTATTATAAAACTTATTGCATTTGTTATTTAATTCTAAGTTTGATATAAGCACGAAAGTATCTACTTTACTAAAAGTATATACGTTATAGCTACAAATCTACTACTCTACCACAACATTTTCAAAAGATTACATACTACCCTGGCCTCGTGCAAGACTCCCCACACCCACTAAATTACCACTTAAACGCTTACAGCAAATAAAAAGAAGAATGAACAGAATAGAGGAACGAGGTTGCCACAAATCTTGTGGTATGTTAGTAGATTCCAAAGTGTAAATATTACGAAAATGTTACTTACAATTGTTATTTATTAAGCGCAAGAGCATCTGATTCTTACTGTTATAACTACGAGTTTTGGGCTCCTCTTGGTGAGTTACATTATGACTAGTTTCTGGTTCCATTTCCTTCGATGTGCTTTCTTTAGATGACGTTGGGTTGGACTCTGGAGCTTCTTCCTTTTCTTTGTTGTCCTCCTTGTCTTTTGCACTTGACGTATTGCATGTTGTGCTGAAATTTTACCATTATTTTAACACGTCAGCACGAGAGACAAACTGATCACCATATTTGACTGGCCTGCGGGTCTGGTGGTTCGTGACCCTGACTGATAAGCCCTGGGGGAGCCGAGGGGTTCGATTCCCACTTAAGACAAATAATTGTGTAATGATCACGATCATTTATTGTGTGTCTGGGATTAATATGTGTGTATTTAGAAATACATAAGTATGTTTATCAGTAGTCTGATTACCATAGCATAGGCTCTGTCTAGTTTGGGATCACTGTACCTATGTGAAATTGAGAAGTTATTATTTTGTTAAGTAGTTATTATTATTATTTACTAACCAAGTACTACCGACGCTGAAACGTATCCAAATCGCTGGTAGAACAGAAAACAGTTTTGGTATAATATTCAAGTGGCTAAACGCTAGTGCTACTCAACTAATCAAATTAGTACATAATGCATTGAATGTTGCATAATAAAGTACTCTATAATCTAATAATCTAAACTAAAGTCGATACAAATGACTTCAGACCTTAAAATATTCTTGAAACTTTTTTCTTTCATATATGCAAAAACCTTCATCCACTTACGTCTTCAAATATTATTACAAGAAAACTAAATAGATGTCAACTATGTATTACCATTAATTTTGTCAACATTTCTAAAAGTTTTAGCATTACAGAATAGTTATCACAGAATAATTTTGGTTTACCATCTTTCGCGATTCGTTAAGTGTTTATTAAATTACTTTTTATAATAGGTAGGAATTTTAACAACACAATAAACAGAATAGTAGTTATTAATGAAAAAATGTTTGTACTTGTACGAATATTGGCTTACATATTTTTAGCAGAAAACCACTGACAATCATCATTAGCACGTTTTTTATGCCTATTTTCAAATACTCTCCGTATGTTCTGGCTAAACTAAAAAAACCACGTATATGCATAAACTTGTTGCCGATATAACTGAATAGATTACAAGTTTTAGTGTTTATCAGTAAAAACAAATTTCTAACAATAACTCGTATTGACGAGTTAGCGTTTAATTAAGGAGTTCCGGCGAATTGCGTACGTAGGCGCGTGTTGTCATGCTGACAATTCCATCGCAATATATTCAGTTTGGCGTAGACACACAGATCAAGTGAGGGAGCGAATGCAAGCCAAGGCGAGCATTACGTGGAAGCTTGAATAGAAATGAGGGCTTGAATAGTTTTAAATTCTTAAGTAATCCTATATGACATGTGTATTTGTCAACTATCACTGCATGACGATAATTCCCATAGTACTTTAATGTTTTCTTTAACTTTATACACTTGCAGTACACAGACGGCAGTACACGGAATGCTTTAGGCATTTTCTGTCAGTCAACCTCTTTTATAATTAATACGCTTTGGTTCATATGGGCAATTAAAAATTTCAAAAGTTCGAAATTGTGAAGAAAAAGTTTATGATACACACCCTAGCAGTAAGAAAGCCTTTACACAATGTATATTATAGAATTAATGTATGTACTATCGTGTGGTTCAAAATAAATTTATTATTATTAACATAAAAACACAGCCATAAATACTACCTAGAACTAGAATGACAGGGGCTGGACTCTGTGCGGGGCACTTTATTGGGCAGTGTGTCACAGAGGCGAGCCTCTTTATAGAACAGTTTTATTGCTTCTGCTGCTGCTTCATTAGGAGACAGATTTCTTGCCTAAAACATAAAAATACACATTAAAATTACACTTTACTCGTTGTATGGGAAATACTTAAATATTAGTTTTATTTTAATTTCATTATTTATTTTTAAAGTGAATTTATAAGTAAATATTCAAGGGTATAGGTATTACACGCGTCTACAGCTAGTCTACGAGGAAAAACAAGCAAAAAAAACGTTTGTTGTATGGGAGACCCCCTTAAATATTATTTTTATTCTGTTTTTAGTATTTGTTGTTATAGCGGCAACAGAAATACATCATCTGTGAAAATTTCAACTCTCTAACTATCACGACAGACGGACAGCGAAGTCTTAGTAATAGGGTCCCGTTTTACCATTTGGGTACGGAACCCTAAAAACAATACGGCCCCTTAGTGAAAACAATTCACATGTTTTGTTGGTCGGTTCGTTGAATTTCGCCTTATTTTATTATATATTTAGCTCAGTTTTAATGGTACGTTTACACGCCTGGCAAGTCTCGATAAGTGTCCACAAACAAAAAACGTGTAAACAGGGTGCTTTGCTTGCGTGAGCTTGTCGTCATCGGGCTAGTGTCGGTTCTTACAAGCTATTTAACTTGCAATTTACCTGTGCAGATCAACAAGTAAGTGAAATAACTTGATCCGATTGATTTTAATTTAAAAAAAAATCAAACTAAGTAAATACGAGTACTTAAATCTCGCGACAAGCTTTTATATCATTTAAATTGTGTGTGATGACGTTATAAGTTGTTAGTAAAAAATTTAAAGACAAAGTTTATTTTATTCTTTTTAGTGCATTTAAAAAAAGCTTATTTTAAAAAAGGTTTTTCACTTGATTTATTCAACAAAGATCAAAGGTAGCTTGCGGAAAACGCTTGCGTCGTGTTTACATGTTGGCGCGTGCTTGTTTCCTACTGCTAAATTTGCTAATAGTTGAGCAGTTAGGAATCAACATTAAGTCTCAATGCTTTACTGGTGGAACAGTAGTGCTAGAGGAGTTTTTTCCATTTATCACGTGTTTAGTGTCGCCACGTCTGTTATGTTTGTAGAGGATTTTAGCGTCGCCAAATGTGTAAACTATGCACAGGATTCATGTATGTATGAAGTATTGATCTATAAGAACATGAATAGAAAAAAGTTAAGATGGAACATTTACAAATTTACAGAATAAAGTATTGGCTACTTTTGCATTCATACTGAAATTATGTAATAAATATTAAATATCTAAACGTAAAATTCCGTTTCTGTATCACTTGTTCAAATACAGGGTACAATTATTATGTAAACAGCCTTGGTCATGGGTAATGGTTATGACACATGGTTAATAAAAGATCCTTGAAAATCAAAAGCCAAAATTTTTTTACCACCTTCATATGTAGAATTATGTCTAGGAGTGTTTAACCAACTACTTTATATGTAGGTAACTTGCATTATTTTTGCAGAAGAGAATACTACCTCTAAAGTTTTCTCTGAGTAAACAGTAATTGCTTCACTCCTTACATACATTCGTAGTATAAACGTGAGGTTAAAGTTTCAAATCTAAGTGGTAAGGGGCTAATCCAACATAGGAAGCAAGCCTCAAAGTTAAGAATGAATGCAAGTTGGAATGTTAAGTGGAAGAGTGAGTGAGCTAGCGGTTATCTTAAAAAGAATAAGAATAAATGTGGTATGCTTGTAAGAAATCATATGGAAGGGCATGAAAGCCAGAGAGATTGGAGTATTATTGCAGGGGTGATAGTAAGAGCAGCAGTAACCTACCTGGTGTAAAAAAGAAAATGAAAATATTTAAATCCTTGTCCTTACGTAACAAGCTCCACTTAAATAATCTAGTATTTTTGGGAAATGGCTAACAATTCTTCTTTAGTCTCTTGCAAACAATACATATTTTGATTTTATCTCTTTAATCATCGCTACAATGTCTGCCAGCTTTGTATCAAAATAAAATATCATTTTTTGCTACAATTAGTTTACCGGAAAGTGTAATTAGTGCTGGATCAGTGAACATTTTTAAAAACAGACTAGACGAACATTTAAAAACTACAAAACGAACACAAGTGCAGTGATATGTACGCATCAGATCTGTGATCTGCTAGTGCATTATAGAATAATAATAATAATAATTAAATTAAAAATCTAATATATCATTCAATATTTATTATTTACTTCAAAATTTGGTAATGTGCACTAGAAGAAAAAAACATTTGCATGTGGTATTCAATGAACTTTTAATGGCGCTATAAATTGTGTAGTAGCTATTTTCATTTACATACTAAAACTTGATAAATAGTAACTAATAATAAACAGAACTGCAATATCAATGGCCTCTGTACTGGCATTTTGTTTTACTAGCTGATGTCCATGACTTTGTTTGCATGGAATTTGAAAAGCAGCACTTTTCAAATTCCACGCAAACCTTAGTAGGTTCGATTCCCGGACAGGGCAAAATTTTAAAGGATTTTGTGAGAGGAAAAATAGCCTAAGTTACTCCATATATAGACAGCTACAGCGTATTAAATAATGAAAATCTGTCAAGCCGTTTAGAAGATAACCCTGAACAAACGGTTTTAAGGCATAGGTATCGTGCAAATAACTGTGTGAGCATGAAAAAAACCTATAATTTTGACATTACAAACAGACACTTCAATTTTATTTATTTGTATAGATTTGTCTTTTCTATCTTTAAATTTACCACATTAAATACAATTGTAAAATAACTTTACTTTGTGTTCAAGGTATTTGACACCAAATATTCATTCTAATATTAGCTATATTAGGAAGTATGTCCTAATGTGCGCATGACAAGCCAAATACCCAGTCAGGATTACACATGTTATTCCAATAATTAGGTGTGTTATTATATGTTTGCATGTGTATGAATTGTAAATAACTAAAAATTTCACTCAAACTTTTGCAAATTTTAAATTATTGTTTCAAAACCAACTGATCAATATCAGATACTACTGACCCGATATAAAGATTTTGCTGTGTGTATGTGAATCAATATAAGTTTAACATAAATTATGCAGGAATTTGATGATTGACATTTACTTTCGTTAAAATATATTTTTGAGCAAAGTTATGGGTTAAACATATTAATTGTGAACAAAAAATGTTTTTAAGTAATTAAAATAAAATATCTAACATTGTGCATTATAAAAATAAATGTTCTTTGATGACTTAAATAGTTTGCTACTGCCCAGTTGTAAACTATTTTTCTTTTCACTTTTTACACTAATATTCTAGTCAAACTAAGACCCAATAATTTGACAATTATGTAGCATATTAGCATATCATACCCGATGTAAACATTTATTTATAAACAATGATGTGTCAATTTATGGACTTGTTTTTGATTTTAATCTTTTGTTTACTATTATAATTAGGCATATGAGATTCTAAAATCTCAAGTAATATTAACAAGAATACAATGGGAAAACGTAAATTTAATAGATATAAGACTATTCTCAAGGCTTGAATACAACAGAAGTAAAGAAACAGACAAATTACCTCTCCACTAGATGCACAGTACTTATTGTCACAGTTAGGCTTGCCACATCCATCCAGTAGCTGGTAGAAATACCTCTCAATCAGCTGTTTAGCTGCAGCACGCTTCATAATGTCTTGTGTGTGGTCGGTCACTGTATTTGAACATAAACCTGATGTAGATTCCTCTTCAGTATTATCAGGGGCTGAAGTTTTTGACGATGATGCTTCGCTCCCCCTACAAAAAAAAATGTATAGAAATAACACACTATTTGTTTACTTGTTATGATCCAAACTTGGAAGAAAACAAAGAACAAAAACAGCAAGTAATGCCTGACCTAACCTCTGTTATTATTACGCATCAGATAAATATAGCCGAATAACAGATTATACTATTACTTAAAGCTATTTAAATACAGCTATAACAAAATTCATATTCACTTTAAAACTGAAAAATATAAATAAATTTACCTTGAAGCTTCGTCAGTTTCGCTTTTCGAGTTCATAGAAATTAATGCTCTCCAAAACAAAACAACCCCTAATCGAAACGTTACATAAATGCAGAGAGGTAAATGTGTACATTCGCCAATTATCTATCCTTATTGTTTTTTTTAAATACACTATAGGTACATGAAAATACCAACAACCGTTCTATTCTCTTCCATTCTATTCTATATTCTGTCAATTTTGTCAACCATTTTGAATTTTTATTTTTACGTTTAACGCAAAATTATTCTGATGTTTTATTCATAAACTCTCACGATTATCAATAATCTGCAATTTTACGTCTTTTGTTACTTTACACATATTGATTTGATGTACGCTTTTTACAAATCAATAAACGTTTCGTTATATGTAATGATAATTCATTTACTATTAAAACAGGTTTGGGCCAGTTTTTAAGCTAGCAAGCGTGAAAAGAAACAGAGAAATTTAACGAAAATCGACTAAACATCATGTCAAATATTTCATTCCTTTAGACTGTTCCTTTTTTATTCAAGAAGTTGACATATATTTAAGTGACTTATCACAGATGGCGATTCTTTACGTAAAGTTAATTTTTAGTTGATTTGAATCGCAACTTGATAAATCAAGTCACCAAAAGAGTTTTGGTATACAAAATCAATTTCTCAAAAATCAAACTTAATTCCAATCTGCATTTACAATTCATTTTATGGAAAACCAGAAAGGTAACATAATAATCGATGTCTTAATGATTGTTTGATTGAACGCGCTGATCTTAGTTACTAATGCACATTATGGTTTTTTACCGAAATATTTGGATATCTTATTTTTTTATATTTTTCGATAAACGAAATCGTTTTCAATGGAAGAGTAGAATTCCCGTGCCACAATTTTTTTGTCAATATTTGTCATGAAATTATTTCATGTATTTGTATATAAACCTGTTTTTGTTAAAAAAAAATCCGGTTTAAATCCATTTTCATCCAATGGGCTTGATTTTATTGTAATTAGGAGCGTTTAACACGTCTGGCAATGATGGCTTGAAATATGTACAATCGTCTTATACTCAACACTTTAGCTTCTTTATAGATATTTTATGGTTTTTATCAATATAGATAAAATTGAACGTTGGTTTTTGAGAAAAAATATATGATTACCTTAATCGATAGTGTTCTAAATTTCAATTAAATACTACGAAATTGATTAGTCGATAAACCAATCGAAATCCCTATGACAAATGTGACATTACTTTTGTCAGTTTGCAATTCAGAATTGGCATTTGTCAGTTTCAGTTTGTATTTTGTCTCTTGCATATGTGGTGTGGAAAATAAACTATCAAATTATTGGTAATATTATAAAGTCGTTGCTGCAGCTGGTGTCTTCAATACCTAACACAATGACGGAAATTATGTCCACTGAAGATACCAGAGATCACGACCGAGTGGATGATATCCTTAGAGGATTTCAAGTGTATCCTTTTTAAAAATAATTCACGAGCTCTAGGCCTTTGTTTTCGTTTTATATGATGTGTATTATGAATCTTTGTATCTGTGCTAATGGAAAGCTGTTTGATTAACATCGTCATTTAATTTTATTATTTTTCCATATGGACCAAGCTGCCATCAGGTATGTCGTGTATTTGTTTGCTAACACAGTGCTATAGAAACAAGATTTACTATGGCGTCCAAACTGCCTTAAACAATGTATTTGCAAGAAGTTTAAATGAAATAATATCTTTAAATATTGTCACTTATTCAGTCTTCGATTGTGAATAGTTGCTTTATTTGTGTTGTATGCTTAGATCTTTTAAAGTAAGCAACAGATTTTGTTGCGGCTTACACCAACAGTGAGTGATTCAAGAGGAAGTTGTACATGTATAATACATGCATATTATAGTAGAGATAATCACAGAATTTCAAAGATTTGTTGTAAAAAGCATGTTTTTGTGGACTTACATTGCAAATGCTGCCTAAACCTAAGGCGATAAACCAAAATAAGGTACTACGGAATTAGGTATTTTAAAAAGTTTAAAAAAAAAGTCATGATGGTATATCTCTATCTCCTAAGGACAGTAACCATTTTTATCTATAAATTTCACAAAAATAGAATGAGTAATTTACGAAGCTGTTTTAAACAATACATTATTACTCCTTATCCAATTAAATATGGTACATAAGTTGTACATATAATGTAGATATAATGTAGATTAAAATTGCTCTTTACAGTTTATCATTAAAACAAACATTTTAGAAGATATAAAGGTTTTACATGCAGGGGCCCATTTTTGTTAAGTGTGTGTGTGTGTGTCAAGTGTATTGACTGGTTTCTATTATGGCTGGCTGTCTACCGTTGGCCAACCTTTTTTATTAAAAAAAATAGAGTGTAATTAATTTGGAAAGTGGATTGAGACCGCACTAGCTAAAAAAAGCAACAAGGCTGGGGTCACTTCCTCTTATTTCTATACTGTTATTGGAAAAGTTAGTTGGTCAGGGACATCTGCTCAGCTAAATTATTTGTTGAAATGAATCCTGTGTCAAGGGAGACTTTACAGACATACCTGAAACAAACACAAGAAACACTCAGACTCAGAACAACAATTTGTGGATCACACAAAGTGTTGTCCCATGTGACGATCGATCCTCTTAGCGCAGTAGGAAGCGGCGAGGTAACCGCTTTAACACATGCTGTCAATCAGTCTCTAAGTCTATAATACTTCTCTTCTGTAGCACTCATTGTTTCAGATGAATGACGTACAAGATTCAAATATTTGTAAAATAAACAGCAAACAAATAAACAACAATCTGCTCATTGAAATATAGTTATAGAGAATCCACTGCAATAGTTGATAGTATTAATTTATTTATGTGTAAAAGATGATACATATTTTTCCTTAACCAGAATTTAAAACAGGAATTGGATGAATTTGCGTGATGCTGATTCAGGTAAGTTCAAATTTATACCTTGGTAGTATTTATTTGCTGATTACAATGACCCCTTAAGACATAGACTTAAGCATACTTAGCATATTCCTATTTCTAAGACATAAATATACTTAGTACCCACAGAAATAATGATAATAAATTAAAACCTTTATTTGAAAACACACAAAGCATAAAAATTTAATTACATTAAATTGAGTCCAAACTAAGAAAGAGATCTACGTTGAGAAATAGCCATTCTTATGTGTAACATACTTATGTAATTAATATCATTTCGTTATAGGCACCTACTTCTAAAAAATGCTTAATTAAGTAATTCCATGTTTCTCTATCTATACATATAAAATGTTAAGTTGGTTTTTGTACGCTTCAAAAACGCAAAAGTTTTGCAATGATTGCTCTTAAGTTTTGACATGATATACCTCATTAAAGATTGTTTCTATTGATTGATTGTGTAAATAATAGAAGCAGAAAAAACAAAATAATCTCAGGCTCAATAAATTATAGGCAATTAAAGGCAATGACACATTAAAATATATAAATATTTAAATCTTAACGAAAATGAACCGACTTACGTACTTGATACTGAACTTGACCTTATTGTATTGTATGAAAATGTTATAAATGTATAAATGTCTCAAGGACAAGATCATTGACATTAAAAGCTCGTGAAAGCGCTAACTTACTTATAATGATACTTTTACAGAAACAGTTTCAAGGTATTAGAAGCAAACTAATTTTAATTTTTATATAAATGTTGTTAGTTATTCTGTTCTATATGACCTTCATAATAATGTAGCTAGTAACTGCTAGTATATAAAATAGCTATGGCACAAAACAATCTTTTTGGGTTAGCTTTATAATGTTCAAATTGATAATTACAATAATAACTTCAAAATTTTTACAAATAGTGTCATGTTGGAAGTTGCAGTTTACTAGTAAAGGCTGGTGATGATGATGAGACAAAAATTATAGACTAGATATATAATTATTTATCCTGGATGAGATACACCTGTGAGCACTGGCTCAGCAGTTAGAACAATAATCACAGGAGTAACCTGATGAATATCTTTATTTTATAATGTTACAAATAGGCTTAAACAGATAACTTAATAATTGCCAATTTCAAAAGAGTACATGGAAAGGGAAATAATTCAACTATGTCCAAGTCATTGGATACTCCTGAAAGTTAATTACTATCCATGACGATATGTATGCGATTCATGCATGTTTGCATGCATATGTCTATGTTGAGTAACTTTACCAATGCGTAATTACTTACTGATAAATAACTGATTTTAAGATTAATGTCGGCCCTTACACTACAGAAAAGAACTTATTATAATTGATATTCCTTAAACAGAAGATAGGTAAGAGAAAGGTTAACTGACTATAACTAATATATTTTCTCCGTAGGCAAGATTCTCTGGCAGAACAATGAAGATATGTCAAGTCCGGACGTGGAGCACGAGGCACGTGTACCGAAACGTATCCTGAAGTGCCGCTGCGTCTCACGCGAAATGAATTTTAGCTCTACTGAAGCTATGGAGAAGTTTCGTTTAGAACAGGTTAAACATTTAATCATTTATTTTAAATCCATTCCTTGTATCATGAGATGAGTATGGAGTAGGTATACTAGCAGTTCTGGCCTGTTGTGTATTTGTTATTGTAGTTTAATAGAAATATGAACCACCTGTAGCAAAGATTCAGTCGCCGACATTTTTTTTTAAACTTAAACCCGAGATAAGTACAGCAAATAAAAATTATTTTTTTAACACGAGGAAAGCGCCGTTGCTTTCCAGCTATTGGCTTACTTATGGCTTTATGGTTAGAATGAAACCGCTTGGCCTGGTTATGATTATTTTAAATAAAGCAGGGAATCTGTGTGTAGAAAATAAATGAGTTGCGCTAATTGTAAAGGCGCAATTCAATATTAAAAAGCTTCCTGCTTTCGCCGTTCAGCGTCATTGTCAACTTAGACTGAAGATGGTTTGTGACCATCGCCGCTTATAGTCCTGCATTCCTGTAACTCGTGAGTCACAATAGGGTAGATGTCTGTCAAGTAAAATCAGTCTCTTTTTTGAAACGCGGTACATTTTTGTATGAAATACTATTTCGTGACTTTATACCTAGCTGTCTTGTTGTCAACATTATATATTTGACAAATAATTATATTATTTATATATAATGATGACAACAAGATAGCAAAAATAAAAATTAAATTGATAATGGAGGACAACTCAGGCCTATACTTTAAGATGTTACATTTAATGATACAGGCGAAATAATTTATTTAAACCTAGAAATATACTCTATTGCGATGACACACTTTGATTACCCAACAGAATCAGAAGGCTCCGGTATCTTCATTCACTCTGTGAAAAGTAACGAAACAATTGCTTAACACCAGTTTTGTGTAAGGCCGTGGTATCACTCGATCGAGCTCGCCCATTTGTTCCGCATGGCTCTCCCATCTTTAAATCCATTATAATATTATGAATGCGAAAGTGTGTCTGTCTGTCTGTTACCTCTTCACGCTTAAACCGCTGAATCGATTTAGATGAAATTTGGTATAGAGATAGTGTGATTCCCACAAAAGGACATAGGATAGTTTTTATTACCGAAATCATCCTTTAAGAGGGTGGAAGTTTGTATGGGGGATTTATAACCGCTGAACCGATTTGAGGAAATTTGGTATGGAGATAGTTTGATACTTCAGGACACAGGCTACTATTTAGCGCAAAAACCGACATACGCGCGGGCAGAGCCGGGGGCAAAAGCTAGTAAAATATAAACCTTATTGAAATATTATACTCAGTCTGAATTAACCCTTGTATGAATACAAATGTATTATTTGTAATATACATTATCTTCCTAATTTACAGAAAGTGTTGTTCAAAGGACGTTGTTTGGAGGAGTGGTTCTTTGAGTTCGGCTACGTAATTCCCAACTCGACCAACACGTGGCAGTCAGTGATCGAGTCCGCGCCTGAATCTCAGATGATGCCTGCCAATGTTCTCAAGTGAGTCACTTTAAATTTTAAATGTTTATTTGGCTTGTATGCAAATTATGAAATCAACTGATTAGTTATACCTTGGAGAGGTTGTTTTAATTATTTTTTTTAAAGAGACTCGGCCATACCCTCGCTGTGTTCGGCTTCAATCAAACAAAAGATTTTGTTTAATTGTCGTTTACTTTGTTACACGTTACAAAAGTTTTGTTAAATTTTATATTATTGTATAAATTGTGATGTAATTTTTAAATTATGTCATAAACAACTACAAAAGCACACAGTAACAACTACAAAAGCACATAGTGTAACGTTGACCTGTCACGATACGAAAGTCTGTATGTACTGAACGAAATTTTAATTAAAGATGCTCATTATTTTAAATATATTAAATGATGACTGAAATTCGACTTGCAAGCGATCTCTAATGCATGTTACATATTTTTTTTTATTTAAAAAAAGGTAATTTTCAATTTGTTTTTTCTTTGGTGATGCTATTGTATGTTGATCTATGACTTTAGAGTCATTACGTACGAGACGATTTCAAATAATGTGAAAAGAATTTTATGAAAGATATTTTGCCTTTGACTTTAAAGTATTCTAACGTACTTTTAATATTTTTTACAGCGGGAACGTCGTCATTGAAACGAAGTTCTTCGATGGAGATACTCTGATCACCACATCTCGAGTCAGACTATTCTACGTATAAAGTATTATATGTTGAACAAACTAAGCATTTACTAGTCAAAACTTTTATACATTTCCTCTGAGTGTATTTATTTTTGTTACATATTATTTCAATGCTCATAAAGTCATGCCTCATTCAATCAAAATCACAAGTGACCTTACGATTTGGTAATTTAGCACCCTTATGTAAACTATTAAAAAGGTTTATGTACGCTTATCATATTAAAGGCTCTTATAGAAAGGACACAAAAAAAATATCTCTAGACATGATAAATGAAAATTCCACTTTATTTGTGGAATGGGGAATTATTAGCTATGTTTAAAGTACTTAAATTATTTCATAATGTTTTGTAATTCTTGTATGAAAATTAGAAAACAACATCATTATTAATTTTTCTTAATTATTTTTAACCGACTTCAAAAAATAAAGGTTATCAATTCGGATGTTTATATTTTTTTGTTATATATGTTCGAGCATAATTCCGTCATATATAGGTGCTCAAAATTATTTTTGAAAGTTCCTTAAGATTTATATAGAGCAGATGATGAGTTTCGGAGACATAAAAAAAAAAGACATCAAATCAACCGCTATTGCTACTAGGTTTTTAGTGCTTTAGTTCTTTTTAAAAAAGATTTATTTTTAATAATTAGCTTGTTAAATTTCTCTTTTGTTTCTTTTTCGTTTTTTAAATGACAACGCACTTGACTGGTGTCTGCGGGCGGCGGTAGTCACTTACCATCAGGTGCATCGTCTGCCCATCTGACCCCCTCCCCGCTATAAAATAAAAAATATTATGATAGTCACAATATTGACAAAAAAGTCATTAATATAAGAAAGGAATGCTTCATTTTACGTAAGGTATTAGATTAGATAGTAGATTCTCTACAAGTATTTCAAAAATAAACAACTATGATTCAATTATTATTTAAATGTTGGACAGAAAAAAGAAATTTGTGTCGATGTTATAGTATAACTAAGTTGAATATTGTACATAAATCTTTTTAACAATAAAAGTCCCTAAACTTAGTCAATTCAAATCTCTTATCATTAGTACATGTAGCTTTTATATTAATTTTGTATGTTGCATTTTCTATGTCCTCTATGCTGAATAGAGTCACAATTTTGTAATGATGTAAAGCGTAATATTAATTTATTAAATATAATTATAAATAAATAAATGGTATATATGACAGATAGGTCTTTTTTATCCATTTATCCGGAAGGAGGGTTGTTTTTCGAGTGACGGATTTTGGCTTGGGAGGTGGCGTTAGATTCGTCTTCATTGTGAGAGAGTGACATTGGGTATATACGAGGGGTGATCAATAAGTAATGATAATCAATATGAAACAGAACTATTAGATTAAAAAAAGTATTTTATTTTTCAACATAGTCTCCTTGCAAGTTAATACATTTAGTGTATCTTTTTTCTAAGCCCATGATTCCCTTAGAAAAAAAATCTTTGTCTTGACCCTCCCAAAATGCCTCTACTGCGGCCATCACTTCACTATTGTCCTCAAATTTGTTGCCCCGGAGGTGTTCTTTGCGCCGAGGAAAGAGGTAGAAGTCACTGGGAGCTAGATCTGGCGAATAGGGAGGGTGTTCGAGCAGTTCGAACCCCGTTTCTTCAATGGCAGCCATCGCAACTGCGGCTTTGTGAGCCGGGGCGTTGTCTTGGTGAAACAGCACTCCAGCGCGCAGTTTACCGCGTCTTTTTGACTTAATAGCTTCTCGCAATCTTCTTATTTGGCCTGCGTAGTAAGAGCCTGTTATAGTGGCCCCCTTTTCCAAATATTCCACCATAATAATTCCTTCTGCATCCCAGAAAACAGACGCCATAACCTTTCCTGAACTTGACACTTTGAATTTCTTCGGCGTTGGTGAGGAAGCTCGTTTCCAAGTCATTGATTGTTGTTTGGTTTCGGGATCAAGTGGTGGATCCAGGTCTCGTCCATGGTCACAAAACGCGACAAAAAAAATTCTTTATCGGCCTGGAACTTTTGAAGATTCACCCTCGAAATGTCGACTCGTTTCTTTTTTTGCTCGTCGGTTAACATTCTCGGTACCCAACGCGCAGAGACCTTTTTCATATGCATTTTGTTGACAATGATTTTTTGAACGCTGCCATAGGAGATCCCTGTGACCTCAGCTACATGCCTTACGGTCACCCTTCGATCGGCCAACACGATATCTTCCACTTTTTTGACGTTTTCTCCAGTAAGGGACGTCCCTCGCGATGTTCATCTTCAGTGGAGGTTCTGCCCAGCTTAAATTCCTTTGCCCAGCGTGCGACTGTGGAATATGGAGGAGCAGACTCCCCCAATGTTTCCTCTAAGTCGCTGTGTATGTCTTTGGTAGAATTTTTTTTCAGGCAGAGGTACTTGATGACAGCTCTTATTTCATTTTTCTCCATTTTGATGTTTTCTCTTCGATAGTTCGTATTCAAATGAATGTATCTCCCGGTAATGGTGTCCTATTTATACATTTTTTTGAAGCTGAAGTAGTGGATATATAAGCAAGCAGAAAAAAAATAATTTGGGTTTTTGTGCGTTCTAGAAATACTCGATTATCATTACTTATTGATCACCCCTCGTATTAATTATAAAAATCATATCGCCGATTTTTGTTCTTTTTTCATTAATTAGCGTGTTGTAGCCTTGAGCCGGTGTTACTACTCCTATCAAAGGGAGTTTGTATACCGTTAAGGCCACCACCACTAGCTATATGACTTATTACTAGCGATGTGCTGGAAATCCGTGTTCGTATATATCCGAGGAAAAAATCTGTTTCCGTATGTTAAACGGCTCTTTTACGTTAAAGTTGTAGATATATTTTGCTAAAATTAACCATTAAAACGTGTAGTGTGTAAATTACTAATATTTTGAGTAATTATAAGGAACTATTTGTCTTATCTTTATAACGAGATCAATCCCCAAATCTTTGTGATATGTGTATAAAAATAATTTAGAAACAGGTCATAGGTCTTATCTAAATAAAGCCTATGACCAGTTTCTAAATTATTGTAACCTTAAACATGAACTATCATTTCAATGTCAAATAAAAATATTAAATAAAAACTCCGTCCGATCTGTATTTGCGGATGTAGACTAATAAATCGTATCCGCGGATATACGATCTCACACATCACTAGCTACTACATCATTAAGGAAATGAATGTAACTGAAACAGACTAACGAAGAAAACTAAAGCTACATCCAGGTATTGAGCAACCTGTATAGTGAAACCATAACTAATTCGCCACCTTATAATAAAAGTGAACGAACTGAAACACAACTTGTTCGCAGCATAGGTAAGTACCGTGATGTAAAGGCTGTCTGGTTATTTTTTTTTGTACCTACTGTTTTTAAAGTAGGCTTTGTAAGGTCAGTTTTTAACAATATCCGCATCATTGAAACGAATATCACAAAACATCTCGGCAAATACTATTATTCTAACTTTTTTTAACTATTACGAATTTAAACCAAATAAACATTGAAATATATTCTTCAATTGAATAGCTTAAAATAGTGACGTCATAAGTTGCTATTTAGTACATTTTTCATACAAAATTGTCGTTTTGACAGATGATAAAAAGTAACTAATTTGACAAAGGTGTCAACTACCCTATCATGCAAACATGACTCCACAGTTTAGCGCATCTTATAAAATGAAAAATGGTTATTGGTGTAGAATATAGATATTAGATAGAGATTATTAAGTAAGCCAGAAGGAGTTTAATGTTTTCGAGTATATGTTTTATGTTATGTATGTACGTTCTTTCTCACGCTTTGCAGTGTAAGCGGCTAGGGAGGTGCGGTTAGAATTGTCTTAATTGTGAGATTTACATTGAAAGGTAAAAACACAATAGCTATAATACTGTTTTCAGTTTCATATATCTTAATCTACTCTCTACAGTAGCTACGTAAAAAATCTTATAAATATATTTTAATAATATATTGATATGATTTAGAATCAGAAAAAGAAATTAGTTTAATAATTAAGTAGTAACTATGGTTTTTCCACGTACAATTGGCACATAAATACATAATTAGAATTATACAGGAACGTAATTATTAATGTGTAATAATATTTGGCAAAAATATTTTAGTTTTATAAGTTCTTAATCTTATTAAACTTGTAAGTGATATTGTATTGATTTTTTATTACACGCGCTTGTATTATGCTGAGCGCTCCCAGCTCGGGCTTATCTATACCAGCCGGAGCCGCATCTTTCATTGAACGCGACAAAGCATCCATCCCTTCATCATCATCATCAACATCCTTTAATAGTCCACTGTTGGAGATAGCCCTCTCCTTAGAAAGGTTGGTATAAGGTTTGTGTCAAGTTTTCCTTCTATTTGCAATGCTGTTGCCCTACGTAGTTTGCTCCCTTAGTAGGCTCTTACGATACCCACGGGATAAATAGGGGTGGTGAAACCCCGTATTCTTAATCCGTCACCACACGGACATTCATTTTAACTTGGATACCCACCGTTTCCCCGGGTTTTTGACTTGTGGTGAAACATTTTTGATCTATTTTCCGTTTCCGCCATAACATTAGCTATCTGATAGGGAAAATCTAAAATAGATCAAAATAATAATAAAATTCTACCACATTCACACAACGCCATCTAGTCCAAACTACGCAGAACTTGTACTATGGCTACTTGACAACTGGTATAAATACATATATACTTTTTTTGTAAATACATACATATCATACATAGAATCACCCAGCAAAAGGATATGTATGTTTGGCACAGAGATAGATATATTAGTCTAAAATAGTAGTAGTCTGGCCAATATATAATTTTCAAAATCGACATAACACGAGCAAAGCTGCGGGTAAAACCGTAAAACCTTGTATAGTTTATGCTTGTTACAAATCGTGACAGAACAACTGAATCAAAGTACTGGGCCAAATTATCTATACAATTTGCCCATTTTGATGGCAGTTTCTTTATCCCTTTACTCTAGAAGTCTTCTGGACGGGAGGTGATGAAGTAAGCGAAAGGGCTTTGTAC